TTAATGAAGCAGTACTACAGATTTATTCATTGTATTTTATACTGCATTTGCCATGGTTTTCATTACTAATTTTTTTTCTCTGGGCTCAAAAGTTCTCTCATTTTCTGACATTAGGGTTTTTCAATTATTTTTCTTGAAACTCAAAGCATTAATAGATTTGTTTTCTTGGGTGTGCCTTGTCATGGATATGATGTAAATACATTGAGAGAAGAAAAAGAAGTGAATCTATTTGCACTTGATTTCAGTACCGGTATCATGTACTTTTGAAACAGTTCTTTTAACATGAGCAACAAAATTAACCCGTCGTTCTGGATCTGGTTAAACTTCCGTTTTCTGTTTTCCCCAAAAGTGCTGTGGGACTGTGCAACTTTTCAAATTAGATGGCGCTGTTACAGATTCAGATACACATTATGTAGAGTTTGGCCAGGTGGGTTTCACTTGGTCACAACATGGCGTATTATATCATTTTGTTTTGCGCTTGACCCGGCCCCCCCCCCCCCACTCCGAGAACGGACGGACCCCATGCGTGTTGCCAAAATGTCCTTTTCGTAACAAAAGAAAAAGGTCGACCCGTATTGACTTTACACACCGGACTTTTGCTGAAAAGGGGGGGGGGGGGGGTCGGTTGGAACACGCATATGCGTACCCTAAATAACACTGAGTGGGGGGGCCGGGGCGCTTGACTAACAATAAAAAAAAGCTGTATTCACCAAAATTGTGCCCAACTTGAACTGGGTTGGTCAAACTCTCCTGATCAATGGCTCTCTCCACACTCATAAGGCTTTGACCAGTGTTGTTAGAGAATGTTTGAAATAACTGTGCATGACAATCAGATACTATTTTAATTATAATTGGTGAAATGTAAGCACTGTTGTATGCTGCTCCTCTGTTAGACTTTGGTGTCATTGTCTGTGGCTGTATAAGATTGAGATAAAGCAACAAAAACCAAATGTTCAATACATCTTTGCTCAAAGTTTGGGGGAATCCTACAAGTTTCAGCTAGAGCTTCAAAACACCAAAATATGCGGAAGAGACCATGTTACATACAGTCAATACATATCATTGATTTATTTGACCCTAAAGCCATATTCATAGCTGCCAAGTGCCAACAATTCCCATTTTGGGAATTATTCCTACTTTTTGGCCCTCAAACTAATGTTTTGGATCCTACATTCCTCTCTCTTGTCAAAACTTTTGATTAAAAAGTATAACAAAATGACACTTCAAACTTTGCCTTGAGGGATTCCAAATTTTTGCTTTGAAAGGGTGGTAGGAATGCATATCTGTGTCTATTTCCTCTCACAACACTCTTTGGTTGATTGTGGTGATATAGTTTATGATTCATTGATTGTTTGAAGGCAGTGTACCTCATGTCTTGCGTCTTTATGTATACATTCTGATTTTAGCTTCAGTATACTAATTGATGTAAATTCTGAAGCTACCAAGGTACCTCAGCTCTGGTATGAAAAGATAGAGTAAGATTTTTCATAGTTTCTTGAAGATGAATACTGGATCATTATTTAGGAAGTATACCATATTCTCAAAAACATACAAAATTCTGGATTTTTATAAAATAGTTGTGTATAATACCATGATCAATATTTCTATCTCTTTGATTCATTAGAATTATTGCAGGGTTGAAGTACTTCAAGAACTTTATTCATTATATTCATATAAATGTGTGTATTAAGTTGAAACACATTAGTTTCTAGATGTACCATGTGTAAAAACATGATCTGCAAAACTTCCTGAGTAAAACAATATCAATAACAACCATTTTCACATTATGATTTTTAATCATTTTTGAGTAGTAAAACACTGTTATTGCAAGAAATATTTGATTTTGTTAAAAGATCCATGCATGATGTACATCCAATATTACATATGGATAATTGTGATTTCTTTTCTTTTTCTTTTTCATGTTGATTTTTTTTTAGTTTTTTTTTTACTAGGCCTATCTGGGAAAGTGTCATCAAAAATAGTTTATTTCTCTTTGAAGATAATTAATAATAATAATAATAATATTGGCATTTATATAGCGCTCTTACAGACATACATGTGTATCACAGCGCTTTACAACATATTAATATTATTAATTGATATTATGTGAAGTTTAATAATGTATATATTGTACAGAAAATGTTTGATTGATCAAAATAGATTTTAAGAGAGATTATATGTGTGAGATTTAAGCTTTTTTTTCTTCTTGACATATTGATGCATTGTTGTTTCATTATTGCATTTGGGAGTGAATGATAACATATGCAGACATTATATTTCGTGTACAAAGAATTACAAACTTTTTTGTATTTTGTTGTGATTTTCCAGTTGTCATACAAATTAGTCAATGCAAATGTTGGATATCAGTTTGGGAAGTGTCAGATTGTGAGATAACATTGAAAATGGTATTAAATATGAACGTGGTATATTGACATACTTTATGATTGTGATGGTGTTTATATGGTAGTGGTGATGGTGGTGGTAGTGGTAGTTGTGATGGTGGTATAGTGTTTGAGATGGCGGTGATAGTGCTTGTGGTGGTGCTGGTCGTAGTTTTTTTTTACACTACCACCACCCCCCCCCCCTCCCCCCCCCCCCCCTCCCCCTCAAAGAAATAATGGTTAAAAACATGCGGACTTAACGACTTATGACTTCTGGTAAAGCATTCAGTCGAAGATTTGTACTGCGTGTAATGTAAAAGACGCTAGAGGGCAGCAAACGTAAAAATGCATCGTTTATTGTTTATACTTGAGCCTTACGACTGTCGAATTAGAGAGTCCATGCTTAAACCCTAGATGATCGGAAGATTTAGCTTTTAAGTTATAGATGTAGGACCTCCATTTTATGAATAGAATAAACAGACAAGGCCGCCCCTTCTAGAACTTAAAAGTAATTCGCTCGGCTACTCAATAAACCTTCCAATTGCAGTAAAAATATTTTACATATTAGACCGATTGCAAACAAGTCTGAAACAAGATGTCCATTTTTTGAAGTACAAAAACAAACGTTTAGCGTCCCCCTTATCCCAGTGGATGAGATATCATCTCATTGAAGTCTTTTTGCTCTTGTAAATCTTTAGACAGTGGCGTATCTAAGGGAGGGGAGAGGTGGCACGTGCCCCTGGCGGAACCTGGAGTGGATGGAAAAACGCGCAAGATAGGGGCGAAAAACGCCCCCCCCCCCCCCCCCCCCCAAAAAACAAAAAAAAAAAAGGGGAAAAAAAAAGAAGAGAAGAATACAATAAAGAGCGACAATAAGAACAATTACGACTGCGGTAAGGGTTATATTTATGCGCCATTAATATTGAGGTTAAATTGCAACATAAATTGATATTTTGAGGGTTTGAAATGAAATTTGCTTTAAATAAAACCCGATGGCTTCGCTTCTTTACGAAAGTAGGCCTTGTTACCCCCATGATCTCGTAATTTTGCGTCTACATAAAGGATATACAGTATAGTTTAGAATTAGAGGGTCAATCAAATGTTATATGCAATTATCATTGCTTTGCTCCCTTTTATGTAAAGATCCACCAGCCTCTTTTTAAAAATTGCCCCCTCCCCATCTCAATACATTAATAATAAGACGAATATAACATATCATTTACATAATGTTTATCATTTTAAAGAATCTTTATAACCCTACACGAGGTTTCTCTTTGATGTTCGCTAATGTTGCGCCCCTTGGGGATGCAGTGAAACCAACATTCGTATTAATGTTCAAATTTCTCAAATCTAACACTCGATCTCAGTGCTTCCTTGTATATTTTCATTCTGGGTAAAATGCATGAAGATGCGCTTTTGAGGGTTAAAAATGCAAAAATATAAGACTCGTTCGCTTTGCTTCTTTGCCAGAGTTGCGTAGATAATTTTGTTTTGAGGGGATTGAGTGGTACAATAATTAGATACGCTACTGTCCTCTGACCTAGATACATCTAAAAATTAAGATCTGGTGGAGATGGGCTCGTCTTATCATTTAGTTCTTCCTTTCATTGACGAAATGACAAATGACACAATCGCATACAAAATGGTCGTATTGTTTTTATTTATAAAAGCATTGCCAATAACGAAGCACGTATAATATTCAAAATTCATACAACTATATTTTACATTATGATTAAAGAGCAAATACAAATAATGATAACAGATTATCGTTTGAGTTATAGCGTAATCATAATCACATTTATGATACAAGTATGATACATACATACACAATACAATACATGATACAAATAGATTTTAATGACAGTTTCTCATCGAGTTTGACAAAATAAGATTTAAAAAATTTGATGTATTAAATAGACCCCCATAGATTTAAAACTAAATTTGAGCTCCGATATGGAATCGTATTTTGAGTATTTCTCGAAAGCAGAAGTGTTTTAGGGGCTATTTTTTTCAAGTGCTTATAATACATCGACAGGGGCATTCAAATATATCATAATTTTAAAGAACTACTATCCCTCCAATTTTCAAATTTCCCAAAACTTTGCACTACCTTTAAGCACATAGTGTCGGGTCTACTTTACCCGGATGTCCATATCTTTCTATGCTCATTACTCAGCCACTATACATTTTCTAACTAAATTGTTTGGCACCTGTAATTATTTTTAATCTTGAACATTCAGTTTAAGGTTCGTTGGATTCTGTGAGAATTTATTTTCCATATTTACCATTCGTTGACGATCAGACATACACGAAAGACTTCATGCATGGCTGATTGTCAATAAAACGGAGTTAAGTCTTTTGTCAATTATGTTTGTTGCTACGTCACGCAGCCAGTGAAAACGAACTTTTAAAATCAAATTATGGAAATGCAAGCATCACTTTAAACAAACAGAACTTTGTTATTCCTTGCTCATTTTTCCTGATTGAGGTGTCATGTGAAAGGGCAGAAATGCGAATTTTTCTTCGAAATTCAGATACCGCCCGCCAAATGACTTTTTGGTTTCCTTCCTTCAAAATGCTTTTAATCACTCATGCGTGAAATATGCATCGAATGAGTTGCATCAAATGAAAGAGGAGGATCTAAGCTTTAAAAATATGTGTCATTTAATAATTATAATTGTGATTCATCATCAATAGTGATCTGTCAGTGTATGACAAGTTCAGTGATCCATTCAAAATTCTATATCAAGACAGTGTCTCTCCAAGTTCCTCGGTCTTGAGCCAACCGTTTCATCGTTTCATAGCCCGTTTATTGTGATTAAGCTATGATAAAAACATCGATAATTCTCGGTTTCGTTTTTTCTGGGTCGCACTGCATAACAGAAGAGGTCCAGATGCGGTCTCTGAGCATAATATATTAAATATATAGACTTAACTCCTCGACTCAGGACCTGGTGAGATCGACAGAGCAACATGGGTTTGGTTCCCGTTTGGCTCCTTGTGTGCAGACGTCGACCTTGTCTAAATAGGGACTTTTAGATTTGCGCGTCGACATATGGACTGCTACGTGTGACTACGTGCAAATCTAAAAGTCCCTTATGTTTCAATGTTAATCGGGGTAAATTATTTTGAATTGAACCAGTCAATTGGCAAAATGGTTTCTTATGCTGCCTGCAAAAGAAGAAGTTGGCCCATTGCCGGCTGCACGTGAGGCGCCATTACTGTCTTGAATAGAGATCAGCGAAACCATACAGAATGATGACCGGCCGTGCCCGAAAAGTCAAAGCAAATAATTTAAACATGCATCCACTTTTACCTTGCAGATTAAATGATTTCCATCGAAGCCAATTTTTCAGACAGATCCAAAATCCGAAACCTTGCACTCCTGGGTCATTAAGTTGCTTCTGCACATATAGACCTGGTGTGGTGTATTGAGACACGAAATGACAAGGCAGCTACACTCTGATATCGGCCATATTGAAGACAGTCTTTATTATCCAACAACAGATGGCAGTATAACAGTTGGCGAGGTGGCATAACACCATGTACACTACACTCCTCCCCCACTAAAAAAAAATAAGAGGTTAACTGTACTTCCATTAAAACATACATATGTGAAGCAACCTCTTTTTTAATATCACAAAATTTCCATAAAATAACAAAATCAGCAAATCAGCCCACCTTATGCCAAATAACTGACGACGTTAAATTTTGCTATCAAAATATATGTTGAGTAATTTCCAAAAAGAATTTGATGTTCCATAAAGTAGAAACAAAACACTTTGCTGTGAGTGTGACCCTATTCTAGTAACAAGTGCATTTGCAAACCGTTTTCTATGATTCTAATTCTTCTTCATTACTGAACATTCATGTAACAAAACTAATGGGTTTAGGCTGACATGTAAGACCAGCAATAAACTGAGTTACCCTTATTCAATTGTGTTGTTTGTTTTAACTTCTACAATCATCATGCAAATGTTATATGCATACCGCATACAGTATCTTAATACAAGAAACAATTAATGTTCACTGTTCACCTTTCTCAAAACTTTGGAGAATGTGGCAGAACCATAATATACCAAACTGGTACATAAAATATAAACATAATATATGGAATGGACTTACATTCCTTCTTACATATTTTCTACCAAACGATCTGGTTTCTTTCTCTTTCTGTCTGGGTACCTCCTAACATTGCTTTCTTCATCATGTCGTTCGTTTACCTCTACCCTCTCTTCCTGAAGGTCATCTTGACCTCGACTCTGACCTTGACCACCACTAGTACCACTCAATGTACTAGGCTCTACTGGTGACTTGCTAGTCTCACTTCCAGACACAGACTCATTTGGTACAACAGACCTTGGCAATCCAGACAATTTTGTGCCCGAATTTAAGTGGTCTTGGTTAACAGAGACCCTTTCCTCCTTCTCTAACCTTTCTGGACCTCTTTCCAACAAATGATCAACGTGGCACTGACGTAGTCTTCCTCCAATCCTAACAAGGTATGAATAAAAACCTAGCCTTTTCACAACCACTCCAAGAACATAACGTTCCTTCCCACCTCTATGGTTTTTTACCATGACTTGTTCACCTGATTCAAATTGTCTCAGTTTCATGCCTGGAGTATCATGATACTGTCTCGTTTTTTCTTGTTTTTGTGTCACCCTGGTAACCAAATCTGGCTTAAGCAAACTAAACCTTGTCCTTGGAGCGAATTTGAACACTAATTCGTACGGAGAAACTCCCGTAACAGTTTGAGGGGTTGTTCTATATGAGAACAAGAAATTATCTAACCTGTGTCGAATTGACACATGGGGGTTTCTTCCCAACTTATCACTCAGAAAATACTTCTGCAATGTTCTTTTCACTATTTGAACAGTTCTCTCTGCTGCCCCATTCGAGGCTGGGTGATACGGTGGAACCAACACATGTTTTACCCCATTTTTACTCAAGAAAACTTCCATTTCTTCTGAAGTAAATTGAGGACCATTATCGGACACTAGGGTTTCAGGTAAGCCAAAAACGGCGAACCAACTTCTCAAAGTCTCTATCGTCTTTGCACTAGTAGTGCTCGTCATCAACTCTACATTTACCCATTTACTATATGTGTCTACTAGCACCAAATAGTCCTTTCCTTCCAATTCAAAGAAATCTACATGTACACGTTCCCATGGTTTACGTGCATTTGACCACGGCACAAATGGTACTTTTGGGGGGTCATTTCTCATCCTGAGACATGCTTCACAACTTTGTGATAGTTTCTCTATGTCTGCATCTAACTTAGGATACCAAAAGTAACTCCTTGCAACAGCTTTCATTCTCACTATACCTGTGTGTTCCTGATGTAATTCTTCTAACAATCGTTCCCGGAACTTTGGGGGTATTATCACTCTCATTCCCCATAGTAAGCAACCTTGGTCTACTGATAGTTCATTTCTCCTATTGAAATACTCTTGTAACTTGTCCTCACCACAATGACTTGGCCACCCATTCATCACATGATACAACACCTTACTGAGCACCAAGTCCTTCCTAGTTTCTTCACTGATATCCTTTGCCGATAAAGGCATAGCATTTGTGTATGTGAAGTAGTTCACGGGTAATTCACTAGCCAAACGTGACTCCTTTTTGACAGGAAATCTAGACAAAACATCTGCGTTTGCATGTTCTGTGGACTTCCGATACTTGATTTCATACTGGTGAGCCATCAAAATCAATGCCCACCTCTGCAGCCTTGCAGCTGCCAGGGATGGAATCCCTTTCTTAGATCCAAAGATGATAGTCAGGGCTTGGTGATCAGTTAACAACGTAAACTTCCTACCGTACAAATACTTGTGAAACTTGGTAACCCCATAGATGATAGCCAAAGACTCCTTTTCAATCTGTGAATAGTTTTGCTCTGATTTGGTAAGGGTACGTGATGCATAAGCTACCGGTCTTTCTTCTCCATCTTCCATGAGATGAGACAACACTACTCCTAACCCATACGGGGATGCATCACAAGCCAAAACCAACGGTTTCTTCGGATCATAATGCGTCAATACTACATCACTTGACAACACTTCTTTTACCTTCTCAAAAGCAGTTTGACACTCAGTGGTCCAATTCCACTCGACATCATCTCTGAGCAATTGGTACAATGATGCAAATGTACTAGCTAAATTTGGCACAAACTTAGCATAATACACCACAATGCCTATGAAAGTTCTCAACTCATCTTTGTTCTCTGGTCTCTTTGCATCACAGATTCCTTCTACCTTCTCCTTTGTAGGATGAACACCCTTACTATCAATTTCATGCCCTAGGTATATTACTCTAGAAACCATGAAGGAACACTTTTCCTTCTTCGCCTTGACACCATACTCTTGGAGCCTCCCTAACACCTCATTCAGTGTTTTGATATGATCTTCCTCATTTTCGCTACTAATCAATATGTCATCTAGGTAGCAGCACACTCCCTTCATACCACCTAAGATTCGATCCATAACACTTTGAAACACTGCCGGAGCAGTCGATACCCCAAATGGCAATCTTTCATACTGATACAGCCCTTTGTGTGTATGAATTGTAAGTAACTCCTTACTCTTGTCGGTCAATTCTAACTGCAAGTAAGCATTTGACAAATCAATCTTACTGAATACCTTGCCACCAGCTAGATTAGCAAACAGATCTTCACAGGTAGGTAATGGGTAAACATCTTCCTCTAATACCTTGTTAACTGTTTGCTTATAGTCACCACATAATCTGACTGACCCATCAGACTTTGGAACAGTAACTATTGGGGCCGCCCATCTACTGTTCTTCACTTTCTTTATCACCCCTGCTTTTCCTAGCCTATCCAACTCCTTCTCGACTACTTCTAACTGGGCATAAGGAACTGGTCTAGCTTTACAAAAGGTAGGTTGCACCTCCTCTTTCACTTTTACCTCTGCCTTGAAATCCCTAATCTTATCACCTGGACCACTTGGTCTGAACACATCTTCATGATGTTTCAACACTTCTTGAAGATCTGGGGTTTTTGAAGTAAGCCCTATCTCAAACAACTCTCCCCAATCTATCCTGATTCTTCTCAACCAATTCCTACCCATCAGGGCGACATTGTCACCAGATACAACTACCAATGGTAAGTAATATGCAGAATTTCTGTACTGTACTCTCACTTGTATCCTACCTAAAACTGGTATTTGTATTCTACCATAGCAAGTTAGTTTCATACTTGACCTTTGCAGTGGAATGTGACCTAGAGAATTGTTGTACTCTTTCTCTGAAATTACTGAAACAGCTGCTGCTGTATCTACAACAAATGGCACAACATGATCAGAAATATCAAATTCAACAATAGGAACTGAGTCTGAGTCCATACTAGTATCTTGTTCATCAACTGCGAACAATTTAGGATTGTCATCCTGGACTTCTGTGTCGATCAGATGTGTGTTCGATCTACTGTCCTTTTTTCCTTGACTTGTACTTTGCTGACTATACCCACGACCACGGCCTGGACCTGGACCTCTACCGCGTCCTTGCGATGGTTCGTTGGACTGTCCGCGACTTGCGTTCCATGGTTTCCCGCGTCCTTTGCTGTAACTGGAGCTTGATGTTGCATTTCTGCATGCCCTCTTCAGATGCCCTACTTTCCCGCAACTATAACAGGTCGTCTGCCGGTGGGGACAAGTAGCTGGTTGATGGAAACCTAAACATCGGTAACATTTGCTCTCCTGCTGGGGGGCCCTAGGTTGAGATCTTTCTAGACGATGCACTTCTGCTGAACGCTGACTGCTGCTCGACCCTTGCTGTAGTTTTAAACTATCTGCATCTGCCAGCTCCATCGCAATTGCTGCGTCAACTGCAGCTTTCCAGGTTAGCTCATTTCCTTTGGCCAGGAGCCTCGCCTGCACCTTGTTACTTCGCAGACCTGCTACGAAAGTGTCTCGAAGGTTGGTATCTAGATGTTCCCCATACCCACAATGCCTTGCCAGCTTTTTCAGTTCAAGGATGTACTCTGTTATTGAGTCCTTTGCCCCTTGACGACATTGTCGGAACGCCAAACGGAGTGCAATCTGGTTCTTACTGGAACCATAATAGGTATCTAATACCTCATTCAATTCTTTGAAAGTTTTGGTGCTAGGGTCGTCTGGACAAAAGTGGTTGGACACCGTTTCGAACGCCTCAGGCCCAACTATGGCTAAGAAGACTATTACTTCGTCCCCTTCTGGTATCTTATTGGCTTTTTTCCATATCTGGAATCTTCTTACATAGTTCCCATACTCTTCTCTTTTGGGAAAATATTCCCCAATCTGGCCAATGAATCCCGGCCTCGCCATGCCGCACTGCAGATCATTCACTCAGTCATACAGTACACGTGCAGTAAATTACAAATGTCAACTTTCGATCAGGAATTAGTCTCACCACAATCGTTGAGTCGTAATCGAATGAAATGTAGGTTTCTACTACCCACGAGAACCGCAATTAGCTGTCCTTCCGATCCCGACGTCGGACTCCCTGAATCCCATCCTCGTCGCCAAAATATGTGGTGTATTGAGACACGAAATGACAAGGCAGCTACACTCTGATATCGGCCATATTGAAGACAGTCTTTATTATCCAACAACAGATGGCAGTATAACAGTTGGCGAGGTGGCATAACACCATGTACACTACACCTGGTCTGTAGGCCTACCTACGATCTGCTCCTGTGCTAAATCCTCTGATCTACAGGTTTATAGTTTAACTTGGATATTCTTTATCGAATGGAAGTGAAGCCATCATTATGACATCATTATATACACAAGATACTCCGGGCTAATTTGCCAAAAGTAGGCTACGTAGTTATACGGTTGCAATTTGGTTCTAGATTAGGCTTACTTACAATTTTACAAACATAGTCTACGCCTTTAACAACAAAAATCAAAAACATTAAATCATCGAACCAATCAAGCGAACAACTGTTAAAGGAACACGTGTCGTACAACCCATTCACACAGGTAAGGTTGCCTTTCTACTTAATGCGAGATAATCACCACCTTCATTTTCTTGCAGAAAAGATTGATCTCCAATCATCGAATTTTCATATGGATTCTCGCCATCAGTCATTTCAATACCTCCGTGGATGGTAGAGTCTCTATTGATAGTTGCTGTAGTGCTGGAAGGTAACATCTCCCGTAGTTCGATGTCGGCGTTCGCGTATATGGATTCAAACTGGTCGTCGGTTTGTCCATCGGCAAGTGACGACGCGGCACACGCGTTCTGTTCGCCGAGCACTTTAAGCCCGTACACTGCATTATCCACCTCTGTAGGTAAGTGAGATATCTGCACGGAAGTATCGTCAGTCGGTGTCTGTGACTTCCTAATGGGCTTCTTTGGCTTCACAGGCGGTTGCTTTGCCGCCTTAATTTCTGGTGCCCGTTGCGTATTTTGTTCCAGCACTGGCTTCTTTCTTAGCTTCTGCAAGCCAGCAAATGCGGACGTTTTGACAGCGAGTTCTTGGTACGGATTTACATCGGATCGATCGGGAATGATATAGAGGCTCTCATCCGTACAAACGTTGGAGAATGCGGTGGCTTTTGGAGTAAGAGTGTCGCTTGAGATAGCACCAACTGGAGCGTAGAAATCATCATCATCCGGGTCTTGTGTAGGAACCCTGGGGTAAACTTCGGCGCCATTTTGGATTGGTCCAACGGCGGTGTACTGGTACTCATCGACGGAATCTTGACTAAGAACTCTTGGGGTGACATCGACGCCATTTTGAATTGGTCCAACGGCGGAGTACTGGTATTCGTCGACGGAATCTTGTTTTGGAACTCTTGGTACGACGTCCGTGCCATTGTTGGGAGGTCCAATGGGTGAGTAATCTTCACAAGAAATATTTGATGAAATTCTCGGCACATTTTCGACAGTACTAACTCCATTGTACTGGTATTTATTGTCAGGAAAGTTGTTTTCACTATCACCCGCACCTCCTCCAGTTTTGCCTGTTTGTTTGGTATTCGTGATTTTCCTTTTGCATCTGTTGTAATATAATCGAGAGGGTAGATAAAGGTAAATGGTGTTAATAATAAATTTATCAATGGGGGATGTTTTGGAAAAGCGATATATTGTTTTTCCTCAAAAAGCGAATTGAAATATGAAAGAAGGTTTTGATTGAAATAATTAAACAGATTTCAGCAGTTTGATTATTCAAGGAAGACAACATAGTATGGAATTGTCGATTTGAATTTTGGACAATTTGGACAAATTTGTTTTTAGTTTGGAGGTACTCTTTGGATAGCGTATATAAAAAGGGTATTGTAAAAGTCAATCTCCCATTATTGTAAAGAACTTTTTGGCTTGCACCCATGCAGTAAATAAAAATCGTGTGCTGGATCCTGTAATTCAGTCTTGTAATTAAAAATTAAGTTAGGCTCCCAGGAAGCCTAACATTCTCCCATTACTTCCCCTTCGTAATATATACTAATTTACACATCTTATATTGCCCACTGTACTTGATAAATAATGCAAGTATTTAAAATTGGCCTATATTTGTTATATACAGTATTTAAATTGTATATTTATACAAATAAATCGACGAATCAGTGTGACTTACCGATGACGCAGAAATATAATGATAACAATGATGGCGATAATAAAACAGGGGAGAGTCACTCCAATGGATATCGCGGCAACATTAAGATCTGCAGATGGAGAAAAAATGTTTGAAATGTAGCAAAGAATACTAGCAAGTTATCGCGATGTGATTTTCTTCTTGATAATTGTGCCACTTTTCCATCTTCCGCCACTGTATATCGACAGCTTTGGAACTCCCATGCAGAACGGTTTGTCAACGTTGTTCACTTTTGCCAATGAAATCAGGTTGTAACGAGTCTGGACAATTGAAACTAAATAGCAGTGAGTCCAAATATGGAAATTGTGGTAGTTAGAATGTCGAATTCGGACGGTTGGTGCGTTCTTAAACCAAGAACATCGAGAAAATGCCATGAATTTTACAAGAAGTGACGAATATCCAGAATGTATCCAGAAAGGCACTTATCATGTCAACCGACTTTATTAAATGTACTATAGTATGTACATGCACATCATTTTCATCACCATCGTTTGATTTCTCTCCTAAACTTACCCTTCCTTGGAGTGATGTATGAATCTGTGGTCATTAAATCGCTCGTCACGACGTCGACATTCGTTGTCGTTGATGTAATTGTCAAGGTCGTCGATACGGTCGATGTGGCCTCCGAAGTCGTTGATGACGTTGTCGTTGTCGTTGGCGTCGTCTGCACATGGACAGTGGATGTTGTTACGATGACAGGAGGTGGTTTAGTGAGCACCGGTAGACTCAGTGGAGGCAATGGGATAGGTACTACAGAAAATATTGAGAAAATTTGTGGGTTTTTTAAATGTAATTTTGTTGGTGTTAATCATATATCACAAAAGTCGTTCTAGCATGAAGTTCTTGCGATGACCTCGGAAAGGATAACGATAGAAACAATGGCCAGGTTGCAGTGAGGACTATGTGAGAATTCGGAAACACACGCCCCCCCCCCCCCGCCCCACCCCTCAAGAAAATAATTATAAACAAATAAATAAAAGAAAAATAGAAATTTGAAAAAGGACAGGCAGTACAACCCGTGGCGACATAGCGAGCACGCCACAAGATCTCCTTACGATCACCAAGTGAACTTTTATCGTTGCGCTGATCACCGTTAGAACTCCATGTAGAACGCAATAGTGTAACAAAGGCTTAGGAAAGATTTATATGTCATAGCAGGGGCGGCGGAGCATCTTTCAAAGTGGGGGCACCAACAAAAAAGGGCACTTTCTTGGAAAAGAGGCACATGCAAAGGGTTCCCTCAAAGCGAAAAATTACAAGTTTTAGACATTGAATATTACACCCCTACATTTAAACCAATACATTATGAGTGATCTTTTAAATTTTCATTTTTTACTTGGTCCAAGATACTGCTTCAGCACCACGTTTTGCTAGTTATGCGTGATGGTCAAATTCCGTCAGCAAGATGCCCAAATATCCTCACATTAATTTTGTTCATTATCACATTCGGACAGTGAGATGCCCAAAATGTGCAATCCATAATTTTCATTTCGATCGCCCGCGTCAATTTTAGAAACCGAAGAGTCGATATTCGGGCAAAAGGCGTCAACCCCCCCCCCCCCCCCCCTCTCACCCCACCCCCTTCATAAAATGTGCCATTAGGCCTATCCATGGTTACAAATTACAATCATTGTTATAGGCTACTTAAATCTCTGTATGTGGTTGACTGTTTACGAACTTGTTGATAATTTGTGCCAGTTGTTACTGATAACAAATCTTATTTGAAACATAACCCACGGGTCGATTTAGCGTATGGTGTATGTCATAATAATTATTTGCAAAATGTTTTAGGGGTAACTCGATTTTTTTTTTAAGGCCAAGTAAAAATACCGATTCCGAATTTCTTCAGATTTGTTTTTCTTTTTTAAAATGAGGACGGGGTTCCATGTTATTTGATCAATTTAATTTTTTTTTTCCAATTCTCCAAAAATGCTCTCGGGTCAATTCCAATACGTTTCTTAGTCTAATTTGATTCGTGCGTTCTATACAGAGGTTTTAAAAATGTAAAAGTACATTACAATTATGAAGGTTCTATTACCACACTGTTTGCATGACCTTAGAGTGTTATCTACTTCCGTTTAGAATAAAACAAACTAAGAATTGTGTTTGGCCTAATTTTAACTGCGTAGAGGAAAGATAGCATGAAATCAAAGTCCGATCGGTCCGATTTTGATCTCTCTCTCTCCCACAAACACGCACACGCGCGCACACAAACAACACACACACACACACACACACACAAATAATTTTTGAGGAGCATTTTCTGTTCTTTTTGCCCCCCCCCCCCCCAAACCCCCCCCCCCCCCCCCCCAACCCCTACTTTGTTCTGATACACCTAACGTTCACTTTCGTGGACCTGTTTGATAATGTTCGGCCTCCTGAGCTATTCGTCTCGTAACGTAACGTGTCATTGCCTATATATACTTGGGTGTCCACAATTTTATGTTTACTATGCAGTTGATGTTTAATATGAAAAAGCTTCAATCGTATTACACCGATGACCGATCACATGAAAAAGCGTTTATTTACCAAAATAATCATGACCAAAACATTTAAATCGGACGTTACTTGATGAATCAATCCCAGGTCTATATGTTTTGACGGAAAAGAGCTTTGATCCAGTCATGTTTTCACTTTCAATTTCACTATTAACTTACAGTATGATTTGTAGCCTACAGATTAGTAATACTGCATTGAACTCTTCAGTATTTCCTACGATTCACCTTATCAAACACTCGATCCCTTCAAAATTCTAATTTAATAGGCGTTTTGAATATCCGCATATTGTTGTGTTTTTTTGCACTAACTTCCCCTTTTTCATCGCTACTTTCATTTCCCCAGAATATTTTTTTGCTGTAATTTCTACAGAACAGGAAACCAAAAGGAAACCACGGTAGACCTGAAAACTTTATACAAGGAATTATTTTACTGTAAAGTAGACGACGGTCTTCCTGTTTTCTCGCCTATTTTTTAATATGACATTTATCAAGGAAAGAATGAAAGAATGTGGCCTTTTTTTTATTTTTTTAAAGTAAGTCCACGGGGAATAATAGATGACTGCATTGCCAATGAGAGGTTCCTCCGTGTGCTTATGCCATTAGTCATCTCAACATTTGAAGAAAAACGTAGTACATCCTTATTCTTTTACAATTTTTTTTCCTCAAACATTAATAATTGTTATACTTGTTCCACAAGCCGGTTTTTTAAATGAAGGAACTATATCTTTTAAAGGGCCACTCTAACCCCCAACTAACATAGCCCTTCAAAACATGAATACACCTCTACTTATTAATATTCCAGCCTTCAGAACATCTCTAAATAGACCAAAAAATGATAATAACCATCCATTTTTCACAGATCAAACGCTTGGACTACGCCCCTCTAAAAAAGGGTAATACACTCTGTTAATTTTTCAGAAAAAACAATAAAAACAGAAAGAAAGAAAAAAAAAAAGGGTAATACGGTCACGTGGCTTGATGACGCATTTGACGTCACTGCGGGCATGTCCGATTTGTCCTACAACCAAGGATCTTACAAACCCACTGTAATTCATAAATGAAACGTACTGGGATTATCAAGTGCATATTATTTTTCGGATAAATGTCTTTTTTCCCGATGAATATCATAGTTTGCCTTTTTAAAGACATTTGAATGCCTAAACCACCCTCCTTTTCACCGGAGAGGCTCTATTGCGCAATACAGCTCCGAAACGAGGCTATTTTTCTGAGCGTTCTGACTCGTCATTTTTAAAGCTAAATTCCAGAATTTTTGATGATTTCTAAGAAAAATCATTGTCTTGTTCGGAATCTCCGTCAAAAGTTATACAACATATCTTTTTTCCCCTCCATTTTTAGCCCGCTTTGGTTAGAGTGGCCCTAGCCTTTAAGATATCTCAACTTGCTTAATTCTCACGACGTGTGAACAGCGACCATGTACATTCCACCGTGTAAACACAGCTTCCGACGTAGGTAGTAAGGCGATGTTGTGAGAGAACTATAGAGATACAAAAAAGGCCGTCATTATATGACCTCATGAACGGGTTGAGTAACCATTTTGCTGGTTTACAGCACATGAAGTAGATCATTTATGACATCCTCAACTGACTGTTGCTCAAGTACGAGTTGGTGATTGCCCAAATATTGGTTATTTCTGGGAGGCTACAGCCATAGCATCCCCTTCACCCCAACCCCTGCCTCGTGGGTCTATGTTTGGAAGGCCGATGGTCGGTGTGATCTATACCGGATGTTTATGATGACCCTAAACGAGAAATGACCCGACTATTAAAACAGATTGCGTTTTTGTCATGCATTTTGACGATAAACGAGATCTATAGGCCTATATATACTAGTATATCACATAGGAAAACATTGCAAAGTTGTCCCGCACAATATGAGATCAGAAATATATTTGTTAGGCCTACCCCTGTCAGACGACATCAGACCGACACCAGATCGAAAACAGACCGAAAAAAATATGACATTACCCGGAATAATCAAGAATCGGTCAATTTAGTGGTGTGACTTGGTTATGAATATATCAATTATAGCTAATTTTACATCCGTCACAATACCGGTGCAATTAAGGTTGACAATAATATAATGAAATTATTTTCCAGTCCCATGAAATCATAAAATATCATCCAAATCCCACCAAACAATGAATTTGAATTTGAATTTATTAACAACAAAACAACAACAAAGTCATAACACAATGTTACAAATGTATTCAAGTGGGTAACAAAATAACAAAATATCCATGTACATGAGTTACAAAGAAAAGGAAAATATCCAAAGTTGAACCAATTAAATTAATCATATACCATGTCATATCAAACCTGTGAATTAGCTATAACTTAATAATACGTAGAGATTTGTGGCTGAAATTGAAATTCACAGAGTTCCAATAGCGTATAAGTGATTCAAATAAAGGATATTTTTAAACTTAAAAACTTAATATGTTGTTAAAGGGAGAACCAAAAGTTAGCACGAGTGCTAGTCGGGATTGGTTCTCCAAGTTTCTAAAACTGTATGCAAATTCTTATTGATATTTATTTTGACTTAATATCATATTATTTGATCCTCATGATTCATCTCTGCTTATGCTTAAAAGTTTTGCGTCTATAGGTCGCACAGTTTTCACTCAAAAATGTATTCCAAAAACTGAGTCACGAATTTTGTATAATCAGGAAGCCAGTTTGGCGAAGGATTTGTTATAATAAACTATCTAGTTTCCTTTTAAACACAAAATGGAGGAAACATTTTTTTTTATAATTTTTTATTTTATATCTTGAGTCGTCACACTGGAAGATATTATTTTACGTGATATCTATATGTATTTTTGTCATATTAATACTTTATAACTATGAAGTTTTGTAAGAATTTGTGCTGATATAACACATTTATCCTTGACTGTATCACACATTCATTGTTTAATTTGTTTCTCTCTAAAAGGCATTCATTTAATTAGGCCTACTTAACATGTATACTTGTTGTCATATTTTGTTTCTAATAAATACGGGAAGAATACAAGTTAAACATTCTGTCCAAATCAGTAAACCGAAATGAATGAGTTATTAAATGTTATTGATTGTCGAATCAATGACTTGATGATGATCATAGGGGTACATATATCTTTTGCGAGGGGAGGGGGGGGGCTGAACAATTTTGCTTGAATATCAACTCGCTGGTTTAAAATTCTGTAAATTCTGTGAGACAGCGAGCTAAAAAGAAATTAATCTCGAACGGTATCAGAATCCACTAGCTGAGATATTAAAGAAATACATATTTGGGCATATATTTGGCCCGCTCGCTGCCCAAATATGAGGTGGCAGTTGCCCGAATATTGATATAGGCCTATAATAAAAACCAGTAGGGTTCCAGATATCTATAGGGAATTATATGTATAGGTTTAGGTTATATACATCGTTTCAGAGTATGTGTTATATTCCATTTATTACAGTCATATATATAGGCTTATTTTTTTATCGTAGCTAATCTGGATTGGAACGCGGGAACCAGAATAAAATCAAATTCGATTGCAATATACTCACTTCTATTATTTTGAGACATCGCCCTGGCAAACAAACTGAGCACAAGCATTATTCTTGCTGCAAAGTGAGGCGAAAGACATACCGAGACAGCTCCCATGTTGATCAATGTTTGAAAGCAAAGCTATCCGTAAAGTCCACAAACAAGTCGAGGGTTTGCAAAAAAATACAGAAGTTTTCTTTCTTGGTAATGGTTATAATGATTTTACACCTTTTTAGTCCTTTGTTCAAATTTCAAGCATATTGAAACTGTAAAACCGTCCATCCAACAATTCCTCCAAAGCAAAAGAGTACGAACTGTGAAATCATCAGTATATAAGCTGAGAGTGTCAGGTATATTCGGTACGCGTAGAGTGAACAATGTAAACAAACAACTTTTCCAACACAGAGTTTCCCGGATGTTGAACGAGCAGGCCTATAGAAATATTTTGTCGGTGAAAAAGGGAGACCGACTGCAAAATCGATAGCTAAGTAATGTTTTAATTCCCGAGAAGCTATAAAAGCTTAAATCCGCCAGAAGTCATAACATGAAATTATAGAGCTTTTCACTACGTTTATATAGGTAAGGTAAAGATGCAATGATGACCATGATGACAAGGAATGCTGCAACCACTTGTAACAAAACGAAAAAAATCCTTTCAAATGCACTTAATATGATTCCTGGTTATGGGCTGCCTGTTATGCCTCAGTCATACCGAACGACTCTAAAAACCGAAAACTTAGGCATTCAGGTTAAATGGAAATCCAACCAGGCCTTGTATAAACAAGAATCATTTTGTATGTATGCAGAAAATAAGAGAAACTGAAAGAAAGTTTAAAATAAATCAGACCAATATAAGAAAGTTATGAATGTTTGAAATATGAGGTCGCTGAGTTAATGCAAATCTTAAATTGGCAATTCTGACCATTGTGACCACTGAATTGAATATACGTATTTTCAGTTCACTGCCACTTGACGTAGTCACGGACAACGTTCTCTCCCGTTTGTCTTGTACAAAATATCAGTAATATACGTTTTTCTCGTAAGTGCCTAGATCTCTAAGAACTTAATTGTGTTAATCCTTTAAAGAGAAAAAGACCCTCCTGAGTAATACATCTTTGAAAAATTGATATTTTAGTTATTTTGTGTCTTGGAACAAATGGAAAAGCAGTCCGGCACTACGTGTGCTTCTCTGATTTGTCTGCTTTCTATGAGAATAGTTTGTTGCTATGGTGTTGGTTTTTCCTTTAATTTGATATTGGTCTGGTGTCGGTGTGACTGGCGTTAGACCGCCCTCATTTCCTTGTCATGTTCGACCGGATATTGTACACTGGTCCACTACCAACTAACCTCCTTGCTGTGACGTCATGCTTTCGGTGAAAAACCATCAAACTTCCATTTTTAAAAGCCTTTGAACTTGGAATTATTTCCGAGCAATCTACTGATGACACCGTATCTGGGCAAAATTACTAATCAACAGCATGAGAACATTGTGAGAAAATTTCCCGTCTATACCCCTACGATGCAGGAGTTACGTGTGACATAATATTAGGCTAGGGCATAATCATAATTTGTTCATTTTTTATTTTATTTTTTTATTATTATTTGTTTGTAGCCCAGGGTGGCCTAGTCGGTAATTTTGACACTGTTATTCTTTAGGGACTTGCACACATAAACACAACAAATGTAACAGATATACACGAATAAAATAATGATAAAACACACGGGCGGCGGAGCAACTTCCAAAGTGGATGTATGGAAAATATCCGATTTTTATCAGACATTGGTATATACCCCTACATTGTGATTTCACTATCCGGGATGCTTTCAATATTGCTTTCTCTTTATACATCATACAAGATATTGCTTATTGTGATGGTCTGAATATTCATTTAAAAGCGAGCAAGGAAAACATTTAAGATTTGTGAGGTCGCAGTGCGAAAAATTACATCTCAGTTATAAAGAGGAAAAAACCCAATCCTGATAGGGTTATAAGCACATTCTCATAACGGAAGACTGAAAAGGCCTTTGATAAGCAACATAATTATATCATTTATAAATGCGAGTGAGTGTAGCGAGCGAGCTTCGGGGGAATTTGCTCCTAGTCGCTTTAAATAAAGGGCACGTTTAATGATATTAGACGAAAAGGGGAAACTTATCGAAAGGGATAACAGGGGGATAACACACCTATTAGAAGAGAAAAGGAGCACGTGTCAAGGTACAAACATAAATTATCAGAGGTGAAAATGGGGCACTTCTAATATCTGAACAGAGGCACCCACAGGGGATGAAAAAAGGCACTAATGAGATTGTAAATTGGCATTTGTCGACGGAAATGGGGCACCCATCATATTTCGATAGGGACATTTATGAAAAGCGGATAGGTCCCTTACTAAAAAGGAAAAGGGGTACGTAGCATTGTTAAAAAGGAAATTATCAGAGGTGAAAAGGGTCACTTATTGCACCTGAAAATGGGCACTGACCAGATATGAAAAGGGGTACTCATGAGAATGAAAAGGGACACTTTTCATAGGTGAAAATGAGCATTTATGAGAAGGGGAAGGAGCTCTTTATTTTAATGGGGGTATTTATCATCAGGAAGAGGGGCACTTAATAGAAAGGAAAATGGGCCCATGTGAAAATAAAAGGTGCGCTTTTCGGAGTAAAAAGGGAAAATTATTAAAAGGGGAAGGGCACTTCTTACAAAGGAACAGGGGCACCTCTCAAATTTGAATAGGGTAATTATCAGAGGTGAAGCGGGCACTCATCAAAATTGAAAAGGGCACTTCTCGTACATGAAAAGAAGCACTTAATAGAGATTAAAATGGACACTTATTGCAAAGAAAAGTGGGAAGTTGTCGAAGGAAAAGGGGCACAAGTCAAAATAAAAGGGGCACTTTTCAAAGAAAAATGGGCCCTTTCCTATATAAAACGGGCACTTTCGTGGTACACGAAAAATAAGGGGGCACTGTGCCCCCTGCACCCTCTGGAGCGCCGCCTCTTATATGTTCACTAAATATTTCAATTACAATGATTTTAAAGATTTATTAAAAGATTCTCACGTTCAAAACATCGTTGGATGTGAGTATAAACATTTAGTCAAAAGTACAATTATTTCTTATTTTAATGTCACCGTTTCCACCTACTTGTTAGCTGACTGTGTTGGAAAGAATAGTTAGCAACATTTGCAAGCGATTTCATTTTCTTTATTAAAAAAAAATCTATTAAGGGCCTATATTAGTCTCCGAATAATAAACCTTATAATAATAAACAAAAATATTGAAACCTTTAACGGCTTTACCGGAATAATGAAGAATGGAAGAATAAATTTAAAAAAAAAAAAAAACCCCGAGTTGCACCCCCTCCATCCCTTAAAGTAATACACAGTACTCGATTTTAGGTATCGTGAGAGTAAGTGGCCGGACTTTTACAAGAACTTCCAACCATGATTCCAGCTTGGTTCGCTTGGGACATAGCGATCAAAAACTAGTTCAGGAACTTCCGTCTTTTAATACAAAATAGTTACGAAGTCAACAATTCCGTGCCAAAGAAAAGTAGAGATATCCGTGTTTTCGTTTATTAATAAGTGATTTGCCTGCAATATCGTGACAACAAAATGTGTAGGCATGTAAAGGGAAACATTTGTGGGTCACATTGTGAGTTGTAAACAAAAAATAATAATGACGAAAGTAGACTTCCCGTTACCATTAAACGTTTAGACTGCGCACTTTTTTAAAACAAAGTTCATTCGAGTAAAATCAGAATAATAAAGTAAACTTAAACTGAACTATCATGATTGGATTAAGATTAGTCATTCAGATGATTAAGCTTTCTCACCGGACATTGTACAGACAAAGGGATCACCGTAAATAGATCGTTGGTATAAAACTACCAGCAGGGGTGCCACCGGACCATTTTGAGGAAGTTGGGAGCGTGGGGGGGGGGGGGGGGGGGACGTCAGACCTAATCTGCCCACATGTTATACAGGAACTAATAAAACAATGATAATACTAACTGGTTTGTAAGAATTTCAAATTGCCGACAAGGCTAAGAATAGATATACAAATGTGCTATCAGAACTGTTTAAGGGGATGGGAGATACACCTCATACCAGTGACGCTCATGTAAACGTCGTTGTGGTGTATCAACGGATGTCGAGAAACTTGGAGTATACTAGTAGCCCAGTAAGTGCATTAGGCCTATATATTGTCATTTAAAAAAAGTAAATGTAGAAAATGAATACATTTTTCAGTTCCAAGCTCATTGACCTAAGATATATGACAAAAACTAAATCAGAAATTTACAAAACCGGTATACATTATAATTATGAGACATCTATTCTTTTATAATCACTTTTTTGTTGTAAACTATTTGTTGGGGGTGATGATTCATATTTGTTGCCATATGTACTATCGGGAGAAAATGAAACTAAAGATGGACCGTGTGAAAATAGGTAACCTTGTGCATTGAGAAGCGATTTCCGGTGTACATGTCGGGGGAATTTCTCTGTGATTAAAAGTATACTACATCATGTATATGCATGGTGAACGGTTCAAAAGTACAAGATCAATTATGAATGTGCTGATTGACATAACATGGGTCTAGTCGTTGAGGGGACACAATCAACAAGGGGGTGGGGTGGGGGTACTAATTACACGATGCGGATGAAGTGCTTTTTCCTTTATATGTTTACGTTCCCTTTCTCCTCTTTTTTCGTTCTTTCACCCATTTCTCCTTTTATGATTGCTGTTTTATTTGGAGAACGCCCCCCCCTACGGTGTAGCTACATCACTGCATTTGTATATTCCCAAGTATACACATTGGAATTGTTAATTATGTTAATGACGTTGTATAGCACGAGGAGTTCAATAGTGGAGTACAGGTGCGATAATTTTTGTCATCATGACAAACTGTGACAAACTGTGAGTCTATACGCCTACTCCCCCCCCCCCCTCCATTACGGAATCAATTACAGCGGCGACTGTGCTATAACATTGAATACCATGTATAGTATCGAGACTTCGCCTTCATATTTCAGACAACGAATAGGCATTTTTTGTTAACACATGAGGGAGGGGGGTGGACGCCCAAAACACTTTCCGCGGGCTGTATACCACCTTCCCCCATATAGACCTACACACAAACATACCAAACGCAAATTGACCGCTGACCCCTGCATGTCTATAGTAAAGAATGAAAATGAATTTCGATTGCTATATTGATCAAGAATATCACCTATTATGACTCACCATGAAGATTGGCAAAAGTTTTATCATACAAAAATGTAAAATGTTTATACAATGTGTAATTACATGTTCGAGCAGTGACATACCATGACATAATTAAACTTCCGCTCCATACCGATTGCAACTTCTCTGTTATTTTTTTTTATTTGTGATTAAAAGTGTCAGATTTATTGTTTGTTGCTTGCTTGTTTATGTGTGATATAGCCTATCACCAGTATACTATTGTTGATATTATGATGGCACATTAAATATCACGCGAATGAAGAGGCATAAATACATCCGGCAACAGGGGCGGATCTAGCTTTTTGCTGAGGGGGGGGTTGACCAATAATGACGATGCGGAGCATCGTCCACGAGCCGCGAAGCGGCGAGCCGATTTTTGGGGGTGTTTATTTGAACCCCGTAAGTGATGTTTTCCTGGCATCTATTAACACAATGGAGACCATAAAAAGCAGTGCATGATAACGTCTTTTTAAATCAAGTAACAGTTTAATACATAGTTATATCCAGAGTTATCATGTGTTTGGTTAAGTTACCAGATGAGTTGAATATCTTCTCACAATATTTGCACTTGAAAGGGTTTCTCTCCAGCGTGCGTTCTTTTTTCTTTCTTTTTTTCTTTCTTTTTTTCTTTTTTTCCCTTTTTTTTTTTTCTTTTTTTTTGGGGGGGCCACCCAAGGGGGGGGTTGCAACCCCCCCAACCCCCCCCCTGGATCCGCCACTGGGCAAGCATTCGGATATTCACCACACTTGGATGTGGTGAAATAATGCATGATCAACACCGTTTATCAGCGATTATACGTATGGGTCGACTATTTAAAAACTATTGATATCGTTATCTTCTTAATTGTGGAGTGATTTAGCCTTTTAATGTACAGGATATTGCTTTTAAATTTATATGAGGTGGACAATTGTACAAAGGATGGAAAACAAATTCTCGGCTTTGATGAATTTTGGATTGGGGGACAAGATACATTTTAACTTCTTACATGCCTAAAACAAAAAGGGTGAAATAACGACCAAAAAAAATCCACGTACGCCACGTCACTCCGCTTTTGGTTGAAAGTTGGGTGACTAAATTATTTACTTTTTTATACTATATTGATTGCTCATTAAACGTGGGAAAGCATCTTTATTATAAGTATTGTAACTTTGTTAACAACATGCAAGGGGAAAATGACAAAACAAAATTAGAAATGTTATTGTTATCGAACCCTGTAAAAGAATGACATTTAAAATGATAATCACGTAAACACTACACTGAAATATTTTGACAATACATAAACATTGATATTGTATTTAAGGAGACCAATTTAACTAAAAATAACTAAAACGTAAAGAAAAAAAATGAGGGAAGGATTAGATCATTAGAGTCAGTGGCGTAATGAGCTAAACAAAACTTGGGGTCAGAACAAAAATTCTTATCACTACCTAGTAGCATAATGCAGGGGCGGCGGAGCGTCTTCCAAAATAGGGAGGGGGCACCAGCAAAAAGGGCACTTTCTGGAAAAAAGGGACACTTACAAAAGGAAACATCAACAAATCTTACACCATTTTGTAAACATTGGTACATCCCTACATCGTCATGATTGTGATTACACTCTACCAGGGATGATATAAATGTTTGTTTCTTTCTTTACGTGGTACATGATACTGCTTAATTAAGCAACATACTTTGCAGTTAGGTGAGATGGCCTGAATATTAACGGGCGAAAATTACATCCGATAAAGAAGACATTGAACAAACCCTGTTTAGTTTTACGCACAATCTAAATTAAATGAAGAAAGTCTGACAAGTTCTTTTATAAGTAACATGATTATAACAACTATAAATTAGGGGTGCATGTAATGGAGAAATGAAAAGTAGGCACTTATCAGAAAGGAAAAGGACATTATTAGAAAAGAAAAGGTGCAAGTGCCAATGTAAACAGGGCAATTATCAGAGGTGAAAGTAAAGCACTTCTTACAGTGCACCTGAAAAGAATCACTCGACAGAGATGAAAGAAGGCGCTTGTGAGAATGGAAATGGGGGCATCTGTTGAAGGAAAAGGGTGCCTATCATATTTTAATAGGGGCATCTATCAGATGTGAAAAGGGGCATTTTGAAAAGAGGAGGGTTTCATATAGAAAAGGAAAATGGTTACTTATCCGAAGCAAATATGGTACTTATTAGAAAGGAAAAGGGGCACGTGTCAAAGTATAAATGGGCAAATTATATAAGAGGTGAAAGGGAAATTTCTCGCACCTGAAAAGAGGCACTCGTCGGGGATAAAAAAAAGGGGCATTTATAAGAATGGAGAAGGCGCACTCATCAAAGAAGAAAAGGAGCATTTATAACGAGGGGAAGGGAGCAATTATTACAAAGGAAAATTCAATTTATGGAATTACTAGCAATCAAATAAACCTCTTCAAATTGTACCTCTCAGATTTTAATAGAGGCAATCAGTAGATTGCTTAGAAATTCCAAGCTTAAGGGCTTTTAAAGTCGGAAGTTTGATGGTTTTTCAAAGCAAGCACGACATCACAGCACAGAGGTTAATAAATTGGTGGTAGACCAGTGCACAATATCCGGTCGAACATGACAAGGAACATGAGCGGTCTAGCGCCAGTCACATCGACAACAGACCAAAACCCCATTAAAGGAAAAACCAACACCATAACAACAAACTACTCTAGACTCATAGATAGCAGAAGAATCAGAGAAGCAGACTGGTGAAAGTTTTAGCGAAATTGGACAATAATAAGAAAACTATGATTTCTTTGAAAGTCGTAAATACTACACACATGATAACTTAATTGGCTAACTAGTAGGTAATATCATTGTAGTGCCGGACTACTTTCCCATTTGTTGCAAGACACAAAGTAACTAAAATATCAATGTTATATCAATGTTTTACTCAAGAGGGTCTTTTTTCTCTTTAAAGGACATATTATAATTATGCTCTTAGGGAATTAGGCCCTGCCTGAGACAGTGCCGCAAGGGAGGAGGCACTTACGAGAAAAAAAAACATAAATTAATGATACTTTTGTACACGACAAACGGAAGAGTACGTAGTTCGTGCATGGTACGTCACATGTTACTGAACTGAAAATACGTTTATTCAGTTCAGCTCAGTGGTCACAGTGCACCTACCGAATTGCCAATTTGAGATTCGAATACACTCAGCGATCTCATATTTCAAACATTCATAACTCTCTTATCATTGGTCTGATTTATTTCAAACTTTCATTCAGTTTATCTTATTTTTTGCGTTACGAATGATTTTTTTTAAAACAAGGGTTGGATTAGCCTTTAACCTGAATGCCTAATAGTTATCGGTTTGGAGTCGTTTGGTGTGACTGAGATATTACAAGCAACCCACAACCAGGAATCATAAGTGCATTTGGATTGTTATTTTCTATACAAGCGGTTGCAGCATTCCTTGCCATAGTCGTCATCACATCCTCACCTTATCTATAAAAAAAACGTGGTGAAAAGCTCTACATTTTATGACTTATTGCTGGAGTGATTAAAGCTCTTATATAACTTCTCGGGAATTAAAACATTACCACTTAGCTATCAATTTTGCAGTCGGTCTCTCTTTTTCACAGACAAAGTATTTCTATCGGCCTACTCGTTCAACATCCGGGAAACTCTGTGTTTGAAAAGTTGTTTGTTTCACTCGACGTGTGCTCGCGAATATACCGGACACTCTCAGCATAATTATATAGTGTCACGTAATAATATTATTATTTCATAGTTTATACTCTTTGCTTTGGAGGAATTGTTGGACGGTTTTACAGTTTTAATTTGCTTGAAATTTGAACAAAGGACTTAATTACTAAAAAGGTGTAAAAGTCATTATTATTACCAAGGAAGAATACTACTATATTTTTACGATTTCTTGTAATTAACCCTCGACCTGATTGTGGACTTTACGGATAGCTTTGCTTTCAAACATTGATCAACATGAGAGTTGTCTCGGAATGTCTTTCGCCCTACTTTGCAGCAAGAATAATGTTTGTCCTCAGTTTGTTTGCCAGATCATTTTCTCAAAATATTGGAGGTGAGTATATTTCAATCGAATTTGATTTTATTCTGGTTATCGCATTCCAATCCAGATTAGCAGCGATAAATAATAGGCCTATAATAATGTAATTAATGGAATATAACACATACTCTGTTACGATGTAATATATCGTAGACCGCGTAGGTATAGCAAACACATAATACCCTGTAGATATATCTAAAACCCTTCTGATTTATACTGTTGGCCTACGCCCAAATATGTAATTCTTTAATATCTCTGCCAGTGGATCTTCATACCGAAATACAGTTTACCATAATAATGCCAAAACTAGATTGGTTTCTTTTTAGCTCGCTGTCTCACAGAATTTTTAAACAAGCAAGTTGGTATTCGGGCAAAATGCTTAACCCCCCCCCCCCCCCCCTTTCGCAAAAATGTGTCTGTACGCCTACTATGATCATCATCAAGTCATTGATTCGACTATCAATAATATTTAATCATTCATTCAATTCGGATTACTGATTCGGACATAGTTTTGAACTTGTATTCTTCCCGTATTTATTAGAAACAAAGTTACATAACATGTTAAGTAATCAATTTAGTGCCTTTGGAGAAAAAGAGCTAAATTAAAGTGTCACACAGTTAAGGCCAAAACTGTTTCATCAGCACAAATTCTTACAAAATGTTGTAAACAAATAAAAAGTAGTTTGAAAGTAATGCAATTTTCCCGCATATTTGTTAAGTATTGAAATGATAACGTTACATGTAAATATCAAGAAAACAATGTTACTATAGCTTCTAGTGTAACGACTCCAGATATAAAAGAAAATGTCATGAAAATATTGTTTCCTCCACTTTGTGTTTAAAATGAAACTAGACAGTTTTCATAATAAAACCTTCACCAGACGGGCTTCTTCATTATGATAATTTCGTAACTCAATTTGTGAAATAAATTTTTGAGTGAAAACTGTGCGACTTATAGACGCAAAACTTTTGAGCTTAAGATTGTTTGGTTGGATTTGAATGATATTTTATGCTCTCATGGGACTGGACTATTATCATAATATTATTGTCAAACCCAATTGCATGGTATTATGATGTAAAATTAGCTATAATTGATATACTCATACCCAAGTCAAACCGCTAAATCGACCGATTCTTTATTATTCAGGGTATGGTAATTTCATTTTTTGTTCGGTTTGTTTTCAGTCTGGTGTCGTCTGACTGGGGTAGGCCTATCTTATATATTTTTGGTCTCGAATTGTTCGGGGCAACCTTGCAATGTTTTCCTATGTGATATACTATAGTTTATAGGCCTATAGATCTCATATATCGTCACACTGCTTGACAAAAACGTAATCTGGTTTAACAGTCGGGTCATTTCTCGTTTTGGGTCATCACAAACATCCGGTATAGATCACACCGATCTGTATAACCATCGCCCTTCCATACAGAGACCTACGGGGCGGGGAGGGAGGGGGGTGCTATCGCAGTAGCTTCCCATAAATAAACAATATTCGGACAATCACCAACTCGAACTTGAGCAACAGTCAGTTGAAGATGTCATAAATGATCTTCTTCATGTGCTGTAAATCAGAAAAATGGTTACTCGAACCGTTCATGAGGTCATATCAAAACGGTCTTTTTAGTATTCTGTAATTTGATTTGGTATGATTTTCTTCTGCATTCAGATAAGTTTGCAGTTTTTCGATAACATTAATAAAAAATACAATAAACATTTTTCTGACAGTGAATCATAAATAAGTAAATATATATAACAATTGTTATTTTCAAAAACGAAAAGAAAAACTGTCATAAATACTAAATTTCATCAAACATTATACAATTATTTGCGGTAGAAGGACTGTCGTTGTAAGCAGATTGCATGCCCATAGATTCTTATTTACTTCCGTTTTAGCACTATACAGCGCCTCACTACCTTTGTATCGGAAACTGTGTTCACACGGTGGAATTTAGATGATCGCTGCCCACATTTATTTATATTTTGTAGAAGTTACAGCAAGAAAATATATGGTGGAAATAAAAGTAGCGATGAACAAAAAGGGAACTGTATAGGACACATGAAATTGTGGACACCCAAATATATAGCCAACAGGTCCACAAAATTGACCGTTAGGTGTATCAGAACAAAATAGTGGGGGGGGGGGGAGAGAAAAAGAAAACGAAATGCTCCTCAAACAATATTTGTGGGTGTGTTTGTGCGCGCGCTCGTGTTTGTGGGAGAGAGAGGGGCGTCGAACTCGGAACAATCGGATTTTGATTTGATGCTATCTTTCCTCTACTCAATTAAAATTAGGCCAAACAAACTGAATTCTCAGTTTGTTTTGTTCTAAACAGAAATAAATAAGAATCTGTGGACATTCAATAAGACAGTGTGGCAATACAACCTTTCATTATTGTGATGTAAAGTCACCTTGTTTTAATCCTCTAAACAGGAAGTCCAAATGAAATTAGACTTATTGGAATTGACCCAAGAGAATTTTTATGTACAGGGGTAACAGGGCTGAATATCAAATATCAACTAACATTGAACCTTGTCCTCATATTAAACGGAAATGAATTTTTTCGCAAGTTATGACATACACCATACGTGAAATCGACCCAGCTTAAAATGAACTGGGTCATGTTTCACATAAGACTTGTTATCAATAACTTCTGCCACAAATCAACAATAAAATCGTTAACAGTTAATCAAATACAGAGATTTAAGTATACTTATAACAATGAATGTAATTTCTATTATAAGTGACAGGTGTAGGGCACATTCAACGAAGATGGGTAGGGATTGGTGAGGGGGCTGACGCCTTTTGCTCGAATATCGACTCTTCAGTTTCTAAAATTGCCGCGGGTGAGTGAAACGCAAATTAAAAAATAGCACATTCGGGCATCTCATGCCCAGACAATGAGACGATTCGGGCACTTGCACAAAATAATATGAAGATATTTGGGCATCTCGCTGACGGAATTTGAGTTGCTGGTTGCCCAAACAGCGGAACTTTACGAAATCCCATGAGCTAAAGCCCTCCAACCCCTCGCATACGCCTATGTTTGTTACTTAAAACTAATAAGAAGGGCCTTCCTTGAACCACTTTCTTCTTTAGATGTGAGGTTAGTGGACAGGGGCGGTGCTGTGGGAGTCAGTGCAGGTCGCGTAGAGGTGTACAGCGACCTCGGACCCGGAAGTGCAACCTGGGCAAGACTTTGTGAGGCAGGGTGGAATTCAGATGTCGCCTCTGTTGTCTGTCGGCAACTTGGTTTCGACGGTGTGCAGAGATTCTATAGCAGCTTGGCACCAAGACGGCCAAAGTCGATCATACGGCTCAACAGGTGTAATTCGAATACTGGTAGGCTATTTGATATATATAGTGCATGACGTGGAAAAGCTTTTCAGAAATCATGTAAACCTTATGTAAAATTAGTTTGTCTATGTTTCCATGAAGGAACAAACAAATAAATGTAATTTTAAAAATCGAAGCAAAAAAAGGGGGAAAAGGAAGTTCCGAAACTTGTTGGACTTGGAAACATTTCCTCAGGAATTAATTTCGTCACTCCTCCCAGGATCTGAAAATTAAGGGGGTGTTTGTGGGACGTATACTAGCCTCTTAAAAGTTGATCTTGATGCTTTAACTCTTTTGATGCTTAACTCGGTTTGGGCGGGGTGATCCCGTTTAGCCCCCTGAATTATGAAGGCTTATATTATGTTTTCTTATTAGGTCCTACGTGTTCGCATCTATTTTTAATCTGTTATTCCCCGAATGCGGAAACATACGGAGATTATACCTGTGCCAAAGTCTTTTTTTTTTTTTTTACCTACAATTAAAAAGTTAAGACCAATTGCATTTACTTGATAGTTTGCGACGACTGCAGAATCGTTTATTGTAAAATGGCTGTGGGAGGACATTTCCAACAAAATAGATCGAAATCAATAATTTGGAAATAGACGAAACCTACAGTATAACATCCACATCTGTACCAAAACCTTGATTGTATATTATTGCTACTGAACCACTCCCATCAAGCATTCCAAAAACTCCTACCATCTTTTCTTTTTATTCTGTTCTTCACTCTCCTGATTTAAATGAAATCAGTAGGACCATGATGAAATCCACTACTCTCTTTCTTCCTCTCTTAAATATCCAATATCACCTTTTATTTGCTTACAGTACTTACCTTTCCAGAAACACACACTTTTATTTGCCTTGACCTTTATACTACCGTGCAATATTGTTTCAAAGGTGTAATTGTATGCAATGATAGTGCTTTGAACAACAGTCTTGTGCATGCTTTATGAATAATGCTATCAATGTTATCTTATTTATGTATCTCTTACATTCAGTTGTACGTGTTTTCATATTGTTTGAATTTGTATATAAATTGTATTTCACTTTCACTTTAAAAATGAACAATTCAGTCTGCCAGTCATGTTTTAATCAATCTTGATGGAAGTTAAAGGTAAAGACCAGTATTGGAAACGCCCCAATTTCAAAAAAATGAAATGGAAGCTCTCATTACCAATCATGTGAAAGAGTATGTTTTGACTTATACATGATGATAACAAATTTGCCGGGAAACCGCCTACTTATTGATATATTTGGTAAATTAGTTTATCTATTGGACTGTTAGAGATAAACACATGTGTCGCGCACGTGTGCGTAGTCCCATATACATCTTTATGTGTACAGTGCTTGTAACTTTACGAAGACTGGGCCAAATTTCTTATCATTTTGATGATTCCAGAACCTTGCAGTACACACCAATACTTATATGCTAGATGATCAACATTTTCTGATCGATTCCACAACGTTTCTTTCACAATGCAATCGCATGACCATAACTGGTCTTTATATTTAATTGAATCGGTAATCACACCTATGAGCTGTTAATCACGAATCGTCTTTTTCTGTGTGTGATAATGGTTTCTATATATGTTGTGAACATAATTTCAAAACGTATCTGAAATTAAATTCATTTCATGACAGATGCGACAAGTCTTAACGAAGCTGGTTGTCAACAGTCTCCGACTGCGTGTAAAGGTAGAAGACGCGATGCTAGTGTCGACTGTCTCGTGCGTCCAAGTAAGTTTGTTTGAAATCGAACCCTCGACCTTCGCATCTTTTAGTCGACTGCGACACCCCTTATAATATAGGATTCAATTATGCAATAAGATTATAATATGTTATTTATAACATATGTTTCTTCAATTATAAGGGAGCGAAATATCACAAGATCTATGACCCGGGAAGGGGGTGGGCTGGGCACAGTGCCCCAAGTTTTCAAGTGCCGCAAAGTGCTCCTTTTTACTTCAGATAAGTGCCCATTTTTTTCCTTTCTGAAAAGTGCCCTTCTCCTTATAAATGCTCAATTTATTCCTCATATAAATGCACCTTAAACATGTTCCCCTTGATACTTTTGATGTAAATTGCCTTTTGATAATTGCTTCACCTATGATTTCCACTGTCGCTTCCAAAATTGTGTCATTTTGTGGTCATAAAAAAGAGCCACATTTCCGAGGTCACCGCAAGAAGTTCATGCTAGAACGCCTTTTTATGATTAACACCAACAACAACAAAAAACCCACAAAATGTCCTCAATATTTTTTGGAGCAGGTACCCCAATGCAACCACAGGACAATAAAAACCCAACTCCGGTTATCGTAACAACATCTACTGTCCAAGTACAGACGACCCCAACGACAACCTTGTCAACGACTTCGGAGGCAACATCGACCGTATCGACGATTTTGACAATTACATCAACTACAGCAAGTGTCGACGTCGTGACGAGTGATTTAATGACAACAGATTCATACATTACTCTTGATCGACTACCACGGAAGGGTAAGTTTAGGAGAGAAATAAAACGATGGTGATAATAATGTTGTACATGTACATGCTATAAAACATCAATACAGTCTGCTGAAATAATTAGTGCCTTTTTGGATACATTCCTGATATTCGCCACTTTTTTGTATAATAATGGCGTTTTCTCGCTGTTCTTGGCTTTAGAAATGCACCAACCGTTCGGTCTAAGTTAAATCGGTCTTTGTGTTGTATACCAAGTCTCAAGTGGACAGACTAACTACCACAATCTTCCATAATAACACTAACTGCTAATTAGTTTCATTGGCAAAAATTAACAAACATTGAAAAACTTTCCTTCATGGGAATTCCGAAGCTTTCGACATTTTTTGACATGGCGAAAGCTGGAAAAGTGGCAAAATTATCGAGATGAAAATCACATTGCCATATATAACTTTCCCGTATTCTTTGCTAACAAGTATTTCAAACTTTTTTCTCCATCTGCAGATCTTAATGTTGCCGCGATATACATTGGAGTGACACTTTCCTGTTTTATCATCGCCATCATTCTTATCATTATATTTCTTTGTTATTGGTAAGTCACACTGATTTGTCGATGTATTTGTTCAATTATAAATACGTGGATTATTGATCAAGTCAGTGAGCAATATAAGATGTGTAAATCAGTACATATTACAAGGAAGAAGTGATGGGAGAATGTCAGGCTTCCTGGGAGCCTAACTCGTTTTTTTTTTAATTACAAGACTGAACTACAAGATCGAGCAAGCGATCTTCACTTACTGCATGGGTGCAAGCCAAAAAGTTCTTACAAAAATAATGGGAGATTAATCTTTACAATACCTTTTTTCTGTAAGCTATCCAAAAAGTGCCTCCAAACCAGAACAACTTGTCAAAATTTCAAATCGGCAATAAAATACTATGTTGTCTTCCTTGAATAATCAAACTGCTTCAATCTGTTTAATTATATTAATCAAAACCTTCTTTCATATTTCAATTCACATTTTGAAGAAAAATAATATATCGCTTTTCCAAAACATCCTCCATTGAGAAATGTCTTATTATAACACCATTTACTTTGATCTGCCCTCTCGATCATTATCTTAGGTGCAAAAGGAAGATCACGAATACCAAACAAACAGGCAGAACTGGAGGAGGCTCGGATGATAGAGAACACAACTTTCAAAACAATGAATACCAGTACAATGGAGTTAGAACTGTCGAAAATGGGCCGAGAATTTCATCGAATATTTCTGGTGAGGAATACCAGTACTCGCCCATTGGACCTCCCAATAATGGCACGGACGTCATACCAAGAGTTCCAAAACAAGATTCTGTCGATGAGTACCAGTACACCGCCGTTGGACCAATGCAAAATGGCACCGATGTCAACCCAAGGGTTCCAAAACAAGATTCCGTCGACGAATACCAGTACTCCGCCGTTGGGCCAATGCAAAATGGCACCGATGTCAACCCAAGGGTTCCAAAACAAGATTCCGTCGACGAATACCAGTACTCCGCCGTTGGGCCAATGCAAAATGGCACCGATGTCAACCCAAGGGTTCCAAAACAAGATTCCGTCGACGAATACCAGTACTCCGCCGTTGGGCCAATGCAAAATGGTACCGATGTCAACCCAAGGGTTCCTAAACAAGATTCCGTCGATGAGTACCAGTACTCCGCCGTTGGGCCAATGCAAAATGGCACCGATGTCAACCCAAGGGTTCCAAAACAAGATTCCGTCGACAAATACCAGTATTCGGCGGTAGGACCAATCCAAAATGGCGCCGATGTCAACCCAAGTGTTCCTACACAAGACTCGGGGGAAGATGAGTTCTACTCTCCAGTTGGTGCTATCTCCAGCGACACTCTTACTCCAAAAGCCACCGCATTCTCCAACGTTTGTACTGATGAGAGCTTCTATACCATTCCTGATAGATCCGAAGTAAATCCGTACCAAGAACTCGCTGTCAAAACGTCTGCATTTGCTGGCTTGCAGAAGCTAAGAAAGAAGCCAGCTCTGGAACAAAATACGCAACGGGCACCAGAAATTAAGGTGGCAAAGCAACCGCCTGTCAAGCCAAAGAAGTCACAGACACCGACTAACGATACTCCCGTGCAAATATCTGGAAAACCTCACCTACCTACAGAGGTGGATAATATCGTGTACGGGCTTGAAGTGCTCGGCGAACAGAACGCGTGTGCCGCGTCGTCACTTGCCGATGGACAAACCGACGACCAGTGTGAATCCATATACGCAGTTGACATCGAACTACGAGAGATATCCCCTTCCGGCACTTCAGTAGCTATCTATAGAGACTATTCCATCAATAGAGGTATTAAAATTACTGATGGAGAGAATCCATATGAAAATTCGATAATTGGCGATCAATCTTTTCTGCAAGACGATGACGAAAGTGATTATCACGCTTTAAGTAGAAAGGCAACCTTACCTGTGTGATTAGAAAGTTGTACGACACAATAATATTGTTCCTTTAACAGCTGTTGGCCTGATTGGCTCTATGATTATTATTTTTTTGATTTTTGTTGTTGATTTTTTTTTAATATATTTTTTTTCCTGACTGCTAATTGTTTAGGTGTATAGGCTATGTTCGAAAGTAATATTCTTGACTTTTCGGGTACAGCCAGTCGTCTGTATATGGTTTCGCTGATCTCTTATATTCGAGTGCAGCCGGCAAACTTCTTGTATATTGTGGCACGGGTTGTCAACTTCGAATTTTGCCAAACTTCCTGTACTTGACCTTGTTTAAATTGGCAAAGAGGAATGATGCTGGATATATAAACTTAAAGTTCCACACGCTCTAGTCTCGTCTAGTTTCTTCATCGACATCAATTTCAGTCTAGCATTGACTTACACTGCGCATCTCACGATGTCGACGTCCAAAAAGCACATCATTTATCAGTCCAAAATGTGCCTTACACGTATACTTTATTCGTCCCAATTATCACGATGATGTACAGTGGCTAATCATGAGAAGTATGTCTTAAAAGAGCAAAAGAATAGTGTTGTAGTAGACTAGTACAAGTAGGTTGAAAACTGTTATGCTTTCCATCTCCATGGCACATCTTCCCCTTCCATCTTGTTAACTTGCACAAATTTATATAACCTTCACCGTAGATAGCGTTAACCTATAGTTTGTATCAACACGGGTTCTAGGACACCTACCCCCTGGACATCCGCCCTTGGATAACCACCCCAGTCAACCACCCACTAGGACAACTACCCACTAGGGCAACCATCATCGAGGACAACTAACCCTGGGACAACTACCCCCCCCCCCCTTTCCGCAGTAAACTACACAGGACAACTACCCCCAGACAACTACCCCTAGGACAACTACTCCCCGGACAACTACCCCCAGACAACTACCCCCTACGACAATCATCCTCTAGGACAACTACCCCCGGTCAACTATCCTATAGGCGGTAGTTGTTTGGGGGGTAGTTGACCTAGGGGGTAGTTATCCGGGGGGGAGTTGTCCCGGGGGTAGTCGTCCTAGAGGGTGGTTGCCCTAGGGGGGGTAGTTGTCTATTGTATATTGTTCATGTGCGTTACGTAATTCCAACAACTGAATTCCCAAATGGACCAATAAAATTAATCTGAATCTGAATCTAATAGGGGGTAGTTGTCCTAGGGGTAGTTGAGTGACGGATCCAGGGGGGTGGGGCGGGGCCTTCAAAAAATGGCCAATCTGTTGCTGATTGTTTGCAATCGGTCTACATCAATATTTTACTGCAATTACAAGGTTTATTGAGGAGCCGCGAGTGAATTAATTTTTAGTTCTAGAAGGGGGCAAACTATTCTGTTCATATATTCATTAAATGGAGGTCCTGCATCATTCTATAAACTTAAGACCTAAAACGTGCGATCATCAAGGGTTTATAAATTGAATACCATAGTATCGAGACTTTGCATTCAGGAGACTGGATTTCCAACGACTGTGTAGATGTGGCTGTGTTCGGGAAGGGAGGTTGGTGGGGGAGGGGGGGGGGGGGGGGTCGGGGGATTTGTGGAGTTTGAGAAACTTTGGGTATGGAGGGGATAGGTAAGATTGTATGTGTGTCTGAGTATGTGAGCGTGTGTGTGTGCGTGTGTCTGTCTGTGCGTGAGACTCTTTTTTGGAAATATTTTTCATTCAGTGCATAACATAGTATATTGTTATAAATGAGTAATACTTATAACTGAATAATAATTTTGTTATGTTTCTGTGATAATTAGTAACTAAACGTATAACTAAACATATGGTTTGTTATGCATTTGTAATAGTTTGAGATGTAACAATTGAATATTTGTTAATATATATTTCATTTATGTTAAAATAGTGTGACTCCAATATCTTATAATATTATGACAAATTATGTATATATTACCATACTGTTATTATTCCTTGTGCATTGAATGAACAATAAAATAACGTTCAAAAAAAAAAATACAGTCAACGGATGGGTATTTTCTTTTACAGCTGAGGGGGAGGGGGGGGGGGCAGAACACTTTCCGCGGGCTGTATATAACCACCTACCCCGTTTAATTTTAAGTTTAATTTTGGCCATTACAAGAATTGGGTTTTTGATATAGACAACTGCTCATGTACCCTTTATAGCTCATTTTATGTATGTAATTACCAAAGAAGGAAAAAAAAAAGCCAGTCAGTCACTCAATAGTGTCTGACAGTGAAGTCTAGCAAGTAAATTGAATATTAGGACACTGCTTGCGTTTAAATTTCACACATGACATACATGACATATTCATAATTCCTGCAAAGTTCTACAGAATTTGATGTTGGCTGCAAAAGGGACATAGTATCTTTAAAAGAGACTATTTGAAATGAAGATCAAAAGGAAACGAATCAGCATTATAGTTAATTGAATCAATTTAGGACAACACGATAGACAACGTTTATTTATATCTTATAATTTATTATTTCCTTCTTAGGTCGAGTTCCTTTAAGTGGGTGTGGGCGTTACGTGTACACCCCCGTTCCAAGGCCCCCTTTAATTTTATTTTTCTTCTTAGAGCGTTCTTTGGTCAAGTTGGACCAGATACCAAATTGCCAATATATTTTCACCCCCTTGTAAGAAAGCAGGCAAAAAGAAATGGGGACTTGACCGGGAAGATCGAGAAGGCTTAAGTACGTTAGAACTAGAAGAGGAATACAAACAAAAAAGGTTAGCATTTTTAAAAAAAGTCTTTTTGAGGTGTCAGTTCCCCATACATTCCTCTATCAACACCCCTGGGCTAGGGAGACTCTCGAGCGACTTCCAAAGTGGGGGGGGGGGGGGCATCATCAAAAGGACACTTTTTGAGGAAAAGGGCGCCTACGATGGGAAATCTCAAAGCGAAAATATTTATTTTTTAGACATTGGTATTTACCCCTACATTGTAATTACATTATCAGGGATGATTTCAATACTTTTCTTTCTCTTTATACATCATAAAATATATTGCTTTAGCATAGTGTACTTTGTAGTAAACAATATATTGCTTAAGCTGTTAAGCATTGTACCTTGCAGTCGGGTGTGATGTCTGAATATTCATTTGCGAGCGAAGAAAATGTTTAAGATTTGTCAGGTCGCAGTGCGAAAAATTACATCTTATAAAGAGGAAAAACACAATCCTGATGGGGTTAAAAGCACATTCTTGTAACGAAAGACTGAAATTAACTTTGATAAGTAACATAATTATATCATTTATAAATGCGAGCGAGCGTAGCGAGCGGAGCTTTGGGGAGAATTGCTCTTAATCGGTTTAAATTAAGGGCACGTTTAATGATGAGAGGAAAAGGGGAAACCGTCGCCCGGCTGGCAAAAGGGCGTTTGCGCGCGAGCGACTCGAAAACTACTTTTCTAGTATTATTCGCATTTAAAAATTTGTTTTATAACCTATTTAAACTGATTTCCGTCACGAAAATGGTTTTAAAACTTTTAAGACTAGAAAATGTTATAACAGAACACGGTCACATTTTTTTCTCGGAAATAAGTCAGTTAAAAGTTTGAGGCGATTTAGTGCTAACGCCCTTCTGCTAAGCGCTTCATTTTTTTACCTGAAATTCGAGCTAACGCTCTTCTGCCAGCCAGGCGAGGGATGAATTAAGACACTTATTAGAAAATAAAGGAGTACGTGTCAAAGTACAAAGGGTAATTAACAGACTGAGGTAAAAATGAGGCACTTCTTATACCTGGAAAGAGGCACTCTCACCAGGGATGAAAAAATGCACTTATGAGAATGGGTATGGGCATTTCTTCACGGAAATGGGGCACGTATCATTGTTAAAAGGGAAATTACCAGAGGTGAAAAGGGGCACATATCGCACCTGAAAAGGGGGCACTGACCAGATATGAAATGTGGCACTTATAATAAAGGAAAATTTGCCTTTTTTGAATGAAAAGGGGCATTTATAAGAAGGGAAGGCGCTCTTATTTTTTTTAACGGGGCTCTTTCACAAGGAAAAGGGGCACGTGTTAGATGAGGAAAGGGGCACTTGTCAAAGGAAAAGGGGCACCTCTCAGATTTGACAAGGGCATTTATCAGAGGTGAAGGGGGCACTCATCAAAAGTGTAAAGGGGCACTCCTCGTAGCTGAAACGGGGCACTTAGGCTAATAAAGGCGCTTATGAGAATGGAAAATTGAAAATAATTGAAAAGGAAAAAAGGGAAAATTGACAAAGGAAAAGGTACACGTGTCCAAAAAAGGGGCAGTTATCAGAGGTAAAAAGGGGAGGGGCATTTTATAATGAAATAGGGGCACCATTCCCATGTAAAAAGGGGCAGTTCTTACAAAGTTAAAGGGGCACTTTTCGTATGTAAAAAGGGACACTTTTGGGGTACTTGAAAAATTGGGGACACTGTGCACATCGCCCCTTCATGCCCCCGGGAGGGCCACCTCTGCCCCCGCATACCCCAAACCCCAAACCTATGGCCGATAAGTTTTATTGATATACTATTTTTGCAACTATAATAAAAGTAGGGGACTGCAATCTGCAAGCCCAGCTTTTCAGCATTCCCCTCATCCATGACCAACCCAATTACAAATATATTGTTAAGTTTCATTTTTTGACTATGTACAATGCAATCCCATGTACTTTATTTATTTTGTTGGAAATGAAATGAAATGTCGAAATCGTTACAAAAGGCGTGTCATAAATTTACCAGGGCCCATACAGAGAATCAACAGCACGTGCGGGATCGGGACGAATGACACTGCACGCATAATTCAACCAGCCACAATATCCCGCTATATCGCTACTACCACTAGAGCTAGCTAGAGGTGCCCGTCCTGCCCCGCTGCGATCCGCTCTCTGAATCTGGTGGTGGGGCAAATCTGTAATATCTTAATCACGACGCCTGCCAGTCAACTTTTTGCTGTTGCATAGCCGTGTAGGAAATCGGAATTCTGGTAATGTATGCCTACTTCTAAACTAAGCCTCCTTTTATGTACAAATGCCGGTTTAAATGCGGTAACGTGAGACTTTTTATATTTTGGTAACTTCAAAGTCAAGTCAAAACAAAAGCATCTCGTATAATTATGCTTGTCTGTAGCCTGTACACTGCACTGTATCAGTGTATTACTAATAATATTCATAATACTAACTGTAGACATCTTATCATATATCATAAACTAGTACACTGTTATACTTGATAATTTATTTTTTTATAGGACACCTACTCCCTGGACATCCACCCCTCCCCCCCCCCCCCCCCCCCCCCCCCCCCCCCCCCCGGACAACCACCCCCCTCCCGGGCCCCCTCCCCCCTATAGTCAACCACCCCTATAGTCAACTACCCCCTAGGGCAACCACCCTGTAGGACGACTACCCGCCAAACAACAACAACCGGACATCTACCCCCTAGGACAACTACTCCTAGGACAACTATCCCCCAGACAACTACCCCCAGGACAACTACCCCCTAGGACAACTACCCCCTAGGACAACTACCATCCAGACAACTACCCCCAGACAACTACCCCGTACGACAACCATCCTCTAGGACAACTACCCCCGGGACAACTATCCTAGGGGGTAGTTGTCAGGGGGTAGTTGCCCAGGGGTAGTTGTCCTAGGGACTAGTTGTCCTAGGGGGTAGTTGTCTGGGGGCGGGGGGGGGGGGGGGTAATTGTCTGGGGGGGAGGGTAGTTGTCCTTGGGGGTAGTCGTCCTAGAGGGTGCAGTTGTCCTAGGGGGTAGTTGACTTGGGGTGGTTATCGGGGGGGGGGTGGATATCCAGGGGGTACTAGGTGTCGGGATACGGTTTATTTCACCCCTCTCTCACTCTCGAACTTTTCCCCTCCCTTCTTCTTCCTCCTCCCTTCTTCCTCCTCCCTTCTTCCTCCTCCCTTCTTCCTCCCTTCCTCCTCATCCTTCTCATCCTTCTCCTCATCCTTCTCCTCTTCCTCCTCCTCCTCCTTCTCCTCCTTCTCCTTCTTCTCTTCATCTTCCTCCTTCTTTTCCTTATCCTTCTATTAGCTTCTATTCCTCCTCCTTCTCCTCCCCATTCTCCTTCTTCGTCTTTCTCTTTCTTTTCCCTATCCTGTTAGCATCTATTCCTCCTCCTTCTCCTCCTCCCCCTTTCCTTACTCCTTCTTTTCCCCCTTTCTTACTCCTTTTCCCCATTTCCTACTCATACTTTTCCCCCTTTTTTTTATCTTCTTTTTATTTCTTCTCTTTTTGAAAGTTCTTATCTTTGTCGTCTACATGCGACTTAGACTATTTGCTGGGGCACTGTGTTGTATGAATGGTTTAAGATAAAAAAAAATAATTTAAGAACTTTGTTTAGTATGTTTTTATTTACTAAACTTTCAGATCCAAATCAAAATGTCTTCGTCAGCACCAACCACCAGAATGAGACTCCGTAGAAAGGGTGGAGCAGGTTCATCAGAGAACCAGGATCCGCCAGCAGATCAGAGCAGTGGGGCTTCTGGGAGTGTGTCCAAGAATGAATCAAAGAGGGTGCCAGCAAAAAAGAAGAAGCCTGCTGTTGAAGTCAAGACAGAGGTTACCATGACAACAAGATTGCGTGGGAAGAAGGTGATGGAAGAGGGTGGCATGGATGCAGAGGAAGGCCAAAATGAAGCTTCAACGTCCAAAGCCAAAGGAGGAAGGAAAGGGAGAAAGAGGGGTGGTGTAACGGAAGTGGAAGAGCTCCACCAAAATACCGATCCTGTTTTGACGCCAGAAGAGCCGATGGATACCCAGAGTGATCCATCTAGTGACGAGGTCCTCCAGTCAAAGGTAGAACTGTTGCCATCAGAAGCTAAGAGGGGTTTGCGAGGGAAAGGACAAGGGAAAGGACAAGGTGGGAAGGGGAAGGCCTATGAGGGCAGCATTTCCCAGACCAGGGGAAAGGCATCGTCTGAAGCATCAATGCCAAAGGTAGCTGAAGAAGCTAAACTTGAGCCTGAACCTCTCTTAGAAGAAGAAGAGAAGGAAGTTGTTGAGCAAAGCTTGCCAATCAAACGACCAAGAAGAACTAAGAAAACCTTGACGGGGGAAAAGGAAGACAAGGCTCAAATGTCAAATGATGTAGAGATGAAAGTGGACTCAACAAAAAACCAAGGACTGAAAAAGAAAACTGCCAAGGGAAAGAAAGCAATGTCCAAATCAGGTTCTGCAAATTTGGGCATTAATGACACCAAAACTGAACCCTTGCCAGAACTCTCAAAGACCTTTACAGTTACAGATGGTTGTGACACTACTAATCTAGGGAAGTGTGTTGGAGCGCATTGTAGTATTGCAGGTATTTAAAAAATGGCAACTCCTCGTTTTGATTTCATGTTTATGGGTTATTTGTATAGGATCTCTGAAACTATGGTTTCAATATTGCTATGACATAGTATTCACCTGTCTTCTTGGGCTCCTTGTCTTGTAATGCCCTCCCATAGTTCATCAGTACACCACTGCAAAGAGTTTGTTCCTAAAACATCTTGATTGCCCATTTATGATTGGCATTAGACATCATCAGAGAGGTATTTCTGGTTTGTAAACTGTAAAACAGTGCTCGTGTTGAACAGACACCTAAAATTCTATCTAGGTACCCAGAACTTCAACATTCTAATACAGGACTTGTGTATACAATCTGTACCACTACTTAAAAAGCTAAGTTTGGAGCCTTGTCTAAAATGCCACTTATAAGACGTTTGTAGTTATGTCACTTATTCTGACTTTATACTTGAATCTTTCCTTCCTCTTCATCCCAAAGGTGGACTGTGGAATGCCGTCAGTGATGCCGTGTCCATTGGTGCGAAGTCCTTTGCCCTCTTCCTCCGTTCTCAGCGCCAATGGCAGGCCAAGCCCCTCGAGGACGACAACGCTGCAAGGTTCCAGGAAGCCTGCATCAAACATGGCTACCCTCCTCACCTGATTCTACCCCATGGCTCCTACCTTCTGAACTGTGGCTCACCCAATCCTGCAACGTTGTCCAAGAGCAGAGACTCCTTGGTGGATGAGCTGAGTCGCTGTCAGAAGCTAGGTCTCACCCTCTACAACTTCCATCCAGGTAGTCATCAGGGCAGCTTTTCATGAAACCGCCATTAATACAAGTTCACCGACATCCCTTTGAAACGTGTGTTAAACTTAATACACGCATTTCAAAGGGATGTCGGTGAACTTGTACTAATTAATGACGGTTTTGTGAGACACCACCCAGATGCACTTTTCAATTAGGATGGCAGTTATTACAGACACTGCTCACTCCTGGATCCTAATCAAGTAATGTTTGTGTGACGCAGTCATGTGTGATTCATTTATTAAGACCATCCCACTTTTTTCTCTATTAAAATACATATAATATTTTCCTGTAGAATTAAAGCATTCTTAAGAGTGCGATTCTCAGCAGTGCATTGTGCATAGCGTTAAGTGCACTTTAGAGAGGCAACTGTTATTGGCAGGACTCCGTGTAGGGGGTCTAGATTGAGATCTTTAGGTACTATAGGCAATGATTAGACCTTTCTTACAATTTTGAAATTTAGGAGGGTAAGACTCCTGCCAGACAGGAATCGGCACCCATGCATACATGTTCCTTTGTACCTTGGTACCTGTACATCTATATTGTTGCCTAGTCCTGCATCTGGATATGTATATTTAAAGAGTATAAGCACGTGCCAAATGCCTCTGGTTTTAATCCAAGACCATATTTACAACAGTGCCCTGTCTATAACAGATAAAATACAATCTGTTTACAGCATGGTCCGTATTGTCTGATGGCTCTGAATAAAAAGGTCTACCTCTAGGCAAACTTTGGTTGAAGGTGTCTTATTTTTTTCTTGAATGATTGGTTTAATTGTGACAGGATCAACGTGTGGAGACATCACGATTGAAGAATGTCTTGACAAGATCGGTGAAAGCATCAATATGGCCCTTGCAAAGACGTCTGGAGTTACTGCAGGTACATGTATGCTATGTTATGTTATGTTGATTTGATATTGTTATAATTTCTTTGGTAAATTAATCCAACATTTGAACTAATTTTGGTACCATACAATGTACTAAGTCCAGTGTAGTTGTGTATGAATTCTTAGTCATACTTTTGCAAAGGAAATCAATGTACCTGTATATCATTTGTACCACATTATGATGTAAAGTTCCGCTCTAGAGTTTTGGTTCTATCACGGTAATTAATAAACTTAATGGACTATGAGCTCTGTTTATTCCAGTCATGAAAAATTAGGTAAAAGATTTCTCAAATCAGGAAGAACAAAAAAAGAATTTGTGGAGAGCTGCATGTAAGGGTAATCATAGAGTTGCCAATTTGTATTTCATGAATTACAACTTTGAAAATTTCCATCAGATTTTTCTCAAACTTTCCATCAGTTTTCTCTCAAACTTTCCATCAGTTCTCTCTCAAACTTTATCAATCTGTTCACCTTTTCCCTTTTGATTTTTGGAAATTACTTCCCTTTTAAACTTCTTGATCATCTTAGGGACACAAAGACCCAAATTAACATAAGTGGTTATCTTAACCCACTTTTTAAACCTTCAAATTAAAGCATATAGTCGATAATGCGTGTGTCCTTATGTCCAATGATATGCTTATGAATGATTTTACTCTTATTTACACTTATTTTAGTCCATGGTTTTCATTAAACCTTTGTTAATTTGAGCCAATGAGTATTTAGCATACATATAACCCTTGATACCTTGATTGCAGTGATAGAGAACATGAGTCGTCAAGGTCATACGATCGGTGGTGATTTTGAGGAGCTGCGGGGAATCATCGACCGGGTCAAGGATAAGAGCAGAATAGGGGTGTGTCTGGATACATGTCATGCATTTGCAGCAGGTAAGATGATAAATACAATACAGTCAAACCTGTCTATAGCGACCGCCCAAGGGAAACACAAAAAGTGGTCTTTGTAGACAGGTGGTCTTTGTAAACATGTGCCTTTAGTACATGTTTCATTGAGAAACCATTTTCAAGGGAAACAAAAAATGTGCTTGTTGTAGACAGATGGTCACTAAAGCAGGTTTGACTGTTATATTCATTTTGGAATCCTACTTAATTTACTTTTGATTTGCATTTGCTCCATGTGTTTTTTAAATTTCTACTTCTCCATTTGTTTTATCTTGTGTATTCTTGATCTTTCTTTTCTTTCCTGCATCTTATTTTTCGCTTCTCCCCAAATCTTGTGCCTTCCCAATGCAAAGTAGTGATTTTGAAAATTAGTCTGGCTTTATATGCTTCAAAGATACATTGATACTGTGATGGTTGCAAGTGGTCCTTACGTTAGGGCTAGGTTAGGTGGGTTAGTCTTTGGTGGAGGATGTCACTTGGGAATTTGATTAGTGCAGATTATTTGCTGTGCAGCTTCTAACTGTCATTTCCTTGGTTTTCTTCTGATTTCATTTTTTTAAAACAGGATATGACTTGTCAACAGAGTCTGGTTACAAGAAAATGATGGCAGAGTTTGAGAGAGTAATTGGCTTCCAGTACCTGAAGGGTGTCCATCTCAATGATTCAAAAGGTAAGGTCATAGTTCATGTGTTACTTCTGTAACACTCCCCTCCCCCCTCCCTTTCCAATTCTATTTGTCAGATTTCTTTGATTTGACTTATATTGATGATGGTGCCTGAGATATCTCGGTCTATGTCAACGGTAAATGTGTTTTACACTGTATACCAAAGTCAATTTTGTTTACAACAAGTGAAGTACGAGACAATACTCTTCAATTTTAAAGGAGGAGGGCATGGGGGGGGGGGGGGGAGTGTTCACTGATGAAATAAGCCAAATTTAAATCTACTGAGGGTAATGGTGAGGCGATTTCAGTAATGTGTGGTAGGTCCAAAAAAGGTTCAGAAGAACAAAACACTGCATTCTGATCATATTACCCGAATAGTAGTTGTTTTACCATACCCCTACAGGTCACTATTCTGAGGTTGACATTTGAACAAAAAGCACCAGATTTGTTGCAAAATTTATTCGCTGTAGTTCATCAACATAAACATGCCATTTTGTATGATTTTACACCTATTTACAGATATTTATTTTCTTGTATTATGTTTTCATATCATCCATTAGGAGCGGTCGGATGTCACCTAGATCGTCATGAGAACATTGGAAAAGGAAAGATTGGATTGGAGGGGTTCAGACGTCTGATGAACGATCCTCGCTTTGATAACATTCCTCTCATTCTAGAGACACCTATAGAGTAAGTGTGGGATGACTCCAAGACCAAGATAATCAGGGTGGGGCATGGAGGGGTAAGGGGAGGGGAGGGGGAGGGGGTTTAAATTTGGCTCAGGGGTGATGTATACAAGTTTCATTACAATTTTCTCTTTTACTACCAGAACGAGACATTGTGTTTAAAGGGATTTGGTAACTTTGTCTCAGATTCTGAAACAAAATCCTGGATTTAGCTCATGCTGCAATGATAATTATTAAACTTCAGGTCAGTCAGGAACCCCATGACTTTTACAAGCTGATCGCCTATCTGATTATCAAGATATTTATGATTGGAAATCGAAATTCAAAAATTTGTTTTCCTAACGATTTTTATAACACTTATAGTCTATTGAGGAAAATGAGTATGGTATAACTGGTCACTCAAAGATTTTTACATTTTTGAGGCACTTCATGATCATTTTGAAGCGCAATACTTTTAGGGCTTAAAAATTACACAATATCACAGACACTGGTAACACGTAGGGCCATGCATCTCAGATTTAACATTGTTAAACGATGCCTATAAAGCTTTATTTCTCATCTGTTGTTGCAGGTTTGGGTACGCTAAAGAGATCAAGACCCTGAACTCTCTGGTAGAGTAGATGGACTCCATCGACTGAAAGGTATGGTGTGTTGTCAGACTGCAGAGTGAATACCCGTACATCATTTATCATTTCAGCAGACAAACTTTAATTGTTTGTCTGACACGAGTATGTGTACACTTAATGTAATGTTATATGCATCTAACTACAGTCAAACCTTTCCTCGTGGCCACCTCTCTATAAAGGCCATTGGTCTATAGTGGCCATGAATCGTATCTCCTTCAAGATAAAATGTGTGTTTAAGATCCTGTGTAGAAAGGCCACCTGTCTATAGTGGCCACTTTTTCTGTTTGTCTCGGGTGCCCTTAATAGACCGGTTAGACTGTACAATAACTATAAAAAAAGGTGAATGTATATTTTGTGACCAAGCACTTACACATTTCATTCAATTTACCCAACACAGAAATGGCCTATTTTAGTCTTATAACAAGGTATATACGATTTCCAGTCATTCAGTGCCTTGAATTCCAATTAAACACTTAACTAGTGAAGAAGGGTAAAAGACTTTCAGGAATGTTTTGTATAAGAGGCTGATATTACAACTGTAACAGTATTAGTAGACGGAAGAGAAATAACTTATATCACCTTGATGCCAAAGGAAAACAAATACTATGCATAAACTGAGTGGCATACTGTCAATTCAGCCAGTGACAGTAAAATGTTGGTTGTATTAACATTCAAGCAAGGCAGGAATGTTAGGTTAAGATTTAGAGTCAGGCAAATGAGGATTATTAGTAGTTATGTTTGTCATAATGATTGCTTCACTCTAGTCATAGTACCTCAGTCACACCAACAAGACAAACACCAGACTAACTACAGAATGAACAAACTATTACATTACTTCCCAATGGCCCAAAACGGCTAGTCAGTTTGGAGTCAGTCTTGAGTTGGTTTGGCGGTGTGACTAAGGTAAAACATGTAGCAGGGTTCTTGACATAAATTTGTTGGTGCCAAACGAGTGAAATAGCCTTGCAACATGCCCAGGGAGAATGGGTTTGGAAGACCAGCTTTTTAACAGGTCATGAGTTTTCACTGTCATATCCCTGAAACGGTATTACTATGAATGCCATTTAGCACATGGTGCTAACAGCATTTTGAAAACCAAAGTATGTTTTGTTAAAGTAGATTCGAGAGAATGTAAATCATGTTTTGTTTGTTGATTGTTTGTGTTTGAAGCACTTTTTGTCTCTATGGACGTTGTAGAGTATTATTATGTTACTAAGCAGCTTTTGTTAATTATATGAAAGGAAAGTACATTTATTTTTTCATATGTTGATGACCGCCAAAGAAAGAAAATGCATCTGAGATGTAAAAGCACTGAACACTTTTTTTTATACCTGAATGAAGAAAGATGCATCGTAATAATGTATGTGTAATTTGTAACAGGTGTTACTGTGGTAGTATGACTATGATCATGACACATGACTTACCCTGACCAACTTTCAAGATAAAAGTTGAGTTCTCGTCAATCGAGATGCCATGTGGAAGGAATTGGGAAAGGTTTTGTTATGCAGTGCATAAGATGTTGCTTACTTAATGAATGTGTAGGTATGTATTTGACAAAACTTTTCTCATTTATACTTTTGGAGGATTTTTTACTTTTATCAAAGAAGAATTATAATTCAGTATGAAAATGGCGATCATTCCAATAAATAATACATCTGTTCATCACGTATTCTAATTCAATATAGATGTATTCATAAACATCATTTATTGTTCATGTACAACAAAATTAATATAGCATCAATTCATGAAAAAAATACGAATTTGTGTAAAGAATTGAAGAGCAAGTTAGGACGGATTCTGTACAATACATTAACAATATATATATATATATATATATATATATATATATATATCCTCTTAGTCCCTCTCATGCCATAAAATCTTTTCAAGAAGTGTCATAAATAAAATTTCAATCATTTAAACCTGGGTGAGCTTGACTTGCATATATTGCATTGGTTATTTGGGCTATCCAATAGAGAGAAAAAAAAACTTCTAACACAAGGTTGCATTGTTTCAGAACAAAAACCATCCATATTTAATTTCATGATAGTCGTAAAATAACCCAAATTGAAATGGTTCATCAGCAAGCCTACCCCGATACCAAGTGTTTTCAAGATGGTATGCTGAGAGGTAGAAGGGCACTAACTCATAAAACTCAACAGTTGACATCCTTCTTGCTCTCAACAGATGATATTATTATGATTATAACTTTATCATTCTGATATCTTGACGATAGACCAATGGGTGCAATCAAACTCGCCTACCCTTCTTTTGAAGGACATATGGTTCGTAACCTATACCTCGTTCGTGCTAGGACACGATTCTAGTATGTTGAATTACATTATACATGTATAAACATGGTGCCTTTCTTTTAATGTTTCAAGATTTTGTTTCTAGACATTGTCAGTATTACAGTTTCACTTCTCATTGTTTGTGTTTTCTACCATTTTAAGTTGGTAAACATGTATTGTTTTCTAATTTGTGTTGAAAGATAAACAGCTATTATCTTTATTTAACCTTTTGTTATGTTGCTGAACAAGAAAATCAACAGCTCAATTAAAGTTACTACTTTGAAATCAACAATCTTCATTTCATTTTTGTTTGGGTGAAGTCTGCAATATACCAAAGCAAAACAAATACCTCATGTATTGAGATTCATATGCTTTTGTTAATGAATATAATAAAAAAGAATTGTGGACTGTTTGAGATTTGATACATGTGCATTTAATATCTAATAAGTAGCACATACAGGGTACGACATGGGCTCATATATATATATTACAATCCTATTATAGATTAACATTTAATTTTATAAAAAGGAAAAAAGAGAAAAAAAAAGAGGAAAAACATACAATAGAAATGAGTGTGAGTGATGCAAGAGATAGATGAGGGGAGTAGAAAAATGGGAGAGATAAGAGAAAATGATTTAGCAATCTATACAAAGGGCTGCTGAAAAGCACCCTTAACAATTTCTCTATGCCCAAATTATAACAACCATACTTGGAATTCAAATTCTGAATTCAACATTACCAGGTAACTTCTGATAATGTGGGAAGAGAGAGAGAGAGAGAGAGAGGGATTGATTTGCAGAAAGGGCGTGGTCCATGGAAATAAGCAATGGCCCAATATTTATACCAAAAACTTGCAATTTCCTATGGTATGGAAACACTTAAAATGTATTCACAGTCGGTCTGCATCTTCAAAGGTAGACTTTGCAACATTCAACCACAGGGACCCACCATGACAAGGGGTCCACATTAAACATCTGTGAACATGGGGTTCCTGTTAAAATCAAAAGGTCTGGGCCATCAGAGTTAAACCTCAGTGGCCCTTGTGGACCAACCCCTGCTAGTGTCCAATCCTGTCTATCCTTTGATTGTCTTTGTGATCCAGTCCCTCAAAAGTCTTCTTGATGCAGTGTTCTTCAAGTTCCTTGGGTCCGGGAAATCCCCTCCTCCAAAGCTATCTGGAGGCCGTCTTCTCCGGGGACTCCTCATCGTCCAGCATCCCGAACGACTTAAGGACCTTGTGCTGCCTGGTGCCTTTGAGTCTCTTGAGGTCCGCTGCGTACTGCTGCTCCCGTATCAGGTCTCGTTGCTGCTTCTCCAGTTCTTCCTTGTGGCCGTGCAGCGCCCTTGACCTGTGGATCAGGTTGAGGAGTTCATGGCGGAGCTTGCGGTTTTCGTCCTTGATCTTGGTGGTGTGCTCGCCCAGGCAATGCATGGCCTCCTATGGATGCACAATAAAACATGGAAGAAGACCTGTAATCAGGGTTTTCATGGTCAAAGACTTGTGTGGACCCAATCGGAAAAAACTACAAGGAGCTTCATATACATAATATTAAGAGACTTGCTTGTTGCCACATTTTTCCATTAAGTGAATGATGCTTTAATAGTTTTCAAATGCTTAAGGATGTTAAGCAGTAATGTTTGTGTGCACCGAAACTGTGCAATGCCAGGACTTCCTTGTATTGTTCAAGTAAATTCCATTCAATTTGTTTATTTTAATTCTAGCAAAAACATTAAAAATACATTGGAAAAAAGAAAGAAATATACAATAAAAAAAATTGTATAATCAGCTGGCCCTGCGAAGCTAAGGTGAGCATGAACAGTACTGTCGTACGTATCAACCTCCTTTAACCCACGGACAAATTAATTCTTTAATTGCCATAGGATTTATAGAGGAACTACTTCGTTCCCGTAAACAATAGGGTAAATATATGCCTATATAACAAAAATATAACAAAAGGAGACAGAGATTAACATTCGTAACCCAAAGAATTAACATTCTGCACATGTTTGCATTAGAAGTTTTGTGTTAAACATGAAAATATGTTAACTTTGAGCCTTTTTTCATACTGTTTTTCATCCAACTGTCTCATCCAATAATAAACTTTACAGATTTTCTACAACACATTGTCAAGAGCAATTGAAATCTCAATGCGCTATGTCTATTTACCTTATTTGCCTGTCTAGCCACTATCTGGATCCTAGACTCTGAATCGGCCTGAAAGTGTTTCTTCTCCGTTAGAAACTGTGTCTTGAGTTTCTGAATAGTTTCTGTATGCTGCCCTCGCATCCTCAATACTTCCTTCTCTAGCTCTCGGATCTTGTTCACTTGCTCCTGTTGTAATTTCTGCAATTGTTTGGTAAAAGGCAAAGAGGGATAATGAAACTTTAATATAAGAAGATATATTTTATGATGAAAGGATATATTATTAGCTTAATATCATTAGCATAGGATTGTTTGATATTGATTCAAGGAAGTTTCAGTAAAACTTGTAGATATATAAAGAAGATTCAAGAGAGACATAAAAAGTGTTTTGTTTTGATGACATTGTAGCCTTTAAGTATAGTTTTATTTAACAGTGGTTTCAATGAGAAACACATTATAATGGAAACAAAAGAGGGGTCTTTACAGATAAATGCTTGCTATGAATCGTCACTGGCAATAATTGTTAACTTATAACTCGTCATTTAGATGGCAATTACCATTTAATTGACTGTTTCATTAATCTCTTGTACAAATCTATTCTACAAATAAGTGACAATATGTGAGTTTAAAAAAAAGATTGGTTTTATTTAAGACAGCTAAATGGATTAATTGTCTTATCCTCATCAAATTAGTAAATCTGACATTTTTATCTCACAATCACTTTCTTTTTATAAAACTTTATGTACTTTGTACTACCGCAAAATACAGCTGATTATATATATATATTTTTTTTAATATTCATAACAGGTATTTGTAAATAAAATCAGGATGGCTTCATCAGTGATTGCAACACTGTTTTACAAGAAGGCCCTGTAGGGGTGATAATGAATGTCTTTGTGACTGCATACTAATTTAAAAGTTTCCTTTCATTTCCAATGCATATTTCCTCTAAATGTGTTTGTCTACTCAGTAATCTCTACCTTTTTTCATTAGAAAGTGTTTTTTAAGAACACACAAACTGGAATTTGGGTTCTGAGCCTCTGACTGGATTGTTTAAACAAATATTAAAAAAGCAAGAATGAGAGAAACTACAAATTAAAGAGAAAGAAAGAAGAAAAAAAATACTTTGCTGCGTTTGCTCACCTTAAAATCATCTAACTCTTCCAATTCTTTCCTTGTCTTTGCTAGCTCAGCCTCTCTTGCCATTAGAACATCTTGTAATTCTGAAAGAAAGAGAAAAATAAAATGATTCCCTGTGTATAGAATAGCTGAAATGGTGAATTGTAACAATGGTAATGAGGGTACAGATAACAAAAATGAAAAAGATAATCAAAGATTACAATAGCATTTGAGATACACACCATATTACTCATGTTACCTAACATAAGCTCAACACCTCAACATGTCATCAATAACAAAAAAAAACTAATGCAAATTGGAATGTACACCTTACCATGTTTCTTCTCTTCAAACTCTTTGAGCATCTTCTCCACTTCTTCCTGAATGTTTCTGATTTCCTGCTGATTTTGATCACTCAGAGTTACAATAGTAGACTGGCGCTTGTGAGCCTTCTTGGCCATGTATGACATGTACTCGTGCTGAAAGATTCAAGAGAGGAAAATCAGACATTTTGTTTAGTATGCAAAAAAAACTGTCTGGAAATGAACCCTAATCTAAAACCTTATTGTAATCCTAACCCTGTATCATATTTTTGAAGAAATAAATCTGAATCAAATGATGTCAGAACACCTTTCTGATATCAACCATGTACTAGGTTTTGCAACAGCCAACACAAATTAATATCAACCCCAAAATCGTCTTTGTTGTATATACATTGTTCATTCCATTTCTTGATTTGAAATACTGGTACAACTATTAATATTTTATGGCAAAGAGCCAACAATGAATGGAATTTCTCAAAAAGGAGATTATTAACCTCTTCATTCTCTCTCCTTTACTATTCTTTTGTAACACATCTGAATATATATCTTTTAATCCCCTTCTATCCCTCCTCCCTCCCTCCCTCCCTCTCTCCCTCCCTCCCTCCCTCTCTCCCTCCCTCCCTCTCTGTCTCATTGCAATGGATGCAAATACTATGTCTATGGGGTAAATATTATGGAATACTCACACTTTCAATCCTAGTTTGTTGTGCTTCTTGCTGTAACCATTCATTTTCCCCTCGGCTTTGTTGAATCTCATTAAGGATAATAGTGATACAATCTGGCTGTGAATGCTATATAAATAGTGTTCTATCTTAAGAGGGACCCATCATAATTTCTACTTTTTATTTTCAGGTTCCCTGCCAATAATCAATACTGAAAATACTATTTTTTTTATTAATTCTAACATTGTTTTTGTAAAGATATATTGCAAGGCTAATGGCCCAAATTATACTTTATAAAACACATTAATTGAACTAGTTAGCTTGCTTGTCTATTAGGCAAAAGAGAGTTAAGCCCCTCTAAAGTGTTGGGAGCCCCAAATTCATCGCCAAAAATTTGATGGCAAAATTTCAATTTAATTGTATCATATTGTGAAGGAGGATGTCATTTAAGACACACTTCAGCAAAGATTCCCCCCCCCCCAAAAAAAAAAAAAATAAAAAATGTTGATAAAATTAATATTGATAAAAGAATACATCATTTCTTAAATATTCTTTCATCAATATTCAACTTCAAACACATTTGTTTTGAAAATCCTTGGAGAAAAGTGTCTTAAATGATAGTGTCTTAAATGATATCGTCTTTCCCATTATGATATAATTTAAGTGAAATTTTGCCATCAAACTTGTTGGGCTCCCAACACTTGTGAGGGGCTTTACTCAATGTGTATTTATTGTTGCATGAGATGTTAAACAAGGAGAATACTGTGAGAATGAAATAAACATATTTTGCACCCACCCACTTTACCTAGCTGTAGTCATAACAACTTTCAGTATCAATTAGCTATTCAATTAAAAAACATTAGAACAAATTGAGACTGGATAAGCACTGGTGGTCTGAGCGATTCGAATTAAGTTAATTTGATATGATCAAAACCGTCCTAAACCTGCGCAAGTGCAATGAGTTAACCTCTAGAACATAACCAACCCTGAAGAAGTGACAAAGGATTACAGGATCTACCTCTCCTCGTATCATGATGATGATGATGAAATAAAGGATACAGTTCTTCAACTTTTTTCTTGAGGCTGGCAAGTTCATCAGTCAGTGTTTCCAATCTGATTTTAAAAAATGGATAGAAAATAATGAATTAGTCTAGATCTAGATCTAGTTAGAATGTATCAATACAGTATCATGCACAATTACCAGATCACAAAAGCAATGGAATAAGACAATCTTCCAGGTTTAACATCAAAAGTAGACTAGACCCAAATCTAGTTGAGATGACGGAATCTGCTACAAAGTAAACGGCCTGAGCTGCGACGGCAACCTGCCTGCCCGACACTCCCCCGCAGAATGTATGGACCAAACTGATCAACTCACTCCTTCTTCAAAAGCAGTTCCTTCTCTGTTGGTTCCGGCAGTTCAACGGGTCCACTTTCTCCTTCTGGCTTCTTCCCCTTGCCTTTGCCCTTGCCCTTTCCCTTTTTTGGAGGCATTTTATGTTAAGAGGATACCAAGATGTGTGATTTTTATCAAAAATTTTCCAAGGTCCAAGATTTATCAGCGTCGCCGTTGTTTAGGAAACGAAAATAGATCTCATCAGTGAAATGTATTTAAAGTTATATTGTGTTATTCATGAAAAAAAATGCAACATTTTTATTAGATAATTAAATAATAATTCAAATTTTTAATATATTTTAAAAACAAAAATTGATAATTTTACTGCAAATTTTGCTTATTATATCAATTTAAAAAAAAAGTAATTTGAAAGTGGTCATTTTATTTTCAAGATGGCGGCGCCCATGGACGTTTCTGGGAGCGAGGAAGAGGAGAAAAACGACGAGGAAATCGATGTTTTGTCACCCAATTTTAATCCTTTAAAAGCATTATATGCTTCAAATGTAACCCTTCCAGTTGCGGATGCTTCTATTTTCAACAATTTAGCTGAATATGAGCGTTTTATGAGCAAAGATGAAGAGGAGACGAAAGGACAAGAGCAAAAATGTGCTCCGCCGTCAAGGCGTGCATTGGAGCGGGTAAGTGACGCCTACTAACTATGACGGCAGCATCCCTGCCACGGCCCGGGTGGGTAGAAATGTTGGCGCTTGTTCAGAAACGTTTCCAAAATTTGACTCCGGCGTGGAGATACCCTACTAAAACATACCCAATGAAGTAAATATTCATTAAATGTCCAAATAAAGATCATGAGTTAAAATTTGTTATGTTTATAACCTGTTTCATGTCAATTTTCTTGTTATTCTTTGAGTAATTTTGGATACGTTTCTGAACAAGCGCTGAAAAAATGCTTGCATGGTCAGATGCACTCGTATTACTGTACCTAGACACAAATAACCATCTGGTATGGGTCATTTCTTAAATTAAACTGACATTTGTTGACATTCCCCATACAGACGGTATCCTAGACGAATCATTTTCCCGATTATTCCCTTATTTTCCCTAATCTTCCCTATTTTCCCCAATTTTCCCCAATTTTTTCTCAGTTTTCTTACTCAAAAGGGGGGAGGGTTGGGCGGGAAGGTTGTTGGTTCGCTGACCATGAAACAAATTGCAAAAGTTCCAAACTCGAAATGGGATTATGAAGTCTTTATTAGCTTCCTCAAACGAAGAGTAGTATGAAGAGTCGAAGACAACACAGACACAAAATTCAATCTGCAATGAGTATCAGATGCACAGAAAACACAATAAATTAATAAGTATTGCACGAAAAAGTTTCCTTTGTTTTCTTAATTCTGAGTGCCTGTAATACCGTGACAACTTAATGAACTTGAACTCATAAATATACACCACTTGTATATCAAATACCCAAACTGTCCTAAACCTGAACCTTGTGATTTGGTAGCCATACATAAACATGCATTCGTATTTGCATAAATAATAAAGGCAACTAACTTGGTTAAACATTTGTCACTACAAATGTATACTTTCATAAACATCTTGATAAATGCCTAATGAAAATAAATGCTACGGCTAAAATCCAAAAGCCTATCTCATTATACGTGTTTAAATCACATCGTTCCTAATAATTCACAATAAAATTGTGACTAAATTCCTTTATCTGAACTATACTCAATTAGTCTTCACAAACCTATAATTCATAGCTCTCTGTTTATGTTACAAAGATAACTCAAAACATGAAGACTGCTTTCAATGCAAAGCCCCATGTATAAAGCTTGGCTCTAGCTGTGCGCATAATTAAGTAGGTGAAATTAACACCCTGCACAGGTCTACAAACTACTCGCTTGTAAATTACATTATCCAGAAATCTACATAAATATTTCAAAGCAAAACTTCCCTTACACTGACTAAATAAACACAATACAGTTCAATATAAATTGACCAAATCTCACCTAAATTATTGACATTTTCTCTTATATCCCTTATATCCACTTTTACTCTTCGCCAAAACGGCAACAAATTGTACAGTAATGTCTCTGACATAGCACCACACGTATAAGATTCACTTTCACACGTGCGATTAAATGTTTACTGAAGTTGAACAAATTAAATTCAACTTATCATTTGCACATTTAACATAACTTTATCTAAATATCAGAAACTCACTTCTTTGGCCGGAACTTAGCAATTTACTGCCGAAACAAAAACAGGACAAAACAGGGAAAACTGGGAAAACTGGAGAGCTCATCTCCAGTGACTTGACGCTCGACAGACTACGCGAACAAGTGTCTAAAATGGCTTCGCTAGTTATCGAAGCTGAAAGTAAGGTTTCCTTGAAAAACAAATACTCAAAGAAAGGCCATTTCAAATCCTACTATAAAAACATCGATCATAAATACAACAGACATTGTAAATATTAAAATTGCCAATTCACCTTCTATAAAATACCTAAATGCTTCATTTAGGCTGAAAGAGAATAAATATCTCGCTTTCTTGTTATTAAAATGAACAAAATTAACCATTTTTCTCATCTTGTGAAACAAACAATCTGCGCTCTAAAAATCTCTTCTAAGATTTTCGACCTGCTTAAAAAAACCACAAAATAAATTTTGCTCAGCGAAACATCTGTGAGATGCCATTTTTTCCCACCTGAATCCCCCCTTCTTTTTTTTTAATTCAAGGGGGGTGTGGTTGTGCTCACTATCACCCCTATTCTATGTGCCATTGGCATTAGTGGACTCTTCCTGCTTCTCAAAAAAACACTTTGAAATCGTTCAAGAAATAAATTAAAAATGTAAGATTTTGCTACCGGAGTTATGATAATAATAATAATAATAATATGTCTTGTTTACCCAGGGTAGCCTCATCAGTATTCATACTGCTCTCCTTGAGCGATTTTTTAAACCTTCCACATGTTCCTAATGAAAATTAGTTATGGTCCGATTTACATAACAAAAACGCTGACCTCTTACGAGAGTTGTTAATTTTAGTTCTGGTTGAAATGTAAAGACAAGCGGTATACATCATTTTACATGTAAAAAGCTGTTTTTGCATTGCCAACTTGTCACTTACTTTGATAACATATTCTCATAGTCATATTTTTTATTAAATTCTTGACGGATTTAAAGTGCTTTGAATGTGAAGTAGAGTCCACCAGCAAACTCCTAAGCCAGTGTGCAATGTTTTGTCGGTTGGGGAATTGATGATTATGAACGCTTTTTAGGATTTGTTTATATCACTCTTCATGCGGGTATATGGGTGCCAATTAAGGCTAGGTGAGATCAATATCATATTTAATTTTATCATCTAGCCCTTGGGCCTAGCAAAACCCATCGAACTCACTCGAAATATGCACTTTTCTTAACTAGATTCTAGTTAGACATAACCTTTAAAGTTTAAGGCTTGGTGATAATAGAATATGAAATGATATTGATATTACCCAACCTTAATTTGGCACCCATTTGCCTATATAGATGTGAAGAGTGATGTAAACAAAACCTCAAATAGTTTTTCTTCACATTCTGTTATTTTGTAAGCGCTATGGTACTTTTTGTTAGTAGCACTTCTAAATTATCCATTTTGTTGTTATTACATAGCGTCACTTAGAGCACATGAGAGAAAAAGAGAAAGAGCTTCCAAGGAGTACATACCAACAAAGAAAGATGTTTCAGCTCAACGTCATATCTCGCATGGAGAGTGAACGTAAGTCTATTATCTATAGCCAAACCTGTCTTCATTAATAGTGGCCACATCTCTATAAAGGCTACTTGTCTTTGGTGTTTGCCCATATTGCCTCTCTCCTGGAAGAAATGTGTGTTGAAGAACTTGTATACAAAGGCCACCTGTCTACAGTGACCAGTTTTCCCATTTCACTTGGGTGACCTTTATAGACAGGTTTGACTGTACTTCTAAAGAGGGGACCGACTTCTGCTCCAGCGGAAGGTGCTCTGCAATTGTCGCCATGAATAGGGTTAGGGATGGGATAGGGTTTTACGTTTAGGTTTATGGTTAGGGTAGGGTGAGGCTCAGTGCTGTGTTCATAGTTAGAAATTTGGTTAGTGGAGGAAGCAATTGTTGAGTATATGTCCTACAACTACTTAAGATCATAGAGGGGGAGTTGACCCTGATGATAATTTAATTTGATAAAAGCAGATAGGGAAACAGATCAGATGAAATTTTGAGGAAAAATCCACATTAATTTAAAGGGCTTAGAAAGTTATGAATTTTCATTGTTGTAGGCAATCTAACTTAAAGTTTTATCTCTGTACCTCATTTACTGAAACTCATAATTTCCCTTTCCTCGATTCAGGCAAGAGTATATTATTTCATAGAGGCGTGTTTTGACAAATGTGCAATGAAATATCAATATAATAAAAACTTTTAGCTGTAAATTTCAATACACCTGACTTTATAAGCTCCATCAGGGAACTCTGTAATTACAAACATGATTTCAAAATTGTTGGATTAAAAGGAGAAAAGTATTTGCTCAGTTTGCTGACCATTCATATAAGTCATTAATTTAGCACATTGTTTTCCCTTCTCTTTCATAGATACAAAGGAATCGCCTTTAGATCTTCTGAGGCAATGTGTTGAGAAGCGATGTAAAGTCCGGGTATGCATCCGTAGCTTCAAGGGGCTTCGTAGCATCTGCATTGGATATCTGGTGGCCTTTGACAAAATCTGGAATATGGTAAGAAAGATTCTTCTGCTACTTAAAATGCCACCATCCTTGGATGTTCTTTGAGGTGTGATCATTTAATCCATTGCCTACTGCAACCTGGTGGCCCCTATATTAGATCTGTGAGAATGAGAGAATTCCATAGTCAACGGGTTAACCTACTAAGAGGTAGAATGCCTCAGGGTTGATTACCCCTTGGGTTCTGGTATAAGATGAACAGACATGTCCAGTTACATTTATAACCATAAGGGTATGCTTTGAACTGTGAGCTTTTGATAATGAGGATGACTTCTTCAGGGTACCGTAGTACGTCAGCCACACCAATAAGAGGGACACCAGACCGACTACAGAACAAACAATTAAAACTACCCCCATTGGCCAACAAAAATTCCATTTGGAGTCATTCTTGAGTCGGTTTGGTGGTGGAACTGGGATAGCAGAGTCAGTATTTAGGGTCAATTGCTTTGTGGCATGATAAATGTGCAGTCATGCAGTATGAAACAGTTTCTTTCATTTTTAGCATCATAGCTGCAAGATTTAAGGGGGAAAAAGAAGTAAAATGGCACTATACAATTTTAAATCTTGAGGAATGGATGAAGATCGAAGGACTAAAGTTTAGAAAAAGAGTAGGAGAGTTGATAAGCATATACATTCAGATGTGAAAGAGGTAGGAAGAGAGAGTGAGGGGGGATGTCTGCCAACCATTACGATTTAGTCGTATTCAGTACGATTTTTAGAAGCAAATACGACAGTACGATTTTCCTCAATAAAATACGATTTTCAAAAAAAAAAATCAATGGCAAAATGCCTATTCTGTCCTATAAAGCATCTCACATCAGCAATTTGGGGATGTTCATTGGTTCATCGAACACACCAGTCGTGACGAAATCATGCATATTCAACCAATGATCCATAAAAAAAATTCTTCATTTATGTAGAAACTGTAAGAGGCATTGATCCGCGTAACAGTCCATGTTTATTTTTAAGAATACAACTTTTGTCAGTAAAATACAACTTTCGGGATTAAAGAATACAGTTTTTGAACTTCAGAGGTTGGCAGGTCTGGGATGAAAAGGTAAAGGAAGGACAGAAACAAGTTTGATTATCAAGATAAAAGAGATAACCAGAAAACAACAATTCCAAGGCTTCATTGTTTGTGTGTATTACTTGTCTAGGCTCTGACAGATGTTGTTGAAATCTACAAGAGGCCTTCAACTGGAAAGAGATTCCATCATGAAGAGAAAGTCACATACTCCATGGTGAGTACAGTGTTTTGTTCCCCTTCTCTATGTATCTGTGCATTTATATATCTTTCTCTGTCTTTTACCGTCGCTGTTTCTCCCTCGCTCTCTCGCTCCCTCCCTTTCACTCTCTCTTTCTCTCTTTCTTGCTTCCCGTATTTTGCTCCCTTTTACCCTCTCTTCCCTTCTCTATCTCTCTCGACCTTTTTCTCTCATTCTTTCTTTGCAGTCTCAAATTCTCAATTCTGATATTTTTATGAAACATAGTTGGGCATTGTGTATCTTTTTGCTAGTATTTGGGTTGTCTATTCCTAATCATATCTTTTTATTCATTCAGCATCTTTTCTTAAAATATAATTAAAAATTCCTTTAAAATTTTATTAAATGTTGTGACAATGCATGCATCATTAATACATATAGTGAAAACAGTGATTGTATGATCAAGAAACAATGGCTTTTAGGTTGTAACAAAATTAGAAGGGATCCATCCATGTAACAACTGTGCCCCCTTCTCCTTCAGATCATGTCCAACTTGAATCCTCCGCCCAAGAAACCAGACCCTCCCAAGCCTTCGGAGCAGGAACAGAAAGGCGCTGGTGGCAAGAAGCGCGCCAAGGAGTGCAAGTTCTGCCGCATCAAGCACGAAGCTCTCATGGAGCAGCGGGCTGCGAGTGATTCCAGAGATGCGGAGGCATCTCAAGATTGGTCCAAGAGCGAGAGCAGCAGTAGCGGGACTGATGAGTACTCAAGCACAGAGGAGAGTGAAGGTGATGGAGAGAAGGAGGTGGACAAAGTGAAAATGGAGAAGGCAAGGAGAAGGCAGAAGACACCTAGAAGGCCGTCTAGATTATGTCCGAATGGCCATGAAAGACCAAGAACCCAATCTCGGAGACCCCAATCCTCCAGATCTGATGACAGTCGGTCTAGTAAGAAGGATTTGACTGGTGCTAATGTTGCTGCAGAATCAACCTCAAAGACATCTACCTCTTCTGTTGTCAAGAGAATGGCTTCAGAATCATCAGACTCTTTATGGACTGCAGCTTCGAGCTCAGGTCCTAGACTAGCAGAGGGAGCTGGGATGAGTACAAAGGAGGGGGTATCTGTCAAGGAATCTGTTGCTACGGCTACTGCCTCCACTCAAGAATCAAAAACATCTTCCGCAAAGGCTAAGAACTCATCATCATCAAATCTGTCGGATACTAGAAAGTCAGATTTACTTCTTTCTAGAATGACTACATCAGCAACAAATCAAGAATCGTCTACGTTATCATCACATACTTCAACAACAGCATCATCGACTTCAAAGACATCCTCTACATCATCATCAGTATCAAAACAAACATCAAAATCGAGAACATCATCTGCACCATCACGATCATCATCAAGTAAAAAATCAACTGCATCATCATCTTTGTCACAAGCGTTTTCAAAGACTCTTACGATTGGCAGAGAGCCTGTGAAACTCACAGACGTGAAGAGTCAGGATGGTAAGGAGACAAAAACCATGAAGGACGTCGTTCATCTCGACCCAAAGACCGGAAAGCGTCTGATTCAGCCGGAGGAGTTCAAGCGTCGTCATGTCAACCAACTCTTCATTCGCGGGGACCAGGTGGTCTTGGTCTCGGTAGACAGTGACATGGTGGAGGTGGATTTAAAGAAGGCTGCTGAAAAATCGGAAGAGAAATCGTCCGTTGAGGGCCGGAAGGGCGTTAAGCAATCCCACGTATCCTTTTCATGGAGTTAGCACCTTTGTGCTCTCAGCAGGGGAAATGAGTTTGTTCCATTTTCAGGACTGCGCCATGGCCAAGATGGTTGTGCGACATGTGCTCCGGCGACAATTGTTCCGCTGTCAATATCCTACATTAACTGGATTCTGAACTTCAACCCTGGACCAAATGCTATACTTAACCATAACTGTAACCCTACCCAACTTTAAACCCAGTTTCAACTCCAACTTCGACCCTTTATTTTTGATGAAAGAAAGCGTAGAGCATTGTTGCCAGAGCAAACGGCAGATTACCTGGATATCTCCCGGAAATCATGAAATCTGTACTTCCATGTAAACAAAAAATGATATTATAGTGTCTTTGTGTCCATGGGTGACATAGATGAACTCTTGATACAAGTATGAAGGCAGTGCCTAAAACTGGTGAAAAATTAGATGAAAATTGTTTGCTGAGTGCCAGAAGGATGGTCAGCTATTGCACTTTTAATACAGGGAGTTAATGCTCATTGGGCTGTCTGCAGAGTCTAGTCCTCTGTTGAAACTTGAAAACCAGAAGGGTATTAACTATTAGCACTGTAAATGGAATTCACACCCTTGCGGCTCTCGGCAAACAAATATTATTTGGGTTCATTTTCAGGAAAGTGCCATGACAAATAAACATGTTCAGGAAATCATGAGAACTGTACTCCCACATTCCTTTAAAGAGATTATAAAGCTTATTTGTACCCATGGATGAAGTAGATGAACTTTCGATACAAGTTGATGTATATATAGACAGTGCCTTCAATATGGGTCAAAATCAGATGATAAATTATCAGCCAAGTGCAAGAAGGGTGATAAGGAATTTAACTTTAGTTTACATGTAGTTATGGCCTATTAGGCTCTCTGCAGATTGGTGATATGGGTCCATTTGAGAAAGTGTGCTGTGGCAGAGATACATATGTCCAGGAAATCATGAAAGCTGTTCTTCCATTTAACAAATGAGATCATAGAATGTCTCTGTGTCCAGGAATGAAAAAAGATGAACTTCAGTTACAAGTACGAAGACCTTACCTTCACTGCTATCGTATCTCAGTGTTCATGATTATGATATAGAAATGAATGTATCATTAAATCATGGTTGCATGAGCTTTAGGAAAAGGCATTTACATTTATATGAAAATAGGCTGAAAGAAATTGCTGGGATATAGTTGATTTTAGTGAATAATTTCAGTGTTTTAATTATGAATATGTGTTATTTGAAACAAATGGCGGATGTCACAAGTACCTATCAAAGGAAAATGCATCAGCAAAGCAGTTGCAAAGGTATTTTAAATCTAATTTGAAAGTGAAAGCAATTTTAAAGGGCGTTGCAGGGATTTGCTTGGTGAAAATCTCAGAAACTAGTGAAAGGGCCAAAATGTTGTAAACAATAATAATTGAAACTTTCCTATAAGTATGGTGGCAAGATATTTTCAAATTTCAGTTTTGCAACTGGCAGTGTTTTATTCATCCCATTTATTGAGTACAAAATGAGGGATGCAGTTTTCACTCATTGAGAGAAAAACAGTCTTTTTTACCGCAAAAGAAGTGGATGCTATACGATAACACCAAAGGAAAACAAAATTGTTACACTTTTACTTTATTTTTTTGAATTAATTTTTATTGGCATCAATATAGCAAAGTATAAAACATTTTAGTGTTCCACAAAAAATGGATATATATATAAAACATACCATTGAACATTCTGAAATTAGTATATATTTTCATCAACACTGATAATTGTTAGAGATGTGTAGGCTACAACTCTGGTTTGTTGATCCAAGTGTACTTCTAGCAGATATATTTTTTTTTCAAATTTTCTGAATTATGATTGTAAACAACTTCATGTTTATGTTCCAATGTTTAACAAAGGATAATAAATTTGTTCAATTATTTTTTACCTGTATAACAAAATGCAAGACCTGGTCTATGATTTTGTGTTTAGAGCCTCAATTTAGATCAAATTTTAATTTGCCTTGTGCTATTAGTAATCTTTTATTTGATTTTGTTTCTTAATATCAAATTATGGACTGAAATTCTTACTATCCATTGCATTGCCAACAATATACAAATTTCAATTGCAAATACGTTATAATTTACTCTTATGAATAACCTGTCAATCAACATCAAGACACACATTTTGGCAAGTTACTTATTTTTCCTCAAACAGAAAATTTAAATAGAAATCACCTACTTCTCCATCCTATAAGTTTATGTTCACCACAACAAATTTCTAATGTTTACATAAAGTTTACAAATTTGCACACAAACACAGTACATGTTACTTCTAATTCAATACTTCACAAAAAACAGTACTGTCTATGATGAAAACAAATACAATTTTGGGTCCGTATTCAATTCAATTGATAAGTCAGATAGGTAAATAAGTATTCTACTTAATTTACCGTATTGGTTTTATGTTATTACTTTCTTCTTTTCACTGTTTTTGTTTAAAGGTCCATTTCATGTATGATAGCTGTATGCACATTATTCATTTCAGGTGATTGGTACACTTCAAGACATATATTACAAAAGTCTTGGTAGAGGGCCCATAGGTAATATGACCATAAACCACTACTTGCAAACAAGCAAATATGTGATAGATTTGGCATAAGTTTATTCGCTTAATTTCTGTTAAATCCGAGTATTGAATTGAATACCAGCCTAGGTATAAACATATTTCAGTATAAATTAAAACAAAAACACATCTTTTGCTTCAGCTTTTGAAAATTAAGAAAATTTAAGTAGATTGTATTCATTCAAGTCCACAATCTGCAAGAAGTGTGCATCTTAATAAAGGCAAGTTATCTTGCATGAGTTTGCATAATCACAAAAAAACACACAAGAGATCCACAAACAAAAAGAGTAACATATTTAAAAAAAACGAAAAAAGAAGTTTAACTTCAAAAACACATTTCATATTAAGTACAATTGTATAGCTAAAAATATTGATGAATAAACGGTATAGAATAGCACAAACATGCAGAGGTCCTATACGACCTTTCAAGCAAAATAAACTTATCTACTAGAAAACTAGCCAGCAAGATCATGAAATAAAGACATATAAATATCTTTGGTATTTTATGAATATATTAGTATTTCCTAGAATTATTTAATTTTTATCCTTCATAAGCATATTGATATGAAATCTAATTTTCTTGAAGCAATCACTTCAATACTTGCCACATGAGAAAAGGATGAGTAAGTTATTTCTCTATTTACATTATGTGAGGATTTGGAATACACATTCTAACAAACAACAAATAATGTCTCCGTTTTTAACCATCACCAAACATAAAATCAAACATATATTGTGTTTGACGTTACAATACAGTACAATTAGTTACAATTTTCACTTTGAAAGGTACATGTATGACAACGTTGAAAGCACCTGTAAAAAGGATATAATTTTAAAACCACCACAGTAATTTCATTGTTATGCATTCAAGCCATAAAAAGTTAGCACAGTAACAAAATAAAATAGCAAAATATTTAAACATATATAACATTTATTATCGAATAGATATTTGTTCACAAGTACGGGACTCTGTACTTCGTTTTTGCATCAAATTTAATGATCTGTAAATAAAAAATTCTTAATATATAACATTTAAAAAAATACACATACATAGATGACCACACAATGGTTATCTAAACAATCTTCATACATTAAGCACTGATCAAAATTGGCATAACAGAATGTGTACAATATTTGTTAAGTCTCCTTCAATAAATTTTGCTTAAAGGCACGAGATAAAATCAACACAAAATGCACTTGGTTCAATCAGTATCACAATTTGAAAAAGATTTCTCAGATTTACCCTGCCAAATTAAAACACATACCATTCAACAACTTTCATATTTAATTGTTTAAAAAGTCCTCTCTGTGAAAATATAGAGAAAGAGCAAATATTTCAGTAGTATAACATTGTGATCAGCCTATTAGAAATTGGAAATGTGGAAAGATCCTTAAAATAATTTTTTTGAGCAAAAAAAAAAAAAAAAAAAAAAAAAAAAAATCAAAATCAAAATTATGTCAAACACAAGGAAACATGTGCAGCGTTCTTTCCCATCTTTCAAGGAATTAAAAAATATATCGACCTGTAACATCAGAATGCTTCAAGTACTTCTGTTTGTTTTATCCTACTCCAGGCTAGGCTTTTTTTTAAATATGTACTTTTTCTCTGCCACATAAAGCCTTCACTTTCAATAATGCAGCCACTTGCCCCACCAAAGTTTGGGCGTAGCCTATATTTATGAAGGAGAATGAAAACTGAAAACTTCTCTCAATTCCCTAGACTTAATACAGGAACCACTCCATATCTGTGGACGATGGGTGACAATAATATCATGAAATGAGAATTCTTTCGTGACAATATTTGTTTTTTTATTCAGTTACAGAACTGGATCAGTTTTAATAAGAAGAGATTTACACATGGCACTCCAGAAATCAGTGGTCTAACTCTGGGATTAAACCTGGGTACTGTTTCATTAAACTTGTGATTGATAACAAATGCTGAATTTTGCTCTCAGCCAATCAAATGCCATGATTTCAGTAGCTTATAACAGTTATTTTTAACTTGTTATTGATAACAAGTTTTTATAAAACAGGGCATTCCTTCCTTCATACAAAAAAAATCATTATTACTAACAACTGCCACAGATATATGATAAATCTGCTCATAGCCATTTAAATGAGAGGGTTTCAGTAACAATCTTCGCATCTCATCATTAATATCAAGTTGTATGAAACAGATCTCAGGTCTTGAAGTCAGTTATGGCTGATGAAAATACTAGCCTGCGGTATGTCTTGTTCATAAAAATCTGGGTTGGCCGACTATTTCTGGTCTCCTTCCATTTATCATGATACATCCGGATGGACAACATGACCGTTCTTGACCTGGTCCACCAACCAAGCGAAGGCGTCTTTGATGTCTATTGGTAGATGGTCCTTGATCATGCCAGGCAGGACCCCGATGTGGTCAAACTGACGATGGGTCACCCAGCGAGCGCGGTATTCATCCTTTGATCCACAGCAACCACTGGGAAAAGAGATGGGGAAGGTTTATTATGAATCATCAAACTGCAAATCAACTCAAATTGAATTTTAAACGGTATTGTGGTTCAGTTCTGGAAGCGAAAAAATCTGCAAAATGTATTTAGACATTCATTCAACCACACATATATGCTTCATTGGTATCAACCTTTCAACTGTTTTAGAATGACTCTATAGATCATCTCTTATTTTTTTTATTAATATCTGATGGCGTAAAATAAATATCTCATGGTTGCTAGATAAACCATTTTCAATATGTATTCAAATTTATACAATTTGACTTCACAATGAGCTATTACATTCACCTGCTATGTATTATTGTATGTTGATATCCCGATTGTGAATTGCATACATTAGTTTGTGCGAGGTAGAACAAACATTGTGGCTTGCCCTACCTCACAACACGTAATGTGTGCAATTTGCATTGTGACCTATTAAAATACAATCATTCCTAACAAGTAAATGAAATTTTTTGTACAAGGCACTTCACAAAGACGTATGCATTAAATTAATAAAAACATTATGAAATGACCTATTCTACCAATCCCATACATATATGTGCATGTGTGCACAATTTCAACATGATTTTGTACTTCATTTACAAATTTGTTAGTCCGAAAAGCCAATGATACATGATTAACAATGAATTAAAACCATGGACATTGGAATATGTGAATACTATTTACAATGAATGAACACTAATGGTGTTCAATAATCACTGTCGTTCGAATTCCTAATTATCCAACCAACTTAATGCTCCCATTCGCATGCTGATTTCTTTACAGTGGTGTACAGAATGAAGAAGATTTTTTTACCCAGAATGCATCTCCCTCCGGGTGATCCAGATCATCTGACCCGGTGGATAGAGGGCCATGAACTCCTTACCACCTGTGACACTGGAGTGTCTGCCGTTAGACGATGCACCAGGCTCGTCAGCACCAACATCCACTTCAATGGATTCAGCACTATGGATCCCACCATTTCCTAACACAGGGAGGGGGGAAGTAAGAGTAATGATGATAAGAAAAAGAAGGAGAGAGAGAAGAAGGAGAAGAGAAAGGAGGAGATGAAGGAGGAGGAGGAGGAGGAGGAGAAGGAGGAGGAGAAGGAAGAGGAGGAGAAGGAGGAGGAGGAGAGAAAAGAGGAGATGAAGGAGAAGGAGGAGGAGGAGGAGGAGGAGGAGAAGAGAAAGGAGAAGAGAAAGGAGTAGAAGAGAAAGGAGATGAAGGAGAAGGAGAAAAGAAAGGAGAAAAGAAAGGAGGAGATGAAAGAGAAGGAGAAGAGAAAGGAGGAGAAGAATAAGAAGGAGGAAGAGAAAGAGAAGGAGGAGAAGAAGAAGACAAGGAGAGGGAGAAGAAGAAGACAACAAAGGAGAGGGAGAAGAAGGAGGAAGAGAAAGAGAAGGAGGAGAAGAAGAAGACAAGGAGAGGGAGAAGAAGAAGGAGAAGGAGAAGGAGAAAAAGGAGGAGTGGGAGAAGAAGAAGAAGATAGTATTGCTCCGGCAATTGATTGATGCTTACAGAACCAACTTTGACGTCACCATCTGATAGATGCCACTAAGTTCCAAACATGAAACATAGCAAACAATGTAGGATATGTTTAAAATCACTTTTTCTCTTACATTACTTTGAATCCCTGGCAGTATTCGTAAAAAATGATGTATTTCAAATTGTCATGACATTTCGGCCGGATGTCCTATAGATATTACCTATAGAATGCCAAGTAATATCTTTTGATGTTGATTTGATACATTCTACTTATATATAAATTATCCTTACCTTCTCTACTGCCATGCCCTTCCTCTGTAGGAGTGGCCAGGAGTCTCTGCTCTGCCCCTCTAGGGCTGGCAGGCAGGAGGGGCTCCCGGGGGTTACAGCACAGCCCATCCTCGTGATCCAGATCATTGTAGGATAATGGGAGATTCTCTGGAAGACCTTTACAAGTGTACCAAAGACCACGCAAGATGACTCGGTACTGAAAAATAAAATAAAATATTTAAATTGGAATGATAATAATAATAGCTACATTTATATTGCGCACGTTTCCATCCCAACTGATGCTCAAGACATCCACTAAATACTATGATTACCCTTGATTTAGCCCAGCTGCCCCAAGGCACTAAAACCATTCAAGGAATAAATTCCTACCAGGTACCCATTAGAGTGGAAAATGTAAAATAATATCTTGCCAAAGAATATTTGCGCCACAGCAGGACTCAAGCCACAAACCATATGTTCCACAGTCCGGTGACATTATCCACTAGGCCACAACTACCTCTACGTTGAATTTACTTCAAAACGGTATTTATTGTCAAATCAGTCATGGCAATTTCATAGAGAAGGTTGATTATCGGTGATCCCGAAAACATTTTTCCATGTGGTGAAATGTTACATGCAAATGATCACTCTTGAAATGCACGCATTTTTCAAATCATTCAGTAATTAACAGCATTGGGGAAAATGATTTTAAAGAGACATGATTGTGCAATCACATGAACAAATTTTATGTGTGTAATGGTTTTCATATTTAGTAATTTTCAGCAATTAAGGCAAAGGAAAACAAAAATCACAATGATGCCTCCGCCATAAAGCGATTTTTCAAACCAAAACAGACGTAATAAGGTTCTCAGAAGATCGTGCAATATACATACATGTCCTGGCTTTGATAGTAATCCATCCGTCAGTTCTAATGAGAATGCATTCACAAGATATTTTTGCATACATAATGAGCCCCATGACCTTTGACCTCATGACCCCAAAATCTACTCAGTTCATTGGCTCTGCAAGATACATACAATTGATTTGATTTGATTTGATTTGATTTATTTATTTCTGTTTGATTTTCTTTTTCTTTTGCATTTTTACAAATATATAACAAACAAATATTGCAAATTTACACATGACAAAAGAATATATGCAGAATAAGGTAAGGCTGGGTGTAACTAATCGAGAACATCAAACAGGAGGGTTGACAAAATAAGCAAAGCTTGATAGTATGACTACCCTCAATGTACATGTTTTAAGTTTGATGGTAATCCGTCCATCTGTTCTAATGATAATGCAATCATAAACTATTTTTGCAAACATGATACACCCAATGACCTTTGACCTCATGACCCAAAAATGCAATCAGTTCATTGGCTCTGCAAGATACATACATGACCCAAGATTGACTGGAATCCATCGACAGGTTCTCGAGATAACACGATCACAAGCTATTTTTGCATACATAATTAGCCCTTGACCTTTGACCTTGGGCCTCGTGACCCCAAAATATATTCAGTTCATTGGCTCTACAAGATACGTACATGACACATGTTTGGCTGGAATCGATCCATTGGTTCTGGAGATAACGCGATCACGAGCTATTTTCGCATACATAATAGGCCATGCGACCTTTGACCTTGGACCTCATGACCCCCAAATCTAATCAGTTCATTGGCCCTGCAAGATACGTACATGATCCAAGTTTGGCAGGAATCCACCAATTGGTTCTTGAGATAACGCGATCGCGAGAACGGGGCGTACAGACGGATGGACGGACGGACGGACAACCCGAAAACATAATGCCTCCGGCTACTTTGTAGCGGAGGCATAAAAATGGACATGCGCATTATTATGTAATTGACTGAGTGATTTATGTATGTTGAATGTTACCTTAGGCACTGGACATCTCTTAATGACTTCAATTAATGAATCCCTGAGCTGCTCAATAGTACACATACTCATCCTGTAAAACACAAGTGAAAAAATAAGAACATCAATACCAAAAATGTACAAGTGTAGGTTATAATACAGTGTCATGCTAAATTGACTTTCATCTCCCTATTTCAGCAATTTTTGTACAGGTAGAGATAGCAAAGAATATTTTCCACTTCATAACAAAAATGAAGGTAGAAGATTCCTTTGGGGCAACACTATGAAATAAATTAGCAATTTTTGTTTTTATGGTCTAAAATTGCTATACATTGATCATCAAATAGTTACAATTGTTGGAAATAGTTCTTGGGCTATCCATAAAAATGGAGTCCATATTATTGGACCCCATACCCACCTTGGAACTATATCTTCTCCTAGGACAACTGCAGTAACAAAACTCTGAGAGTATAATACTCCTTCAGCACTGAGAATGAAAAAGGCAGAAACAAAATTAAAAGAATAAACTCACATAGAATCACAAAGCAAGATCTCATTTTATGTTAGAATGGTTGTGTTGAAAGATTTCTCACATATGGCCGACAATAAGAAAGTATCCCTTTGGAAGAAGAAAATATTTATAAATGTTGTCTGAAAATTGCAAAGTTTAGACATGGATATAATAGCTAGTATATCCAAGAATTAAATTCAGGATATCAAATAGTCTGATATATGTACAAATAATTGAGATTTACAGAGGAAATTTATGGTAATTGAATATTTGAACATTAATTGTCCAAAGAAATAATGACTGATAAGAAAAGAAGAACAAATAACTCCAACTTTCCCCCACTCGTAACACAATACTACTGTTTTTTTTTACATTACACATAAATGTATCCACCACAAAGGTTACACAAGGCACTTTATAAATACTTGCTACTCCTTGAAAGCTCAACCCTTTAATGCAAACAAAATTTGGTTGTACACAATTGTATTTAAATCTTTTGGAACTTTTTCAATACCGATTTCTACCTCGAATGCAAAAACCAAAACAAATTTAGACGTACTTGATAAGGCCACCAGGGGGTGCGAAGGCATATGCTTTGATCTCTGGGTACTGCTCTCGGAGAAGGATGGACAAGATGGCCGCCACCCCGGCTCCAAGGCTATGACCTGATATAACTAACTTGTAGTCCTGAGAATTAATTGAAACAAAGAGTAATCTTTTTATAATTGAACATTGGGCTTTGATGCAAAATCAATAGAAATATTTAATGAAAAACAGGGCTCCATAATAATTTTTTGGGGATGGGTTCAGACTGAGATTATTATTATTATTATTTTTTTAGGGGGCGGGGGGGGGGGGGGGGGGGGGGGGCAGCATGTATGAGCCCAATTTGAAAGAAATCTGTCAAGAAATGTGGCAGTTAGAGCGCATAAAAAATATTTGACCATTGACCATATAAAAGACGGAACAATGAGGGCAGCATCGCCCAAAAGTGATAGGTGTGTAGACTGTAGTAAGACACACCTCCATACAAAATTTGAAAGAAATTTGTCATGAAATATGACCTACAGAGCGCACACTTGACACCCACCAAAAATAGTATAGGGGCATAGAGTTTACCAACATACACTTTCATACTCAATTTGAAAGAAATCTGTCAAGAAATGATGCAGTTAGACTGCACACTAGAATGCACACAAGACATCCACAAAAATATGGCCTTTTACCCTATAGAAGACGGAACACTGGGGACAGCATTACCAAAAGTTATAGGTGTGTAGATTATACCAAGATACATCTCCATACAAAATTTGAAAGAAATCCGTCAAGGAATGTGGCAGTTAGAGCGCACACAAGAATATGACGTGGCTGTGGCGGCGGACGCGGCGGCGGACGCGGCGGCGGTGGCGGCGTAACGCTGCTGAATCCAAAGTACCCCACCGGCATACTGCCGGGGGATACAATAATAATAATGATTTGATTACGCATGTTTCAATAAGTGTTGATAATTAAGATTTGATGTCATTTTGATGCTCAGTATCCATTATGAAGCAGAACTTATATGCTTGAATAAAAATCAAACTAAAAGTACATACATTTTGTCTTTGGCAGAGGTAAGGAGATGAGATATGTTAAAACACAGTAAGGGTGGACTCCCCTTTTTGAGCAAAGCACACCATATATACTCACTGGATGTCTTTGGAATGCATCTTCAAGTAGATTGAGCTCCTTTAGTTTGTTCAAGATGTACTTGGAGTTGTTGGCGATCCCTCTATGGGCATAGATCTCATGGCCCTCTATGTCCAACCTCTCAGCATCCGCAGAGACATCGGTCAACATGTCCTACAAAGAGAGATGGTATCGGCATTACCGGTATTAATCAAGGCTTGCTCAGCTATGGGGTGGTAATTACCCACTGCAAAAAAGTCAGCCAAGGTTGTGTACACAGGCAAGTACGCAGGATTTAATCAAGGGGGGGGGGGGGGGTTTTAACATTCATAAATCGGGCCAAAAATTTTGCAACGACTCAGCCAACCGTTAAATAAGCGGGGGGGGGGGGGGGGGGGGGGGGGGGGGTAAGAGGACACTTTTTTCTTTTTTTTGGTCTCGAAATTTGAAAAATTGACATTTGGCTCCAATGGGGGGGGGGGGGGGGAGGGTAAGGTCACCTTTTTAGGTCAGCTATGGGAATACTTTTTTTTCTTCTTAATAATTAAAAAAACAAAAACAAAAACAAAGGGGGGGGGGGGGGGGGTTTTAGGGAGGTGGTGGGGGGGTTTACACACATAAAAATACCAAAGGGGGGGGGGGGTTGACCCCCCAAACCCCCCCCCCCCCCCCCCCCCCCCCCCCGTATACGCGCCTGTGTGTACATGTAAATGAATGGCAACTGCTCGCAACTCCGATCTCTGTATTTTAAGATACAGAAAGGTGAAGCCTATTACACTTTACATCATTCAAAACGGTTGTCGTTTGCTGCATTGTATCTGAACAAGACTTTAGAGATGAACTTGAGTTCTGGTCATGTGATTACATTGTAAAAGAAACTATCTGGATGCAATTAGGAAAAGTTAATGATGAAATACATATTTTGTGAAGATTCTGAGGTTATAGAATCATCAAATAAGAAATGGACTCGATCTTGCTGAAAGTAACATGAACAACACGTAGAAATGTGTATATGGGACTACACATACATGTGACATGATAGTTTGGTCCTAACATCTCAGCTATTAGTCATCATATTTCGAATAATGATGAAGGCATTTGAAGGGAAATCCTTTTCAGGTAGGACACTATATCTATGAAACTCCTCATTTTTACATAAAAAGAGTGAAAAAGCTAAGAAATCCCTTTTTTCATATATAGAGCAAATATTTTTTATTGCATGATTTGCAAACTCATTCAAGATAACTTTTACTTCCATGGCTCTTACCTTGAATGAAAGAGTCCCTCTGATTGCGATGACCACTGACTTATGTGTATGATCCAGGGCAACAAAGAATGGACTCTGGAAAATCTGTTCAAAAAGAAATCATTCAAACAAGTTTCAATTATGTTTCAGTCATATAATAATAATTACAGTGCTTATATAATATATACTACTTATATTACTTTGTCAGAAGTCTCTAAGCGCTCTACAATAATGCAGCATAATTACCCTGGCTTTAGCAGTGCAGCTGTTACGCGCGCTGCGTTTCAAGGAATAAATTCCTACCAGTGTGGCAAATGTAGATCAATGTCTTGCCAAAGGACAATAGTGCAGCGGCGGGACTCGAACCGCGGACCTTGTGATCGACAGTCCGGCGACGTATCCACTCGACCACAACATCTCTATATATAGACCTATAAGAGTACACATCAAAAGTTTAATTGATAAAGTTGTTTTCATATTGCATAGAGGCATGACGGGTATTGAAGCACCTCCATGACTTTGGCAGTGATGATTCTAAAATGCACAAAGAGCGAATACCATATTTGCCGGCGATAAGGCCGCAGTGCCGCATAGGCCGCAAAAAATGTCGAAGATGGGATTCATTCTCTTGTGTACAAATGTCGATGTGACTGAAATCACCGCCTTAGACCGCTCGGCCATCCCGCACTGATGCCATACCCTGCAGTTTTCTCTGATGTATACATTGAAATGGATTGAAAATGGCGAATTCGCGTGCTGGATGCTTCGCGGCAGCTCCGTTAAACGGGCCCTTCTTTTACTTTTGCAATGCATTGGCACGAACTTAGATCAAGATCTATCGGCAGATGTTGTTTTTGGAAGTTTATTTTCGTCTTCATGTCAACATGCAAGATAAAATTGTCGGTAAGATGTGTGGAAATGTCCTGTACCATAGTGGTATAGTTATTTTACCGTTCGTGGTCCCATATGTGCAAATTCGTGCTGGTTTGGACTTACATTTTTAATTTTTTTTTACTGTTTCGCCGCAAAGGCCGCACCCCGACTTTTTGATATTTTCTCTTCCAAAAATACTGCGGCCTTTACGCCGGCAAATACGGTACCCCATGTGTAAAAGATCTCTGATTATTTGGGGGTCACTTGTACAAAAGCGAACTAGGACCTGGTCTAAAGGACCATCAGCTTGATACAGACATCAGATACATGTATACTAAAATCTGAGATGTGGATGGTATGTTTTATGTATAGGACTTGCCCATCAGTTTAAATCTTACCTTATTTTTGAAGCTGACATAGAGCAGATCCTCCTCGTCTGCCCCTGCTAAGGATCTTATGGCTGTGGTGTTACACTGGCAGCAGTTATCACCTATGATGCGCTCAGAGGGTCTAATACAGGCACAGCACCTGGTGGATAATTCATAAGCAAAACTCACTTTGTCATGTACTGGTAGATGCAACTAAACTGATTTCAAGTGCTTTGGTCAGGTCTGAGGATTGTTTTTTGATCATCATGAATGCCAGCAGTCTGCATACCGGTACTCAAAGCAGACATCTACTGTAATAGCTTCGAAAAGACAAATATTTTCATGGACTGTGGTAATTTACAAGCATAATTAAGTCACAGTGTTAACTCAAAGCTTATTAGTGTCACCTTTTAGTGACGTTTATTTCTATCTTTTGATCCAGAATGCTCTGAATGACAAGTTTTACATTAGTAGAAAGAGCAAACATCGCATGAAAATTTGAGTCCATTTATGATTATTAAATGGAAAATAATGATTGAAGCCATGTTTACATTAGGCCTCCTATAAAACTTCTGGGGTAGAATTGAAAATTTGGGGACTAATGTGCATCAGACCCCTTTTAAGGCTTGTTTTAAGGCTCGTTCAGATATGATGCAGTGTTTGATATAAAGTGTGATACATTTCACATTTCTGTATCTTACAACACAAAGCTCATATGCAACTCCTTTGTTGAGCAGAGTTGCCATTCATTTACATGTTAAAAAACATACCATATCTGAACAAGCCCTTAGTGTCAAGCCCTTACATGTAGTTAAGTTATAAAATGTTGTCCAATAAAAGAAATATATTGGGTTTACCTGCCAGCACAGCACAGCTTACACAGCCAGCATTTGAGATCTGCAGCGAATAGGACGGGCCAGCCGTTGGAGGCCATCGAGTATCGGAAGTAGTACCACATGGTTTCCAATCTCCTCTCCACCGGTTCCGTGGGCAGGGCTACATCGGGTCCAGGATCTTTGCAGGAGGCTGTCATGGGGATCTGATCCCTGATCTGTCTCTGCTGCTCAACCTGGACCAGGATCAGACCGGCTACGATGTCCGATAGGACTACATCTACACCCTGAAATAATTGCAAGAAGATTTTAAAAATGGACGTGTGATGGAACTTTTGATCTTGCCTTCTGCAAAACACAAAACTGTTCCTCATACCCTCACATAACCAATCCTGTAACAGACTGGTACCATACGTTATTAAACTATACTACACATACTTGACAGGCATGAACACACATGAGACAAAGAATAAGATGAGTGATTGTACCACACATGCTCCTGTGACAATTGCTCTGCAGTATTTTCCTACACTTACTTCTTACCCTATATTCGTGATGAAATAAACCCCTATGGCAAGGAGATGCGTGATTGAACTTTTTGACAATACAGTCTGCAAAAACTCTATAAAACATTGTATTTAAAACACTTTTCAACATCAAAATTTGTCTAACAATATTTTTTTGTGGATTTGACAATGAACAAAGTTCCATGTGCTGCTTATTCCTTTCCCCTCCAAAAATGAAAAGAAATGAAAAGAAAAATTCTTACATATAAATGGCAGTCAGCTGAAACTTTATATATTACTAGCTTAAATAACGTTTAAACCCTGTATTACATGCAATGGACAACAAATCCTGTCTAAGTATTCAAGTGTAGAACAGTGTCAAGACAAAAAACGCCTTTGTTTTTCCTCGTGAACCAGATCTATGTGCCACATTTCAGTTTGATTCTTGCACGGGATATAGTTCCAACCAAATTTTAAAATGTCACATTTCAACATTTGAATGATCATTTAGAATGATTGTTTGGACCCTCGCTGGCATGGAAGATGATATATGGCTTTATCTTACATGAAAGAGTGATGAAAATACAGCTGCGGCTTCTGCATACGCAATCTGTGAATTCTCATCTTTCTTCAAACAAAAACAGCATCTACGACATCTGGAAAGAAAGCAGAAAAAAAGGTTCTCGGAATTATCAGAATTAAACAGGGGCCGCTACATCACCTTCAAGAGAATGTCTTACTGTTGCTGCCACAACCTCCAAATAGGAACACCCCGGGTTGGAGAAAGAGCAGTCGATGATATAATCAATTCCCTTAATCTCTATTTCACATTTTGGCTATCTTGCCAACAAAAATTGTAATACAATGACTACAATAGAAAGAAAGATTTCCCTTAACATTTGGTTTTGGGCGAGTACAGAGCCCACTTGGAGAGATGGATGTTCATCTCTTGTTCATTCTGCACAAGCGATGTGTGTATTTACCAGTTGCCCAATCTCCCCACATTACAGCAAGTCTTACAAGAGCAAAACAACATTTTCTAGCAACCTGCTACAAACAACATCATGAACAAATGATTTGATTTGATTTGATTTGATTTGATTTGATTTGATTTGATTTGATTTGATTTGATTTGATTTGATTCATTTATTTATTCACAGTAAAATCCCAGTTCAGCTGTTAAGCTGTTTTATGATGGGGCTGTGCATATACAATAAAAATACAAAGTAAACATAAGGAAAAAAACATATGTCATATAAAGAATAACAAGCTAGTAGAATTACTGATGACACACCGAGTAGAGATAAAATTTATATGAATTTGTATGCATGTATACGTAAATATAAAGTTTGTTATAAGTTGGTTTTAAAGCACATATTGTAAAGAAATATCAAAGAATTTTAACGACGTAAATATGATAAAATATCATCTGATGAGAGCCAGAAGGGCATTGACTGTGTGTTAAAATAAGATGCCCTTCTGGCTCTAAGCAGATGAAAATACCCTTACCTCTTTTCCCACTGATCAAAGTCATCAAACTGCTCGTCGCCATGGCGATGCTTCCCGCCAAAGAGCACGAGTACACAGATAGCAATGGCAATAAGGAGGAACCAGCAAAAAATAAGGGCAGCCTGGACGAGACGGACGAGACTCACATCACACGTATGGTCGGACCGAAGCTCCCAGTCTCTGAACACCCACACTGCACCCACCTGGAAGGTAAATGATTCAAAAGATAAGATAATCAATCAAAGAATTTGCATAAATGAGATGAAAAATGAAGAAAAAAAAGTCTGCAGCACCCATCTAGACGAATCTGTGGACTCCTTAATACAAATTGTTTTTCAAGGAGTTCATTTAAAGGGATATTGTCTATTGGCTCAGAGGTAGAGCAATAGTCGCGTACCCAGGAGGTTCCAGGTTTGATACCTTGTTAGCTTATTGATTTGTTTCAACAGACTATTGGAAAGCATGTGTGTGATTGTGTAAAAGCAACCCCCCCCCCCCCCACCCCTACTCCGGGGTTGGAGGGACCTGGTTGTGCCTACTCTGACCACATCTCATCCAACAAATTTTCATGTTTGAAAAATATTCTACACCTACCAAGCTACTTGCAATCTCTGCCACAAACACCAGAGCCCTGATGTAGAGCAACGCTGCTAGGTATCTCCTGGGGTAGGTGTCAGTGATAGTGCCCCGCCCGCTGACCACGCCTATAGCTGTCTCCAAGGCAACAGTGATGCTAAGTAAGATGACAAGACCAATCAGGAAGCCGGCTAGAAGGTCACCTTGTTTGCAGTGCTGGATGTTAGGGTGTTGGATCACAAACACTGCAATAGCCGACGCCAGGCTGGTTAAAATCAAAATCAAAAGTCAGTCATACATCTCAAAATCAGTTTACCTACTGTGGTCGCTTATCCATCAACGCTCAGCAATAACAGGTGTATTCTTATGTTTATTTTTTTCTTCGTGCAAATACACTTAAAACTAAAAGATCGATGGATGCTTGAAATCCAAATTTAGAGTCCAGGCCCCCCAATAAAAAAAAATGATAATAACATAGTGTTTTAATATGCGCACAGACTCTAAAAAGTTCAGATGTAGAGCAACGCTGCTAGGTATCTCCTTGGTCTAGACCCCCTTGCAAGATATATGGCTATATACCCAATAGTGTTGAGCCCAGTAAACATTTTTTCGCTGTAAACTTTTAGATCACAAAAATAATTGTTTGCTAACTCCATAACTGTCATGATCTCTACTAAAGGACTGCATAAATAAGTTGATTCAAACTCCCTTTTATGACTTCTTTAACAAAACTTGTCCCTTAACACATATATATTGAAGAGGACAAGTTTTTGTCATGCTTCCGTGTGGAGGTCTACAATTTTGTAGCTGGATTCTCTTAATTTCCCATACAAATGAAGAGATATAGCTGTTGTTAGATTTACTTTATTTCTATTTCAATAATAAACATAGTCTAATCAACTTTGTCCCATACAACATAGTTCATGTTGTACACGACATAACTCATATAATAAGCAAATAACTACCGTTGGTGAAGGTGATGGGACAAACTATCACTTCCGAGGCGATCTGGATGTAGCTATCTTTCCGAAGCGAAGCTGAAGAAAGATAGCGTATACATTCAGATCGCCGAGGAAGTAATAATTTGCCATCGCCTGAAACCAAAAGGGGATTATTTGCTTTATATTCCACGTCAGAAACATTTCACTTCCTCTGTCATTTTAGAGCAACAAGTCATCAATTAACAGCTAACAAACGGTGTACAATACGTACAGTGCATGCAGTATGGTGGTGTGACCATTTAGTTCGCGCATGACCAAAGTTTGCATACTAATATATATAATATTATATCCCACATACTAAGAATCTTGCTCTACGATTGGTGAAAAGTAAATCACGTGAGGAAAGATAGTTCGCCCATTATTAATGGGAGAAGCAAAAGTTTGTTACACTGTGTAGATAGTACTACTATCTACACAGTGCAACGCACTTTCATTGAAGATAGAGGTACTATCTACAAAGGGCAACGCACTTTCACTAAAGATTATCCAAACGCGTACTAAAACAACCGTAATTAAGCGCGCATTGCCAATGAGTGCAATTAAAGAAAACACATGCGCGCACTTTACCCTCAAGGGGTTGGGTTAATCTCAAACTTTTTTGGTGTGAATTTGGGCCTAGGTGTCTTTTTATGTAGATGCATACACGTCCTTTTCTTTTTGTAATTAAATTGTTTTAGATGTGGAATATAAAGCAAATAATCACCTTTTGGTTTTCAGGCGATGGCAAACTATCACTTCCTCGTCGATCAGAATATATACGCTATCTTTCCTCAGCTTCGCTTTGGAAAGATAGCTACATCCAGATCGCCTCGGAAGTGATAGTTTGTCCCATCACCTTTACCAACGGTAATTATTTGCTTACTGATAAACAATTAAAGTGCGATGCACTGTGTAGATAGTACTACTATCTACACAGTGCAACAAACTTTTCTTCTCCCATCAATGATGGGCGAACTGTCTTTCTTCACGAGATTTACTTTTGACCAATCGTAGAGCAAGATTCTTAGTATGTGGAATGTAATGTTTAATATAAGAACACACTAATTTCTTCAGCCCAATTTTATATATACATTTTCACTCAGGAATGTTTGTTGTAACCAGGAGGAGCATGAGGTCTCAAAGTATTTGCACCAGTAGATGGGAGGTCACCTATGCAATCAACTTACAAGATAAGGCGGACACTGGCAGAGCCTACAGCAGGAAAGACGAGATCATCACCTCCAACTTGCCATCGTCTCTTGAATAATATTAAAGCAGGCATGGCTCACATCTTCTTTCCCTCATTGACAAGTTCCCTCGTTGGTCTTGACTATGCGCAATAAAGAATAATTGATTGATGAAGCTGGAATTAAGAAAAAAAGGAGGAAGAGAAGAAGAAAGAGAAGAACATAAAGAAGAAGTAGAACAACTCTGATTTATTGACCTGCACATCAGACCTCACTTTCCATGATTTTACGAAATATATTCAAATAATACAGAAATATAACCAATAGAGAGACTAAGAAATTAGAATGGAAGAATATAGAGGACCCAAGATTGAAAGGCGAACCAATGAGGATGGAATGGGATGAGGGCGATTCAGGGGCTATGTCCTAAATACTAATGAAGGATGAACAAAGAGTCATGAGCTGGGTGAAGGTGATGAAAAGAAAATGGAAATGAGACTAAGATCATCAACAGCTGGATGAAAGGAAAACAATTTGAAGAACTAAGAATAAAAAATTTAACCTCTTATAAAATAAAAATGCTGAATAGTCTATGCACGACTCGAAACAACAAAGCGGTGAATGTAAACAAACGCACAGCCTTTCAAAACCTCTTGCATATTCAGCATTTTCGAGCGAACGGCGCTCTTTAGCATGAATAATCATATTTGCTGCACTGCGCCGCTACCTACCGTGCATGCTGTGTACTTTCTCTTCGCCAACAATCAACAATACAACATGGAGGCTTGGTTTAGGACGAGGAATCACCGTTTTTCCCATCAAAGACTTCTTCAAAATTATAATTTCAAGTGTGGCCGTGGGGCGCGATGTCCAAAGTAGTAAAAAAAAAACATTGTCGACTTAGGTCTAGTCAAAATTGTAATTACTAACTTTTCACATTTCGAAAAAGATGTCGCCAAACCCGCTGTTTGATTCGTGTTTAGGATTAGATCTGGAGCTCCGAGTCCGACGCGTACGCGTACGCCTTCGTCGTCGGAGCTCCCTGGAGCTGGAGTTACATAAAACCCAACATATAGATAAATATCTGGGACTGTAATAAAAAATATTATCCACTGTGCACAGGCACAGACAAAACCAAAAGGCAATTCATTTATTCAGAGTCAGGCGCAAAACAGAACAGCAATCGAATATATTATGTATGAGCTGGTCTAGCCTAACACTGCCTAATACTCTTATCGATTGAAGCTACTTATTTTGACTTCATTATAAAGAGAAACTAACCTGTTCACAAACAAGAACGTCTGACAGCAGTCTGGATCAAAAGAAGATTCCTGCAAATTACGTCATTGTCTATATTTAGATTTGAAAAATTCGCGACTCGACTCGCGCCTAGTCGAAAAGGATTGGCAGGGGGGGGGGGGGGGGGGGGGGGGGGGGGGGGGGGGGGGGTAGGGCATTTATAATTAAATTGCCTAATATTCAAATACAAATTTGCTCAGGATTGGCCTTAAGGTTTTAAAGTACCGAAATAGCATTCTGTAAAGACAAAGTTTCCTCCTATAGTTAAAATAGAAATTAGGGCTAATCCTAGACTATATGCAGTCTATCACAAATATATGTAGAAACTAAGTATTTGTTTGTATTCAAGCAAACTTACACCGGGCTTACCCCCTACAGGAGGGTCTGGGAGAAGGAGGGGGTAGTATTTGCAATTCTGTATATTGAAGCCCAATATATTATTGATGCTATTGAGTCTTATTAATACTTTTTAATTAATATCAAATCATGTGATATATGCGATCATAATATTGCGCGAGCGAGATAAATATATATGGGCAGTAACATGCGCCTAAATTAATTGCCTAATATTCAAATAATAATTTGCTTCGGACTCTTCAGGGTTTTAAAGTATAGCCTCCTGTAAAGACAAAGTTTCCTCGAATAGAAAGCATATTTAGGCTTATATATAGCCCACAATCCCGTGCAGATATTACCCACTGGTCCCATCAATTTCTCCATCTTCAAAGGGCTAATTATCCTATGCAGTCTATCACCAATAGCCTATTTGTAGAAAATATATTTGTATACGCACCGGATTTACCCCCTACATGAGGGTCTGGGGAGGGGGCGGGGGTTGGGGGAGGGGTGTAGTATTTACAATGTTACCATTATCATGCAGTGGCAATTATTATGAGGAATCCCAAAATATAATGCTATTTATGTAATTTTTTTTTTTAATGAGTATCAAATATGTCATCTTATAAAGTATGCGATTATAGTCATACGGCGCGAGCGAGATAAAAAAATATATATATAGGCTATATTATAAAAGTGAAGGGGGGGTGCGCATGGGCATATATGAGCTGAAAGTTTGTGTTAATTAGCCAACAACAGGCCTCGGGACGGGACTTGACATAGGCATACTCCCATAAAGCCCTCGATCAGACTTCACAAAAATGTAGCCTTTTGTTATCATTATTATTAGTAATTATTTATTCGGCAAAGTAAAAAAAAGATGAAGAAAACAGTGAATACATATTTTAATGTATTCACTTACACAAGACTAAAGTTTGATAAGAGACACGGGGGGGGGGGGATAGATTATTAATATTGTTGAAAAAGAGAGTCGAACCGATCGTTCCATTGATGATTACGGTGGACTGTTCCTTTTGGTACAGGAGGTTGCTAGAAATAAAATAAAAGGATGAAGAATGTTTTTAGAGTTGAGTGCCCTCTTTCAATGGAAAAAAATGTGTTTCCATTCAGTTTTATTTCACCGGCTAGTCCATCCAGATGGAGACTGCCGCCTGGCCAGAATGAACTTGGTGTTGACCAGGCGCGTGACCAGGGGGGGGGGGGGGGGGGGGTTTTAAACCCCCCCCCCTTGAGTTTTTTTTATATGTGTATGTTTTGTTTATGATTTTTGTGAACCCCCCCCCCCCTTTTGATTTTTCTTTTTGTTTTTTTGTTTTTTTGTAATTAAAAAAAAAAAAAAAAAAAAAAAAAAAAAATTATACCAATGGCTGACCTAAAAAAGGTGACCTTACCCCCACCCCAACGGAACAAAATGTCAAATTTTCAAATTTCGAGACCAGAAAAAAAAAAAGTGTCCTCTTACCCCAGCCCCACCCCCCCCCCCCCCCCCCCCCCCCCCCCCCCCCCCCCCCCCCCCCCCCCCCCCCCCCCCCCCCCCCCCCCATCCTGAAAATCCTGCATACGCCACTGGTGTTGACATTGACATGCCTCGTCTGAACAAATTAGATGAGTGAAATTCAGTGGAATGTGCATAATTCGAAAGGATTTGATTGAATATGCTTCAGAGTAAAATGACAAAGAAACACATCATGATGATTCATGAATTACATTCTGCATGACTTTTGATCTAGTCATGATTAATTTTAACACATAGAAAAATAGACGCCCTCTGAGGTGACCTATAGGAAGGCGTTGTCCACCACGGCAATGCAGTACGTGTGTACTGTGTGTGTACAATGCACGCATTATGCATTGCATTGTAATGGAAACTTGCGTTGTGTTACGTTACATAGGTGTGCATTTTAGGCGAATCCATCCGGAAGCCGTTCTTTCGTTTAGAAATCCGTGTTCTCGTTGTTTTCTGACCAAAAAAAGGTTTGTAACAACGCACTTTGATTTCATGTAATTGTAAATTCTGTCGAGAGTAGAGAATCATTGAATTATATTTACACGCCTTTTCATTACTTGACTTCTTAAAAATGGGTTAATCTTTCGATCTTACAATCATATGTAGCTAGATGGGCCTACATGTAGATTTATCGGCTATTCTACGCCGGTGAGATTGGCCTATTGGTGCATGGTGGTGTCGGTCACTCGTGTATTGTGTGAATGTGTGTTTGTATGTGTGCATGTGTAGATCTCCTTTTTTGGTGTAATGATGCTGGAGTGATTGAATTTAGTGTGGGGAGATAATTATTTATGTGCCATCCATGATGAATATGAATTAAACGAAATAAAGCTGTGTAAGCGTACCAGATATAGAGAATGGAGATAATGACATGTGAATAACTGATAACTCACCATGCTCACTGATTGATCATTTGATTTTGATTCTAAAACTAAAAGCAAAACTAAGGTTAGGTCTAGGAAGAAACAAAACTAGATATAAAAGTCCAAATCTGAATAAAAGTAAAACTGCCCTCTGTCGATCTGTCTGCACAGACTGCACTTAGATCTATGAAAATTTGAATAGATCTATAATTCTCTCATTTGAAGTTGTCGTTAAATGTCAAAAATTGAATAATGACAATGGAAAAAATGCGTGCCTAGACAGGTCTGCATTAATATAATCCAAAATGGCGGCTCGCATATTTTGCCTTTTCTCTTAAACCTAAAGTCTTAGACTAATATTATTGATTTCAAAGTCATGAAAAGGCACTTTGACAAACCTGTTGTACAACAAAAACAGATGACAAAATAATGTTTTTTTTAAAGTATTTGATAGCCCAAAACTTCAAAATTGTCAGCATTTTTCTTTGGATCATTTTCCATTGCTCAGCGATCAGAATTTATCGTTCAATTTCACCTGATATCTGATCGGCCAGCGATCGGTCCCGATCCGATTATTGGTTACAGGGTTACCCATAGGCCATACCACTGCATGATATTCCCCATTAACCCATTACAAAAATGCTTATCTGTTTCTGGCTCTGGCTCAATTTTTTTAAATCTAATATTTTTTTTTCTTTTGTCTTTCTTCCTAATCATTACAGGTAGCCCAAATGCTTTGATGAGGTGACATTGTCATAAAGTGGATTGGATCAATTTCAAGTAAACTTTACCTTTCTGTCTCCAAGAGCCAAACCAAGACAGATTTTCACTGGTATTAAGTTATTGCAATCAGAGGTCCAGTGGACTAGCACTCCTATCATCACAATGGCTACAAGACGCACATTCAAGAACATAGTACACAATTACACAGATGCCCAGGTCAAAGTTCGAGATGCCACCTCGAACGACCCTTGGGGGCCCTCCAGTTCACTTATGTCGGAGATTGCGCACCTCTCATACAACGTAATGGCATTCTCGGACATCATGAGCATGATCTGGAAGAGGCTCAATGACCATGGCAAAAACTGGAGGCATGTCTACAAGGCATTGGTCCTCCTGGAGTACATCATCAAGACAGGGTCGGAAAGAGTCGCCCAGCAGTGCCGCGAAAATATATTCGCCATCCAGACCCTGAAAGATTTTGAGTTCTTTGATAAGGATGGTAAGGACATGGGACTTAACGTGCGCGAGAAGTCAAAGTCACTTGTGGCTCTTCTCAAGGATGATGAACGGCTGAAGCAGGAGAGAGTGAGGGCGCTCAAGGCACAGGAGAGATTTGCGCAGGCCTCGCAGGGTGTAGGAAGCACAACTCCGGGCACGACAGAATTGGAGTCGAGCGCCAGCCATGATGAAAGTAACCAGTCTGAGAGTAAGTTTACACTGGCTTTACTTTTCTTTTTTTGTTGTTGAAAGAAACATCTAGGCTGTGCTAAGAGCAATCAATGGTTATCTCGCAGATGCTCAGGTGACATTTTCTCAAGTCTCATTTCATCAAGGACAAAGGCCTGTGTTCTACTCAAGTTTAAACCTGATACTTGGCTTAGTCTTACAGTACATGTAAGCTTCTATTAAAAATTGGGTTTAACAAAGGATGTTAGTCTGAGGTCTAAGTTCTCCTTTGTCGAATGTGACCATAGACCCCAGGTCAGGTTTAGTTAAATTAGCAGAAGATGGAAAATAGAGTTTAGGGTTGCAATTGGATTTGAACTAGTTATTTAACTTAATTAATATACCTGAGTGTATGAATGAATTGTGGGTACCCATTTGGGGTTTTAAGTATACTGCATATCAAGATTCAAGGCCTCTGATTGGTCAAAACATCAGGCGTGAAATTCACTACTGACTGAGTGACTGCTGGGCAGTATAGAGAAAAAAATTGACTGGACAAAGTTCAACTCGTGCATAAAACTTGACAACCTATTCATGTACAGGTATGCACTTTAGACAATTTCCATACACATTGATAGGTTTGGCAGGCATAATATATTTTCATATAGTATTCCTTTTCAATGATTAACACTCCAGATGCTGTATACAAAAAAAATATAGACTGCTTCTATTTCAAGTGAATTTTTAAACTAAAGCTCCTCAGTGATCTGAGACTTTAAAAAAGTCATTCATTGATTGTAATTGTTGATTTAATTTGTATCATTGCATAGGGAAAGGTTAGATCAAACAAGGTTTATCAAAATTCCTTGCTTGGAAAACATTCAAAGTGATGATTACTATCAATTTTAAACCGTAAAATACTGCCCCACTTCTGCACTTTAAGAGAACATTGCCGAGATATGTGACGTCATGCAAGGGACCAAATTAGCATAGCAGCAGATGATGGACATACAAACTGTAGCAATACAGATATTTTCAGAGATCCTATTTTGCCGTCTCCTCTTCACTTATTACTCTTACTCCACCAGTGTTATTCTAACTGTTTTACATGTATCTGTTGCCTCACTCTGAATTTTGGACATGGTTTTATTTTGATCAATAATACAGCATTAACAAAAAAGTTAGGAATCAGTTGAAGCTATACTATGGGTTGTATGAAAGACGTCATTGTACATTCAGCTGCTGGGACCAAATGTATCCAAGTCTTTCCAAGATATTGTGATGAAGGAAAATTAATTAAAGCTCTTGAAACGACATTGATGTGCCCTTTGATTATTGTAAAATGTGCGTGTATCACTGCCAAGCTTAAGTTGGTAGTCAAACTTGTCACGCTGGATGTGTGTTGATACAGCCGTACAATGTCATACACAAAGATGAAGGTCCAACATGATCAGATCAATAAAATTTAAACCAATTAAAAATACCATATTAGACTTGAAAATTAGCCAAAATTACTGTAAAACAATACTTTGCGTTAACAAAATATACTGTGGAAATCCATAATATCTCAGAAATAATAATAAAGAGCATTTCATTTCATGTGTCATTCTTCCAAAGCGGCATGAAAGGAATGAGATAGCTCACAAATTATTTTTCACTTTTACAAGAACTCGACCTACTCAATTTGATTTGATGACTTTCAGATGCAGCTAACACTACATCAGCGGCGACACCCCCCAGATCCCTGTCCACTGATATAGAGCAGGCTCGTCCTCAGACTACTGGCGAAGAAGAACTTCAACTCCAGCTGGCGCTAGCCATGAGTCGAGAAGAGGCCGATCAGAAGGATAAGGAGATCCGGAGCGACGACATCAGATTAAAAATGGCACTTGATGAAAGCCAAGATGTAAGTTTCTTTAAATGTACAGTCAAACCTGCTTTACAAAGGCCACATTTGTTGTTTCCCTTGAAAATGGTTTCTCAGTAAATCATGTATTATAGGAACCTGTCTACAAAGACCACCTGCTCAAAGGCCACTTTTTGTGCTTCCCGTGGGCGGTCGCTATAGACAGGTTTGACTGTACTTATAGTGTGATTTTGGTAGTGCAAATTTGGAGTTAACAACACAAAATAAGTTGCAGTTTAGTGTTCAAAATAATGTTTATAGATTTAACATTTATGAAAACCAAGTTGTAAAGTAAACAGTTGAGGGTAGTATGATAGTCACATTCATTTCAGTGGCAGTCCCTTGCTCTTGTTTTTGGTGTAGCTAATAGATCTTGCAGATTATGATTGAATAAAGAAAAAAATCCCTACATATTGAGGCATTGCAAGCATAATTGGATTATAAAGGAGTTTAAGTTCTCCATCTGATATTAACTCAGACAGTGTACGTTAGGGTTGTACGGGTTAATCAGTGGTTAATGATTTCTAATTCTTTCCCCAGAATAATGTTGTAGGCCAGCCAGCTGCAACCACTTTACTGCATCTGGCATCTCCACCTGCACAGGACCCTTGGGGTGCCCCAGCCCCAGTTTCTTCATCCCCAGCATTCAACAACACTCAAGCCAACGTCACCGTCAACGACCCATGGAGGAACAACGCTTCACCTGCCCACAAAAACCCACCACCACTAGGAGCACCTGACTGGGGCTCGTCTCCACCCCTAGCAGCAGCTGCACCGGCCAGTGATCCATGGGGTGCTCCCCCACCAGCTCCTGCTCCATCTGTAGCTCCAGCTGATCCCTGGGGTGGTGTGGCTGCTCCTGCACCAGCCGCATCATCGGTACCTGATCCTTGGGGTTCCACAGCTCCTGCTGCAGCACCAGCCAAGAGTGACCCTTGGTCTATGAACGGTGGCGGCGCTGCCCCAGACCCTGATGCTGAATTTGACAGATTGCGAGTGAATCCCATGGAGGGAACCGTCAATGCAGTGAGCATAGACGATGCATTTTTCTCAGCGCCTGCTGCAGCCCCGCCCTCCTACAACAACACATTTGACATGACAGGAATGGACCAAGCACTCGGAGGCTCTTCAAAGAAACCAGAGGATTTCCTGGGCAAGAACTCCAAACTGGTCAACCTGGAATCTCTGATTGGCCCCACCAGGGAGACGGTTGGACAGCCATCCATGCAAGGAACCAATCCTTTCATGATGGTGCTTGGAGCAACTCCACCACCTCCTGTAGCAGCAGGTCTCCAAACACCTGTCAACAACCCCTTCCAACAACAGAGGATGCCAGCTCCTACCATCAACCAGATGAGGGCTCAGCCTGTCGTGGATGTCAACGCTGGCTTTGGTGGAGGAGGAATGGGTATGGGTGGGGGTGTGGCCATGGGTGGGGGCACTACCCTCCCGCCCCCTCTCCTCCCGTCAGGCGGTGGTCTACCCCCTGCCCAGCAGCAAGCACAAACCAATCCTTTCTTGCTGTAGCATTGCCAGTATCATCATGAGTATTACAAGAAGTAAGTCACTTTTATTATTACTTTGAATTGAATCAAAAAGAAGATGTGCTTTTATTTACATGTCAAAGGTCATTGGATGAAAACCCATTATAATTGAAAGAATAATAATGATAAAGAAACAACATGTTCTTAAATAAACTCATGACTGGTTTGAATTTACGAATGGAACCAAACTGAATCTTCTAATGTGTACATTAACCAAAAGGGGCTTCTCGACTCTGATCATCCTCTAATGAAGGTAGTAGCATATTTATGAAATCTAATGAAATACACACAATGATCATTTTATAATCGGGGCTAATTGTTGACAATATCCCACTTTTTATACTTAACTGTCGGAAAATCTTGACCGGAAAGTCAATTGGAAATGTAATGTATCCTTTTCTTTTCAAGTTTTCATAGGGGTTTCTGACTGCTGAAGGCTTTGTGTTGCATTTAACATAACGGTTTTTTTATATATCATTTTTTTCTTCTTTCTCCCATCCCTCTTTCCTTTTCGTTGTCTCGCCAGAATGTATGGTAAGTGTGAATGGAGTGGACATCGTAGCAATTTTACTTGCTGGTTCTTTTCTCATACATATCATTAACTACATGCCAATTTGATTGTCTAATAGTGAATACTAGCATTGATGTTCAAGTGAAGATAATATGTTTCTTGAGTGATTATATGATTAATATATTCTTTAACAAATCATTTGTAGTGTTTGTAAATACCAATCAAATGTTTGAAAGCTCAAATCGTACTGTGTTAATTTTGTTTTTATATAATTATAAATGTAAACTTTATTTGTAGTGTGATATTTTTAGGGAAAGGTAAACACACATACAGGTTGTATCATGACATTGTCTTTTCTGCTGTAACAATGTACTTGTATGGAATTATAGATCTTCAACAGTACAGAGCAGTTTAAGAATTCAGTTATCATTGTAAACTCTTTTTATAGATCATATTACCCTAGATAATTTTTTTTAAAGATCACTAATTGTACTCTAACTGCAGCAGAAAGAAATCAGAACTTATTTTGTCAGTATATCGTATTTTCAATTATTCTAGAGTTATTTAGAATCAGTTATGTCATTATATTCACGTATTTACATTGCATAGTTTTAAGATATTGTTTTTCTAAGATAAAAGCCCCAAAACAATTAACTGATCTTGTAAGATAGGCTATGGTTCAGAGAACAAAAAAATTACATATGTACAACGTAATTTGAAATCAATCTATTGTATTTTTAAAATTTATGACCAAATTTCCTGGACTTGACAAAGTTATTTTTGCATGGTCTTGATGCTGCTATATATTCTTTGTAAAATATCTGAAAACTGAAGAAAACTATGTAGAGAATAAATTATTCAGCATGGCTTATTTTGGCCGTAATTGTTAACAAAAAATTGCAGATCCAATGTTGCTTGACCGTAACAGCATGAGAAGACACAGAGAGAGTTTGACATTTTTTTCAACGCATTATTAATTGCCTAGTGGGGGGGGGGGGGGGGTGGCAAGCAATACTACAAAGCGCTTTATGCACTTATTCGTTATTCGTTAAGGAAAAGGTGCTTTTGGAATTTGGAATAAATCTCTTCATACATATGAGGTACATTTGCAGAGGACAAGCAAATAAGATACATCCTGAAAGATAAAGAAGTCGGTCAGTACATTATTTTCTGTATTACATATATCATACACCTGTACTTTAATAAGTGCTCTGTGCCATCTCAAATTTATATGAGCGTAACATTAGCAAGTATAGTGTATTATTATGTTGTGAGTAGAAGTTTTCTGTTTCCTTGCATAATTAATATCAATATTTGATATTGGAAGTCATATTTAATTTATTCTTGGAAAGTACACCTTATTAAGCAATTAATTTTCAATCAGTTTTGAATATTTGATATTTGAATAATCTTATTAAGACAGATCATGATGATTTTGTGAACAAGGAAAGTGATTGTATCTTCTTTTTTTCTCCAATTACATGAACATGTTTGTATAGAAACAGGGTGAAAATTAAATACTTGTTGTCTTGCATGTACATGTAATGGATTTGGAAAGAAAACAAGATCGGTTGTAGAAGATGAAAATAAGGCAATTTTCAGTCTGTAAATGGTAATTACCATTTTAATTTGAAGATAGTGGAGGGTAGGTCCTTTTGCGTGATTTGACACCATTATTAAATAGGGCGATTCTGTACAATGTATCCTGTTCGACATGTACCATTTTTCCCAAACGTTTCATCCACGAATGACAAATCCTTTGATATGATGGGTAACCAGGGATAAGAGAAAGCACTTTTATTCAGCGGTCATGTAAAGAGATTCTTCCTTTTGTGGATAAAATGTGTACCAAGGTAGACAAAACATGTGTCGTATGGCATGGAATCGCTCTAAATAGAAAGTCTGCTTGAAAGCATACAAGATTGTTTTTTAGGACTATCAGGTCTTACGCAATTATTGTATTAGTCAGCTGTGAGCTGTTTATCATAGAAACCATCTACAGCGACAGGCAGCTGAGAAATATCTGTAATAATTCTACATTTTAACCTGTATAGAAAGGCTGCCCTGAGGTCGTCTTTATAAAAAGGTGGTGTCTTACATGTTCTCCCAGACTTGTCTCAATGAGAATTAGGGGAAGCAAAATTAGAGTTTATAGTGAGGTAGGTGTTCTTTTCTAGGTAGTAGCTCAAGGAGCTCTGATAGTATCTCGCAAATCAAAGCTGATTGTTCTTTAGCAACCGTGTTTTGGATGAGCCGATTAGCGAGGCAAGATCGTTTTAGATGCTCCCACCATGTGCAAGACGTTTGGACATGCAGGAATGGGAATCCCTACAAGTCTTGAAGTGCAAGCAAACTGTGATGCGTTACCCAATGGGATACACTCTGCACCATCTTTCCATTGTCCAAGTCTTCGGTGAGAGGCAGTTTAAAAGACTCCAAGATGACGGGAACATCTGCTGCTGGTACTGGCGTTTGTGTCTTGTTCCTCGTGCGAAAAATTGAAATTGACCGAAGAACAATTGCTGATTTCTAGTGAATCATCTAGCGTCAGAAATGTACAAAAATCTTTATACATAATTACATATATATGCAAATCTTTTTATTTTTGTGAATTTCTGTAAAATTCTTGATGCTCTATGACTGTGTTTTTAGGTGGTTGGTGTAACTGTAGTAGCTGGGTATACTTTAAAAAAACAATACAAATTGATGCTGATAGTACAATTGTATCTATGTTAACTAGTTGTCTTTTGTTTGAATGCTAATGGTGAACAAGGTGAAAGTTAATTGAAATTCATCAGTATTTTTTCATTTATACTTATTGTCTAATAAAATATGTTTGCTTCTCTTCCATTCGTGGATAGTCTTCATTCAATGCACATGATGATATTTCATTTACTCACCTGGTTTTTCCTGCATATTTTGTCAAGTATGTACTAAGCGTATACTTAATTTATAGTTTTAAGCATCGATCTTTGTGTCAGCTTTTGGATAATTGAATTACCCTTCAGTGGCTCTCAAAGATTAGTTACGTGAAATTTATAAATACATTTCAAATGACGAATTTAAATTGACAATGTGCACCATTGGGATCGGTTGTTGCTGTTACTAATTCAAAGCTAAACCAGTTGTGTATAAAAAGATGGACAGCTTCAAATTTCAATTTTTTAATTGTGAAATAATAAGTAATGTCATTGCATTACCCTGCACTGAACATGTACAGATGTAATTTACATAGTCGCATGTATTTGATTACATTTCTTTCATTTCCTCCTCTGACTTTCTATTCCTTGGGATGATTCAGCCGTTTATCTGCTGATCGTCTGTGGGATCAGTAATGTGGCGTTGAACCTGGCTTGACGGTATGATCTATGGAATGCCATGTTTCGAGCTTAAAAAATAACTTTAATTCTGCAAGTTCCGGAGCAAGTTCTGTATAATTCTGTCCTTTACAAAAAAAATCCAAAAAGAAATCCAAAAAATAATATCAATTTTCATGACATGAATCGAGTTTGTCATTTCATTGCAGAATTATTGTTATTTTTAAAGATGGAAAAGTTGTATGTGGCATTCCATAGAGTTTACCAACACACTCACTAAACATGTAATAATCAGAAACATAGAAATTCATATTCACTTTATACTTCTTAGAAAAGTAGTATGTGATGCTTGTTAGTATTTATTTTACACATATGTTACCCATAAATTGTTGAGAAGGATACAATTGTAATAATTTGGTTGATTCAGTGAAAAGTGTAGTGATTTAGAGTTTTATCTAACATGTGCTTTTCTCAGAATTGTGCGCAATCACGAACAAACATTTGTATGTGCTCTTGTTTATGCGAAGGTAACATTGATGAAGAATTATATTCAGTGATTTAGATTTGAAATGCCAACCAAGATTGTTATTGTATCTCTTAATTTGGAGTAATATCATTATACAGTCAAACCTGTCTATAGCGACCGCCCAAGGGAAACACAAAAAGTGGTCTTTGTAGACAGGTTCCTTTAGTTCATGTTTCAATGAGAAACTATTTTCAAGGGAAATAACAAATGTGGTCTTTGTAGACAGGCGGTCACTAAAGCAGGTTTGACTGTAGCATGTTCCTGGGTTAGAGTCTTGTGATCTTATCATTAAAATCAGCTCAAATGTCATAGTTTACTCTTCATTTTTAAATAAAGAGTATGTTTATGCAAAGGAACTTGATATTTGTATAAAATTTCACCCAAAAGCCAAATAATTCAATTTTTATATGCCATTGAACTTTGGAGGAAGCTACCTTCGCCTGTATAACCCCAAACAATCGAGTCCTATTTTCCAAGTGTTTGTTTAGAAGCATGGAATCATTTTATGTACGCCATTTATATAGACATTAATTGTATAGTGAAAGTGAGAAAAGTTATCATTAAATATATGTATCAAATTTGCATCATGTATGCGTTTCTCTTCTTTTGTGTCCTGTTTATAACATGTGCTAATGATATGAGATGTAAGTGAGAACAAGTGACTGAAAGTTTTGTGATATGCCTACAGTATGTAATAAATGTGTATGTTTTGGGGAAGTTAATTTCCCATATGTACCAAAATGTACACAAACTTATGGTATACCTGATGATTGTATTAAATTGATAACCCTTTAAAGTGTCAGGTTATTGGGGGAGGGGTTTGATGCAACACTGACCTGTCTCCACCCCCCCCCCCCAACATTTAAACCCTATGTGGCATATCTTACAAAAAAAAGAGGAAAATGTTCCCTTTCAAATATTAGAGCCCAAAGATAACCATATTTCTTGCTTATCAGAAGAAAAAAAATCTTTTGCTTTCAAAAAGAATCGTCCCCCCCCCCCCCCCCCATCTTTGAACTACCCTCGATCGATCGCTATGGATCTTAAAGCCAGTAAAAATCAAATAAACAATACAATACTACCATTACACATTGGATGTAAGTTACATATATAATTTGACTATTGCCATTTAAATCACATTGTTAGTCGGGGGAAGAGATGTGGACACAGCCTTGGACCCCAAAATGTAGTAATATCATTGCCATACATTTGCCCTGCAATTTGTATCAGACTAAACAAAAAGTAACACTTTATTTCCTCTTACAAAGCAGATCCACAGTACCTGCCTGAAGGGAAACTGTATTTTCCAATGAACTGACCATTTCCGGAGTTCTAGAAAGTGTAAACATCCACAACAAGGAAATAGGACAGGAAATGGAAAAGTAAATAGAGGATGTGGACGAATGATCGTGCTATTGTTCACAAATCCTCTTTCACTTAAGATTGTGTGAAGTGTCCCTCTTTAATAATAGCTTACACTAAGCAAGGGAAATATTTATAGACCTATTGTACTTGACTCACCGTTGCACAAAATAGCGAGGAGGACAAAAATAAAGGAGAATGATTTGAGGATATTCCCTATGGCTGGCCTCGGCTGTGAATCAACGACTTTGTGCGTATTAGTCACATTACCTTGGCCAGGCAGGCAGGCACAGCATGTGAAGGCATAGTCAGGATTTCCTCAAGATCGGGTTGGGGGGGGGGGGGTTGAGGGCAGTCAGGGTACGCATTATCTAAACGGTTCAATAGCTATAGGGCACATTTCTAAAAATGGCCACAACCTTATTACCCCTATACTGGTACCTTATAATAATAATGATGATATTGGATATATATAGCACACATATCCACCATGCGTGGTGCTCAAGGCGCTCCAACACAGGGTAACGGACTACATGCAGATTTAATTAGCTACCTTATCTAAATTATGTTGTGATGGCTATTTTTAGAAACTTGTGAATTAAGGCATATCCAGCATTTCATCAATGAGGGTGGGGGGGGGGGGGGGGGGGGGGTAATCTGTATCACTAAAGCTACAGAATGTAATTCAAGATTGTAATCAGTAGCTTCTTGCCCTTAATTCTTCCCTTCTACTTTGACCTTTGTCTCTATAGTTGCATAATACATTCCTTAAAGTATTTCTAGGAAAAAAAATGATGAGCATTGCTTTATTATAATTTACATTTGTTTCTATCACACAAGACCCAACGATTTTGATAAGCAAACCCCCTTCCCCTCCTCCCCTTTGGAAGAACTACTGTAATTACCCCCTACACTTGCTTCTCTTATGGCTACATGAGTAACATATGACATGCAACAACTCCTGGAATCTTCACATTCCCAAATGATGACAGTTTTTTCCCTCCAGGAATAGCACTCCTAGAGCTTTGCAAATACCATCACTATAAACAAACAAAACTCACAATAGCACTGTACTGCACACAGGACAATCAAATATTAAGTCAGACTTTAACCAATTAATTCTCAAGAACACTACCGCATACTGGCGAGTTTGATACCTGGCGGCCTCAAAATCATTTAATGGAATGTCTAATCATTTATGTAAATAATTACACCAGTGCCACATAACATTTTGTTAATTTTTTTCTTTTACAGTCTTTAATATTTTTCATGTTTATTCAGATATTTCGTCACTTGAATAAAAATGTAATTTTCAAAAACAAAAGAGACATATACATGTATATATATTAGGACATTAATTGTTTAATTTTCTTTTGTTTTTTGTACTAACAACTCATTAGGTGTTGTATCTTGATATTCTGTGTTGTTTATTTACGTAAAGTCACATGGATTGGAAGAGAAGACCTTTGAGTTATAGTTAATCTTTTTCTTTCCCTGGCATCCATGTGACTCTCTTCAAACCTTAATGCTGTTTTGTATTAATTCACCTTTCACTTGATTCGTCTTTGCCCAATAAATAATAATAACTTAAAAGGTACATAATATGAGAGGGATCGAAATGACCAAGTTGGGTTTATCACTTTCTTTTGATGTCCCATTTCTTTTCCTTTTTAAAATTTCTTTTTGCAGTTGATGTTTCATCTTTGTATCAATAAATAATGACCACAAAACAAAAATGTATTTTCTTACCTGATATATAATTGTCCACTCAAACAATCAATCCCACAATGAGCTTATATCACATACAGCAAAACTCCAATATATATTACAATCTTTCGCATAGGTTAAGTCCTTCAACACTTATTCCTTTATTACAACAAATGCACAGAATTTCAAATTTCAAATCAATTGTTAGTTTGTTCTCCTTTTCTCCAAACTATGAGCTTCAAATATTTTTTTTCTATGAAGAGATATTGCAGTTTAAAAACATTCCTAGTAAAATGTAAACTGCCCTGTCGAGTACACTATGTGACTTACATGTACGCACTCGCATACTATAGCGCACATGGAACCCAAGTCCGACTTCGGTTCTTACCCCTTTACCCAGGGTTTTATATTATTTCTTTCTTTCTCATACTTCTTAGTGGTTTATCTATAGAATGCCTGGTAATTTTTCAAAGTTGATTTTATACATTCAACTTTTACAAAAATTACTTTTTAAAGTGACTGGTACACTTTAAATAAAATGAACACTGTTGAAACCCAACAATTGCCTATTACCGGTACTACAGGGTTTAATGTCTTTTTCTTTTTGTTTTATAGTTGAATAACATCTGACCTTTTTTAATGCAAATGTTATTTTCAGTCTTGTACCATATATACCAATAAAAATAAGAGAAACAATTTTATTTCAAATAAAATATACACTGTATTATGACAATTTATGTATTCATATGTTCAGTATGTTCATAAAACTATATAATATATCAAGTGATTATCAATTATTTATATAATTTGTATAATATGTTCCAAAAATGTTAATGAACAAGACATATGACCAATAAAATCACACACCAAAAAAGAGCATTCAATAAAATTAATAGTACTGACAAAGATAGACAGGTAGTCAAACTCATTATAACAAGTAAACTGAGTTATATACATATATATAAACTGTATGTTAAAAGACCACTTGCATGAGATGATGTAATTACAAAAACTCTGCAGTACAAGTGAAATCTCCACGTCTTAAGAGGCTGCCTTAGGGCCAACAAGGGCGGAAAACCCCGCAGCAGCTGCATCACGATGGTTACCCTGGCAGCAGACAAGGATGGACTGCCTGTTAGCTCTGATCCATTTCTGAATACTGTGAGAGAGGGTTTGTCAAAGATGTGGGCATAGCAGGTTTGTCCCCCAGAATCCTAAAGTTTTGTCCGATGATAGATGAGATCCGTTGATTTGCGGTATTGCACATGAATACAGGAGGGAAAGAAGATATAAACTTTTTCTTCTCTACTTTTAAAGCCCCACCGCACTAGTTTGGCCAGGAGGGATTAGACCTTCCTGCAAGGTCACTGACAGGTGGTTATCTCATGAAATAAGCTCTCAATTAACATAAGAAAAAGAGGATCATGGGGGACCAATGGTCACCGATTAGGCATTGTTTGCTATATAGAGGGTGCAAGTAGCTATTAGTAGTGCAGTGGGGCTTTAAAGCCTCTTATTGGGTGATGGCGGTCAGCAGTGTTCTTGGCAGCATCTCTATGATATGGCTAGGGTATACACGATGGACGCAGAATGACAACATCTCAGTCTGACAGACCACAAATATGCCCTTCTTTATATAGCATAATCTCCAAAGTGGAGTAACCTGAGAGAGGGGATCGATGGCTCTCCTCCACACAGCTGGAGGAAAGGATTGGAAAGTGAGATAGCTACACGTATGTGCATCAAAAGGACGTAAGGTGTCTCCTGTGCGTGAACTGGAGTGCTGGCTGGAATATCTTAAAGTGGTAAATAACTGAGATCAGATCATCATCGGAACATGTAGCAATACCAGAGACATTGTCAATCTACGTCTTGGGATGGGATGGCATCCTCACTTCCATGAAACTCTTCATAAAAAGTCATACATATTTGCCTCCCGTGTAGAGAGAGGCCTTTTAACCATATATATATATATATATATATAGCATCTCTGTACATAGCATTTCAAAATCATTGCAATAAGAATGTTACAGCAAAAATATATTATCTGTTGCATATATATATATATATATATATCGACTCTTTTCTCTGTATAAAAATGCACTTGTATAAGCTATGCTACGTGAGGCCACTGACGGCCTTCTTAAACTCCTCCTGGGCGCTCTTGAGCAAGTTAGTGTTAGGATCCATCACATCTATACCAGTCATAGCTATGGCCTTGGCTTGGATCAGGGTGGGTGATTGTGCTTCAAGCATACCTGCAATCAAATCAAACATAAATTATCGTTGATATACCGGTATGCACGATGTATATGGTAAGGGGTGAGGTAAATCAATGCCTCAACACATCAATTAATGTTGAGAAAAATCAGTTATATTTAATGATTTTGACAACAAGGATAATTTAAACTGCATTTGTTTAAAACTTAAACATATAAATCACCAGCCACCCTGGTAAATGATAGCAGTTTTCCTAGTGTATCAAAGTGTACTCCACTTTATATTCCTTGTATCTTACAACATAAAGATATAGCAAGTACCTGTAGGACCTTTGTAGCACATCTCCTCTTTTCTATCCCCACTTGCCTTTCATTAAGTAAATAAAAAGACACTGTGGTTAAACCAAGGGATGAGTGAACAAGTCTTTATACAAAGGGCACAAACAGGAGACCAGACACAAATGACTGTTGTCACACATACAGTTTATATATACTCCAAAATCCATAGTGGATGGCGAGTTGAACATGACCTTGTCTGTTTGCAACATAATAGCCCAGCAGGAGTTACAAGGATATTGGTATATACCTGCCCACTTGGTGAAACCAGGGGTGTGAGTGCCTGAATCTGTAGGGATGCCAAACTTGGGGTGTATGCTGGGAAGGACATAGGAGACGTTACCCATGTCCGTGGAACCTCCCTTCTCCCCTCTCCTCTCGGAAGGGTAGCTGAATCCTAAGATCTCTGCATGTCTCTCAAAGGATAATGATAGGGCATTGTTGTGAATCATGTTGGCATAGTTGCACCCACTTTTACACTCTAACTACACAAATCAGAGAGAGAAAGAGAGAAGGAGAGAGAGAGAGGGAGAGAACAAGAATAAAAGGGCTCTCTAACTAATGATCATCTACATAACAAAACATTAATTTTCTTTTTTTTGTTATTGTCTCTCTTGAACAGAGCTACTTGTCGAAATATTACTTATACCTGCCAATTACCTTTCACAGCAAAAGTTAGGTACCTCCCAAGGCAATATTACCAATGTATGCTAGCTTTCCTGTATAGATATATTAAACATTAGTTTTCAGAAAGACAGAGGAATCTAGGGTTCATAACATTAGTTTAAAAGTTAAAAAAAAGTAAAAAAAAACAAAGCAGGATCATCCTCTCAAAGTAGGAATGGTTGACAGCTATGTCTAGAAAAAAGGGATTAAACTCTCTCTCCTCTCCTCTCAGAACAGAACAGTAGATAAAATCCCATGCCACGTACTGCATGAAACTTTACTTTAAAAAAAACACCTTACTTTTATGAACGTCACATATAATCGTTCACTAATTGCACAATGCTTCTTCTCATGCTTCATGGTTTTGTCCCAAAACCATGAGAAATATAATCAATACCCAAAATGGCTTTTTGCAGGGAATTTTCCAGCCTGGATTCAAACAAGAACACTGTTCACTGCTAGTATGAACCATATACCGAGCTCTTGTTACAACCTTTGTCTTACCTCACACCCTGTTGCTATAGCTGCACCCTTGGCACAACCTTTGACCTTTGCCTGGAGGACGTCTAGCTGCTTACTGTCAGGAGCTCTCAGGTAGTACAAGAGTTCCGCTTCTTCAGGAATGATGTTAGGCCTGGCACCGCCATTAGTAAAGACACCTGAATGATAGAGATTTAGGGTGTGAAGTGATTGACCTATGACCTTTAACCGCTTATGAATTATTAGGAGCTCTCAGGTGGTACAAGAGTTCTGCTTCTTCAGGATTGATAATGGGCTTGGCATTACATTCTGTGAAGATTTCCAGAATATCTATGGACCTATGACCTGTAACCCCTAAAAACCAAATCTCTGCTCCATGTGATGATGATGATGATGATGTGATGGTTATTTTACCTGACTGCTAAGAAAGCATTAATGCTTATAAGTAAGCAACCAGACGGCCGACGGCTTTAGGTCTTCTCCGAGGGACCTGGCAATGAGGATTACTGCCTTACCAGAGGTCATTTATCTTGTTGAATCACAGCCCAAGATAAATTGAGCTAGAATCTATGGCATACTAAAATCAAATCATATCCAACTGGTCAAACTAGAGCAATATTTGAGGTATGGTAATTAATCTCTCTGAGCCCCTTAAGGTCATTCGTCTCTTGGATAAAACCCTGGATTATGCACAAGGTATACAGATATTACTTACCATGAACTCTCCATTCTGGTTTGAGCTGTTGTCTCATGACTGAGATACTAGTATAACACATTACAGCTGCATCCAAGGCGTTCACTCCCTCCCAGGGAACTGCAGAGGCATGGGAAGCAAGACCAGTGAAGTGAATTTTTGTTCTGGAAAAAAATAACCCAAACAAATATATGTATACAAATATGGTTGACAGCTGGAGTAAAGAAATGGGAGTGGAGATTGTGCACACATTGGCCCGAATTCACAAAGGAGGTTTGTCGACAAACCTTGGTTTTCGTACGTCATATGACGCGTTTTACGCGTTTTTTACAAACCTGGTTTGTAAAGAACAAAAGGAGGTTTGGCAAAACAAAAGGAGGTTTGAGCTCAAACCTTGGTCTGAGCTCAAACCTTGCTTTGTGAATTCGGGCCATTGTGTGCGGGCAAGTATTGAATCCAATGATCGGGGTAATAATATATCTGTAAAGCGCTAAGAGACATCATAGATGTATTAAGCGCTATATAAAAGCGGAGTTAATATTATTATTATTATTATAGGAAATTAAGCAAAGAAGAAAAAATCCAAAAACAATTTCATTCAAATAAAATCAAATTAATGTCCTCATGTGTCTTGCATACATAATTATGCACAGCACAAACAAATAAAGAAAACAAAATACGAACATTGTCTTTTAGTGCAGATTACTCCTACATCACACAAGTTATTTCTGTGAACTTTCAAATTTGTTTCTTGTGCATTTTAGGATACAATCATGCTCTTTTCAAACTTTCAATTTATTTTTAAAAAAGAAAAAAAGGATTTCTTTTTACTTAGTATCATATGATAAAAGACTTCTGACTTACAACAAATGAACAAAACAAAATGTGAAATCTTTCTTTGTGTGTGTTAAAAAAAGGTCATCTAGATCCCCACAAGAAGTTCTAGATGCACTCGGATCACTAATGATTCACTCGAACTCCTGACATTGGTGGAAAAAAGTAGTAGAAGCCTGACTGTGTAAAAAACCAATGAATCTTTCTTACTCTAACATTGATAAGGCTACTGGTTGTGGTACTGTGTAAGCATAAGGATGTGCCATCATAGCTACATCCATCCCCTGGAAGGCCCCAGCTTTGATCAGGTCTACCTTGCCTCCTGCCCCTTCCTCTGCCGGCGTACCAAGCACCGTCACCTGATGGTACAAGTTGGGAGAAAAGTGGAGATAAAACTTATATTAAAGGGTACTTGTTGTGGTACTATGTGAGCATACGGATGTGCCATCATAGCTACATCCATCCCCTGTAAGACCCAGCTTTGATAGGTCTATCTTGCCTCCCGCCCCTTCCTCTGCTGGTGTTATGGTGCTTGCAAGTACCGAAACCTGATGGTAGTACCAGTTGCAATAAAACTTATAATATCAAAGATAAAGTTGAAATTACTTTGGGCAAATACAATATGAAAGAAATTGTTGCTCAAGAAGAAATTGGGAAAGGTTCATTTTGTAGTAAATAACAGTGAAAAAAATACACAGGGGCTCAGGGCGAATTTGCCCCCGAAATGCCCAAAAGAGCCCCCGAAAATCAGAAAAGAGCCCCCGTAAACTTGCATAGAGTTCAATGCAAAACTTTTAGAGTGTTATGTTTATGCAGGCAAGCTTGAAAAGTAGCCCCCGAAAAATAAATATTAATTTTTCCCTGGTAAATAAGAACTGTTAAATATACTGTGAGGTTTTGGGATCAAGAAAATGATAATAAATCTACACAATCTTGCTCAAAGTACCATCGAATGCAAACAGGAATATGTACATTGGACATATACACACATATGTGGTATTAATTAAAGTTTGGTTCAAGAGTAATGTTCAGCTGGGATCTATAATTCATTTGTTCAGGCGAACCTTAATTGTTAGTGTCTGCAAGCCCGGGAATAAGCTTACCCTTCCTATGGGAGTACCATCCAGCTCCATTGCAGCTTTGATCCCTAGACCTGCGGCTGCTCCACACTCTGCGATCAGGTTGTGTCCACAGGCGTGGCCAATTTCAGGAAGAGCATCGTATTCAGAGATCACACAAACATGGATGCCACCATCAGTTCCATATGTAGCCTTGAATGCTGTCTCTAAGTGATAATTTCTTGTCACCTTGAAAAATGGGATGAGAAATTGATTCATGGTTACTAGGCATTCAAAGGTTAATCGTCAATACTTGCTATTTCTCCCCCCACATTCCAAAATGTCCTACTCTTCCTCCCCCTTCCAGGGCTGCTCTTCTCGCTCCTTCTCCTCTTCCCCAGATAACAATACGACGTTACGCCAACGTGGGGCTAACGTAAGCTGTTACGTTGGTCCAACGTCGCCAACATGATGTTGGGCCCACGGCTTTCTTGCCGGCGGGCCAACGTTGGCCCGACAGTGACAAAATGACATTAAGCCAACATCGGGCCAACGTTATGCCGACCCCTATCCGACCATATGTGCCGATGTCCTCCCGACATTGAACCAACGTTATGCCAACCTCTTTTCCACCGTATGCCGACGTCTTTCCGACATTGGACCAACGTCGTCCCAACCCTTTTTTAACCATGTGCCGACGTACGACCAACGTTATGCTAACCCCTATCCCACCATGTGCCGACGTTGTTCCGACATTATGCCAACCCTTATCCCACCATGTGCCGACGTCTCCTCGACATTGGCCCAACGTTATACCAACCCCTTTTCAACCATGTGCCGACGTCTCCACGACGTAGGGCCAACGTTATTCCAACCCCTATCCCACCATGTGCCGACCTAGTTCCGACATTGGACCAACGTTATGCCAACCCCTATCCCACCATGTGCCGACGTCGTGGGCTGTTACGTTGCGCCATCGTCGCCAATGTGATGTTGGGCCAACGGCTTTCTTGCCGGCGGGCCAACGTTGGCTCGACAGCGACGAAATGACATTAAACCAACATCGAGCCAACGTCCATTCGACGTATGACCAACGTCATGTCAACCCCTATCCCACCATATGCCGACATAGGACAAACGTAATGCCAACCCCTTTTCCACCATGTGCCGACGTCTCCCTGACGTAGGACCAACGTAATGCCAACCCCTTTTACACTATATGTGCCGACGTCTCCCCGACGTTGTCCTAACATAATGCCAACCCTTTTCCCACCAAGTGCCGACCCCTCCTCCACCATGTGCCAATGCTAGACCAACGTTATGCCAACCTCTTCTCCACCATTTGCCGACGTAGAAGCAACGTTATGCCAACCCGTATCCCACCATGTGCCGACGTTGTACCTCCCCTTTCCAGTTCATGCCAACATCCTTCTGACATTACCAACACCAACTCAAAAACATATTCACACCAACATCAGTCGTCCGTTCATAAGAACATCGTCAAGATCATACTACATCGGACATGTACAATCATTCAAACACATGCATCACAACCTGACAAGGAAAAGCCAAGTAGTTTAAGATTGGATTAAATAAATAAACAGAGCAAAATCCACAAAATGAAGATAGTAACAATTTCATCAAAATTAGACTGAATTTGAGAAAAGTTCATTATAGAACTCGACTTAGATCCCTCTGGAAGATATGTATAATAACAATATTGAAGCAAGAGGGACATGTTATTTTAATTTCGTCATGTCTATTATCTTGTACATTTTAATCACTATCAAAACTTGATAACAACTTATTTGTCCCATTTTAATGAAAAGTTCACCATCTTGCTTCTTAGAATTTGCTCTGAATACATCCCCCTCCCTCCAAAACAAAAGAACAAGGAAAATAAACTGATTTTGTGATAAAACATACTTTATATTATGTGTAATAAACAAACTGTTGTAAATGTGAATACAATTATTGTACATCTTTCTTTTGTATTTTCGTTTGAATTCGAAAAAGATGTAAACATAGTTTCAAGTTCAAGGTATCTCAATGTGTCACAATATAGGCCTACTATCAATGAATGCTAGGACGATAGGAGCTGTTATAAAATGAATTGTCGCTTACACGTAACACAACATAACATACTGAAATTCATTGTACGAATATAATAAACAATCCTCACAACTTCCCGAGTAAAACAAAACAAACTTTCTGGCAGACGAACACGATTGCTTATGACAAGATTCCTCTACATATGTACAGCACAAAAATATAAAGAAATTAATAAAGTGTCCACCATTTGCATACCAAGAACTAGGCAATTAATGTAAACAATGTTCCATAAAAAATAAAAAATAATATTCAGAGAAATTGCCAACATTTTTTATGCTTAGGCATTTCAGAGATGCCGATACATTTCGTCGCCATATCTATTGTTAACACATCTACAAACTGTTTTTTTTTAGGAGGGATAGTATACATTACTTGAATGTGTGAAGTAAAGCAATCGCTAAATGTTTATATAACAAGAGAGGAAATTTGAAAGTGAAGTAAGAAAGAGCAGAGCTTGTAAAGGGAAAAACACAAGTTTCTTCACTCTGATATACCACTTTCAATATTTCTTTAAATTGAGAAGAAGGTAGTACGAAAAACATTCAGTCACTTAGATATATGAAACATTTTTTTCTTACCTTTGAAATTCTTTATAGCATGCATTTAGTTGACACGTTATACAGGCATTCAAATCAATTACGACCTTCTTCGACTCATGGTATAGCTCTCTTTTTAAAATTGGGCCATTAGTGAAATTTCACCACAATAAATAACAAGTAAAGATGCATAGCACACTATTTAATAACAAAAGTTATTGTTTATGTTTGTGTACAAAACATAATGCCTGCAGACCTGGCTAGCAAGTACCGTAGCTTGCCTAAGCGGAGATCGTTCTTGATATAACATCACTAATCCTTTGGTCAATCATTCCGAGGAACTCTGAGAATTGTAAGGGGCGGGGTCCACTATTAGACGAGCAACTTGGAGAGGTTTTCAAAAAATTGTAAAAAATATAAGGAGGCATTTATTTATGAAACAATTGTTATTATGTTGCTTTAAAAGGGTCTTGATACAAGACATAAAAGTTTTAATTTCCTAAGGCAAAAATCTTGTCTAGCTTGTGGTGGTACAACTTCGACATCTGCGGCAAAAAAAGAAGAAGAAAGAAACCAAACAAGATTTAAAAGCAGATCATGGAAACATCACCTTGAAATAGTACGGATATTAATCAAATAGTACGGCATTCAAGGGAAGTAGTCCTGAGTGGCACATCCTCCCTAGTTTTGATGAAATTTCATGGATAGAAGTACTTTGTCATGAAAATAACTTCGTTCAAACTTTAGAGCGAATGACCCAGACGTATGGAAATTAGAAAGGAATGGATTTCTTTTATTTTTGTCTTGTTTAATTAAAATAGCATCAAACACTCTTCTTAACAAAGGAAATATACATTTGAGGTAAAATGGCAGTAATATTCTTCAATAGAAAGAACCAATTTATAGTATCTGTTTGCTCAGTGTTGAGATGCTTGATTGATAACAGTTTAAAGCCCCTCTTAAGTGTTGGATCCCAAAATTAGCCAAAGAATAGATGGCACAATCTCACTTAAATGGTATGATGTAAAAGAGGATGTCATTAACACCCGGACACTTCTGCAAATAGAATATTGCCCTAACAAATGTGTTTGAAGTAGAATATGGATGAAAGAATACAAAATTTGCGTTTTCTGCATACAACACAAAACCCTTAGTTAGTAAGTTTGTATTCTTTCTAATTTTTAGGACAAATGTTTGAAGAAGAGTGGCATTTTCTTTCACATCATTATAACATTGAAGTGAAATGTGAAGCTCCCAATACTTTTTTTTTGTATTTATGTAAGCTCCCAATACTTGAGAGAGCTCGAGGGGCTTCAAAGTAGAAACAAAAACACAAAGCTATATCGTTAGTTGCTTATACAAGAAACAAATCAATTGATTGTGTTTTGTTTTTTGTGGCACCCTGCATTCAGAATTGTTTCCAAAAAATACTGCTATAAGCAGTATTTCATGATTTGTTGTTGTTGAATAGTTTTGTAAGTGATCACAATGCAGTTTCTCAATATAATCAGGAAAAGATACTAGCATCCGTTAGCAGCTATGTCCTACACAAACGTACATTAATCCAGTACATTTGTACTTTGTGTGCAGGGCACAACTATAACGAATACTAAGAAGTGCTATCCTGTCTACATGTATAACTAAATACAAAATGAATAAAATGCCAAATGACATACCCATATTTCTGAATGTTGAGGTCAATGGGGTCGTTGGGGTCGACAGTGTTCTGGAGGTTGATGGGGTCGATGTCGAAGGGGTCCTTGGTGCTGTTGATGCTGTTCTGGATGATCGAGGTAGGGGTAGCTGGATCTGAACGGGTAGAGGAATCTGGAATTTGTTGTGAAGTTGACGATATGAAATGCAGGATTTAATATTTAAATTTCAGAATTGTAGGGATTATGGGAGAAAAAAGTATTGGGATTTGGAAGAGCTATATAGAATTGAATGTATTAACAAAGAACGTCAGAATTTTAAAAATAAATAATTAGAATATTTACCTTCAGTTCAAATTATAGCAATTTAATATACATGTACAATAAAAATTGTGGATGAAAATTATGGGATCGATCAGTGTTACCCCCGCCCCCAATAGTTTTTCCTATTTACTATTTGATCAAATTGAGGTTCTTGGCCAATTGCGACTTTAAATGATTGCAAATGCCAAAATGAGGGTAATTCCCACCAGCTACCTCTTTCACATCACACTCACAATTAATCCACTAAATGTGTTGATACAAACTTCTTGCATATTTTGGCAGACTTGGCACACTCCCTTGTAAGATTTCAGGAGGCTAGAATCATGTACTAGCGGGATATCTTAATTCACAGCCCAATCTCGTAATTTATTCCTTTTCAAACTGAATCATCATCAGCATATATTGAGCTACTACAGAGTATAGTATAGACCTACTTCTAAATCTGAAAGTATCAGAGACTATAATATCATTTAGATATGCATAAAAAAATGATGCGTCTTCCCATTCAGCTCTATTTGATTCAATTGGTCTTTCCAACAATGCATCAGCACCTTCAACACTTGCAACTCCAACAGATTCACAATCATTTGATTCATGGTCGATATTGCATATTGGGATGAACATCACCACTGTCACGGACGCTGAAACATGATGCATCAATACATCACCTAGGTCTAACTCTAAGTCAGGAACATATTAACATTTATCACGGCAAACAATGCATCTGATGCCGACACTTCGGCCCCCATCATAGCCATCATAGCCATCACTCACACTTCAATTGCACGCAGCGGGTGTGCATGCTAAGCGTACGCCGATCGGTACACTCGTACACACTTTCACTTTCATTTGGACAGGGAATTATCAATGATTACTTTAACAATTTCTCATGCTATTTCCCTCGCTTTGTGACGGGGAGTTCTCACACTATACAATTTATCAGTTTCACGCGACATGCTCACAAACATAACGTTGAAAGAGAAAGAAAATCATTCATTTACCATGCAGTGCCGATGCAGTGTTGGTACTCCCCGGCAACTGATCCAGACAAATGGACAGGATATGGCTGACGTACGTTGCAATTGCATGAGCACATGGGCATGCGCACGCATGCAATTTTTTTTACCCGGATGTAGCGGTACTAGGTCGTATTTGCTACGTTGGCCCAACGTCATATAGCCAACCAGTATATACATGCACTATTTATCAGTAAAGATGGAGACGATATAGACCAACGTTAAGCCAAGGTTGGCCCAACGTCGCGTATATTTAGCCAACATATCCACCATTTCTCAGTAAAATTTGAAACGATGGACCAACATTGAGCCAACGTTAATAGCCAAACGTCGAATAGCCAATTAACAGCCACAATTTATCAGTAATAATTGAGACGATGGACCAACGTTCAGCCAACATTGGCCCAACATCGAATGGCCAGCAAAAGCCAACATTTATAATTTAAAATTGAGACGATGGACCAACGTTCAGCCGACGTTAGCCCAACGTCGAGTAGCCAACCCAAAGCCACCATTTTAAAAAAAAAAATTGAGACGATGGACCAACATGAAGCCAACATTGGCCCAACGCCGAATAGCCAACCAATAGCCAACATTTATAAGTTAAAACGATGGTCCAACTTTCAGCCCACATTGGCCTAACGTCGAATAGCCAACCAAACGCCAACAGTTATCAGTAATATTTGAGACAATGGACCAACGTTCAGCCAACATTGGCCCAACGTCGAATAGTCAACCAATAGCCACCATTTATCAGTGAAAATGGCAACAATTGACCAACGTTGAGCCAACTTTAGCCCAACGTCGAATAGCCAACCAATAGCCACCATTTATCAGTAAAAATAGTGACAATGGACCAACGTTCAGCTAACATTGGCCCAACGTCGAATAGCCAACTAATAGCCACCATTTATCAGTGAAAATGGCGACAATGAGCCAACGTTAGCCCAACGTCGAATAGCCAACCAAAAGCCAACATTTATCAGTAATAAATGAGACAATTATAGACCAACGTTCAACCAACATTGGCCCAACGTCTAATAGCCAACCAATAGCCAACATTTATCAGTGATAATTGAGACGATGGACCAACATTTAGCCAACATTGGCCCAACGTCGAATAGCCAAGCCAAAGCCACCACTTCTCAGTGAAAATGGCGACAATGGACCAACATTGAACCAACAATAGCCCAACGTCGAATAGCCAACCAAAAGCCACCATTTATCAGTGAAAATGGCGACAATAGACCAACGTTCAGCCAACATTGGCCCAACGTCGAATAGCCAACCATTAGCCATTATTTATCAGTGAAAATGGCGCGACAATGGACCAACGTTCAGCCAACATTGGACCAACGTCGAATAGCCAACCAATAGCCACCATTTATCAGTGAAAATGGCGACAATGAACCAACGTTCAGCCAACATTGGCCCAACGTCGAATAGCCAACCAATAGCCACCATTTATCGGTGAAAATGGCGACAATGGACCAACGTTCAGCCAACATTGGCCCAACGTCGAATAGCCAACTAATAGCCACCATTTATCAGTAAAAATGGTGACAATGGACCAACGTTCAGCCAACATTGGCCCAACGTCGAATAGCCAACCAAAAGCCAACATTTATCAGTGAAAATGGTGACAATGAGCCAACGTTAGCCCAACGTCGAATAGCCAACCAATAGCCAATATTTATCAGTGATAATTGAGACGATGGACCAACATTTAGCCAACATTGGCCCAACGTCGAAGAGCCAACCCAAAGCCACCATTTATCAGTGAAAATGGCGACAATGGACCAACATTAAACCAACAATAGCCCAACGTCGAATAGCCAACCAAAAGCCACCATTTATCAGTGAAAATGGCGACAATGGACCAACGTTCAGCCAACATTGGCCCAACGTCGAATAGCCAACCAATAGCCACCATTTATCAGTGAAAATGGCGACAATGGACCAACGTTCAGCCAACATTGGCCCAACGTCGAATAGCCAACCAATAGCCACCATTTATCAGTGAACATGGCGACAATGGACCTACGTTCAGCCAACATTGGCCCAACGTCGAATAGCCAACCAATAGCCACCATTTATCGGTGAAAATGGCGACAATGGACCAACGTTCAGCCAACATTGGCCCAACGTCGAAAAGCCAACCAATAGCCACCATTTATCAGTAAAAAATGGCGACGATGGCCCAACGATTAGCCAACGTTGGCTTGCCGACTGCGACCCTGCCGACCGTGGCCGACGTTGGCCCAACGCCGTATTGTTATCTGGGTCCCTCCCCTCGATCCTTCTCGGACCTCCTTCTTCTTTTCCTTTTTTAAATTCTTTAACTTCTCCTTGTTCTAAACAGCATTGAAATAATAGAAAGTTACCTCAAATCCCTCCTTTTCCAGATAATCTGTGAGAATCTTGTGAGCATGATGTTCCTCATAACCCAGTTCAGGATGGGACCAAATCTCTTGGCTGATGTTATTGAGATCTGAGGCTGATTCATCTATCTTAGCCTGGGCCACTTGCTTTCTCTTGTTCCACTCGGTCATAGTAATAGTCTTACAGGTAGACTAACTCAACAGACCCCTAAAAGGAGAAAAAGAAAAACAGAGATAAGAAATTTCTAGACATTATGCGAGAGGTGTTGTGGTCGAGTGGATGTGTCACCGGACTGTGGATCACGAGGCCTGCGGTTCGAGTCCCGCGGTGGCACCACTGTCCTTTGGCAAGACATTAATCTATATTTACCACCCTCAACCCAGGCGAGGTAAATGGGTAACTGGTAGGATTATTCCTTGAAATGCACTGTGCGCTGATAACGGCTGCCGGAGCTAAAGCTAGGGTGATAATTTCCAAGGCGCATTAATTATCACCCGTGCTTTAGCCTAGCTGCCATTACAGCGCTCCAGCATTTCAAGGAATTAATTAATTCTGCCAGGTACCTATTTACCTCACCTGGGTCGAGTGCAGCAAATGTAGATTAATGCCTTGCCAAAGGACATTAGCGCCATTTCGGGGGTCGAACCACGACCTTTGAATTTCAAGTAAAGTGCTTAAATCACTCGGAGGTTATTTTGAAATTATATGAAATTATATGAAAGATTTTCACTGGATTCTGGCAAAAATCGCTAGTATCCTCCCCCCCCCCCCCCCCCCCCCCCCCCTTGTATGGGGTACTGCGTACACTGTGTGCATGGGGTCTGGCCGGGGAAGGTTAGAAAATGTCAGTTTTATTAAAGAATTCCCCATACCAGTTATTTCCGTCTAGGCCTATATGAATGATTGGTGATCTAGCTTTGCCTCGCATTGACCACTATATTGCTGGTGTGCGCGTGGGTAATTTGTCCGACATAATAGCCCCTTAATTGGTCCAACCATCAGACCTGCATGCACACCATTGCACCATGACATGTGTCACAACTGCAAACACTGGAATCAACAAATCCATGTAAAAAAACGATGAGCATCATGAATAGATATTTACAATCGCACTCATTCTATAGCCTGCAAGGAAATCAAGAGCATTTTCAGTGAACTTACTGCGATAACGTTGTTGATGTAATCAGACTCGTACTACTGAACAGCGAGCTGTTTGCTTGAACACTAGCGATTGCAGCATAGCTAGCTAGCATGCAGCTCCCGGAGTTCAGGGGTGATGAGTCTTCGGGTTCCGCACTGCTGCCTTGAACAGAGCTATAGCGCGATGAATGAGAACATGATTGTACAGTGCGCGTTTTTTAAAGATCTTTAAAGATGGGCGTGTCTGATGATGGGCGTGGCCATAAGTGGGTACCGGTACGTGTTTTTTTGTTTTGTTCGGGGGGGGGGGGGGGGGGGGGGGGGGGGGGGTGAAGCGTGTAACTGGTACTCATTTGAATATAGCAAAGGTATGTACAAATTTTGTTGTTGTGGGAGGGTGAGTTTTGTAGGACTAAATGTTATTTAATCGACTACAATATATAAAGGATATCTTATTTGAAATTAATTAGGCCCTAATTTAATTACTGTCTTTGGGGTAATGGAATTGGTAATGGAATTGGATATGGCAGCAGAACTGCAGTATCGTGTATAAGTCTGATGATGATTTATGATGATGGTAATCTAACCACATTAACTTTCGCATCCTACCGGGTACCCATTTAACACCTGGGTGGAGAGTGGCAAATGTAGATCAATGTCTTGCCAAAGGACATTAGTGCCGCGGTGGGACTTGAACCGCGAACCTTGTGATCCACAGTCCGGTGACATATCCACTCGTCCACGACACCTCTACAATTTTAATTATGAGATTATGAGATTTATCTCATAAGGAGAAAATGTTAAAACTTTTGAATTTCATGACTAGCAGAAGATTTCATACATAGATCCTCCCAATTAGACCAGATCAGAAGGATTCATTGGCTAAATAGAGATATTTATATTAATTCTTTTCTGAATATCAAAACAGGAACATGACAGTTTCTAGATATTTAAATACTGTTTTATACGGAGATGGGAAGAAAAAAAAACATCATTACACAAAAAAGGAAAGAAGGATAGAAGATATTTTTATTTTTAATAATTTATTTTATTTCAGTAACAGATCTTGATCACAATCACACCAATTATATTGACCTATACAAATGCATGACAGGTCATAGCACTGTATAGATCATAATATAGATATATAGTCTTTCATTAGAGGTAATCATTACCTCATTGGTAATAGTTGGTAATTCTTTATACAGTGATTGTACCACTTCTATTAGAAAAATGTTAAATGTATAAAAAAAAAAAAAATACATATACGATGAAGTAAAAAACTTCTTGAAAAGATTATGTTACAATAAAAAACATATGAAATATCATGTAAGGCTTGTAGAATAAACATACTGACACAAAATGATGACATTTCATGATATGTTTACACTTGTAAATGTAAACTGTTCATACTGATGTTCTACGTTGATTACATTAATAGAAAAAATATACATACTCATTTATTTCGAGTTGTCACACAGTATCCATATTGCAAATACAGTCACCTATAATTTATGGCTTAACATGGCAGTAATACATCATAACAAATATATTTTTAAAATATTTTAAAATTTGTATTTAATTTGAAAATTCCATTCACCTATTTCTTGTAAATGATCAAGGATGATTCTTGAATGATCAGTTATTTCATGGGGATACCAATTAATTTGTATTTTACCTGTTTATATGCTTGTGTATTTATCTATTTTGTTTTTGATGCTGTTATTTGTTTTATTCTTACCAAACGGGGCCTCATGGAAGACCACCAAATTGGTGATATGTGCCACCCTTAAAATATCATAAATAAATAAATAAATAAATAGGGTTCATTTATAGATCAGGGCCCCTGTTTCATAAAACTTGTTATCAATAACAAGTTACAATAATGATATAAGCTACTGAAATCGTAGCATTTGATTAGCTGAGAGCAATTTGGTTATAGAATTGTGACACTTGTTATTGAAAACAATGCCAATGGGGTCCTGATTTTCAAAAAGTCATACATCAGGACCGTGGTTTCCTTAGTTCTTCAAATCAGATTTTAGCATACCACTGGTCAGTTAGAATTTCAAATAATGACAACAAGACATTTAGCTGCACTCTCAGATGATACTAAATATCAATTCCAACTTTCATTATCCAGGTAGCAAGAGTCCCTTCAAATTTAAAACACCTTTCCTCTCCCAAATGCTGTCCCAAATAATTTATGTACAGTGTACCAGTAATTTATAACTGTCATCATTTGCAGATGATCTGTGAAAATGCGCAAATCATGTGGCCACAAAATCAATAAGAAACAGCCTAAATATATTACATCTGGCAAGACCCTGTGTGGCAGAGGTTAAAAAAAACAGGCACATGTTTCCTAGTGACCCATTCACTATGTATTATCACATCTTTGCTCGACATACACAAACTAAATTCTTTTTGGAAAGACATACATATTTTCTATCCAAAGAAAATACATGTAGATACAGTTTTTTTGCTGCTGCTGCAGAAGTGTACTTCTCTTTTTTTCCTTGTTTATATTAATGTTTGATGTTGATTTTGTTTGTATAATGTTGATCTTTTTATGTATTGGTGGCCCCTTTTTATAAGCTCTGCTTTCTCCGGGGTCACTAAACCATCATTGTGTTATTCTAAATTCTTGATGTAACTTATTTTGATTGTATATATATTTTGATGGTTGAACAATAAATAAATTGAATTGAATTGAATTGAATACAATCCAGTTTCAAAGTGTATACCAATCATCTGAATTTTTTTGTTTGTATATATCCATAATACCTAGAATGTATAAAATCAACTTAAAAAACTTTACCTGGCTTCCAATAGATAAATGGTTAAGAAACATGAAGAAAATAATTGATAACATAAAACCCCATGTTTAAGGCTGGCACAGAACCCAAGTTGGACTTGCATGGTTCCATGGGTTCCAAGGGCGTACGTTAGCAACATTTTACTGTTCCCTTAGGATGTAATTGCACAATCTATTTGTAGCTCATAGTTTGGCTTCAGCTAGCAACATGGAACCCACTTCATGTTTTGGTGATTGGTACATTTTTTTAAAAGACGTGACCTTTCTATGCAATACATTCCAGTTTTAAGTGAGCATATAAAAGCACTGTTCTGATAATCCAGACATTACTAGGGGGTTGTCATCAAACTGAACTTTCATTAGACATTAAAATCACTGATGGGTGTCTAGGGTATATGGAAATACTGAGAGTAATGAATTTATATTAATATCTAACATTGAAGGAGAGAAACAAAGAGACAGAGACAAGAGAAAGGGAAAGGGGGAGACAAGACAGAAAAGAGAGAAAGTGAAACGGTTGATTGATTAAGATGTTTACAATGTAATGTGACTTTCTTAAGTGAGTGGTGACCACTTGCATACAAACACCACTCTTATAACCTAGATATATGCATGTACCTAGTATATATATAATATAACTTTTATAAAGTTGCTTTTTCCTGAATGGTGTTTCTCATATCGTGTGTAGAATAAAGACCACCTGCTGACAGGAGTTTATACACATGATTCCCAGTAATTTGAATGTTTCCATAAAACTTATCATCAATATCAAGTTACAATAATGGATCTAAGCCCCTGACATCAGGGCATTTCATTGGCTGAGAGAAATTTTGTTATACAATTTTGGCATCAGTGGCCGATAACAATTTATGAGGCAGGGCCCTGGAGGACACGATCTATGGACAGTTTGCACCTAGCTATGCTTTTGTTTCTGCCATCTGAAGAGCAAAGTCCTTTTTGATGTTTGCTAAGACCTCCTCATTTCCTGGTTTCATGACTTCCAGAGCTGTCAGAGCCAAGGATTTAGCCTGGACCAGAGTAGGGGGCTGGGCTGCAGCAGCACCTGAAAACAATGTAGGATATTCATGAAGTTAACAGCTGATAGGAATTGAGAGAGAGAAAGAGAGAGAGAAAGAGAAAGAGAGAGAGAGAGAGAGAGAGATAGAGGAGGATAGATAGATATAGAGATAAAGAGAGGGGGAAGGGAGGGATCCAAATGAAGGGGGGAGGGGAGTGGGAAGAGAAGGCACATTCAAATAAGTCAAGACAGTAAACTCAAAATATGAGAATATTAACACAATAAAGAGACAATGATACAGAAAGAGATTGACTAATGGAGGGACTACATGGTGAGAATTTGTAACTGTTTTAGAATCCCTTTATAGGAGGTGGGGGGGGGGGGAGGCCTAGGGGCGTGGCCCAATACCAACCTGCCGCTGCAGTGAATGGTCTGGAATGGTTGGCTGCCATGGTTCCTATGTCGTACATAGGATGTATGCTAGGGACCACGTACGACACGTCTCCCATGTCGGTGGAACCGGAACCACTGTTGTCATCAAAGACTACGCCCATTTGGGAAGCCTCCCTCTTGTAGATTGATATCACGGTGGGATTGGTGACAACATTAGCAAAGCCTCCAAGATCTTTGACTGTGCACTGGATAGAAAAGGACAGAATTGCATTTGGTTATTGCCAAAGTATCGTCATCTGCCCGGCAAAGGGCACAAACACTAATTTAGGTAAAGCTTTTCAGTTTTAATTTTGTAGTACTACAAAATTAAAACTGAAAAGTGCCCACCAGGGTTCATGAGTGCCGTAACCTCCGTCCCCAACGGGAGCCAACTGCTAGTTTCATTTTTATCGTCCCTCCCTCTTGGGACGAGGGGCTAATTTTCGGGGAGGTATTTTGAGAGGGTTTTCTTTCGTTGGATGAGGGACACTCTTCATTCCCTTTTCACTCCCGTGGTTTTGTTTCCCCCGACTCGGAACGAGGGGCTAATTTTCGAGAAGGTAACTTGTAAGGTTTATCTTTTGCGGGATGAGGGACACTTTTTGCTCTGCTCTCACTCCCGTGGATTTGTTTCCCCCAGAGATCTGCTCATGGGATTTTGGCTTCGATACCCCCGGGGTAGCACCAGCGTTTTTTGGGTTTGATTTGCCTGTTGATTTTGTCTTTTTCGTATTTGTTTGGGTTTTCTTCCCTTTCTCATTCGCCGGGGTGTCCGTCACGGACCCATCCTTAGCGGTATTTGATGTTGACATCGTCTTTAAAAGTTGAAAAGCCGGTGAAGTGATTTGCGAGCGCGGGTGATTACATTTGTTAATGTACTATTAGCAGGCGCCGGCAAAGGAAAGAGGAAGTGTTATTGGCGCAAGGCCTTATATACTACTGACCGTCGGGGTTTCCTACATTGACTCCGACGGAGTATGACGTCACAAAAAGACTTAGTCTGTGCTTAAAGACTCTTCTTTGTGTTTTTCTCTAAGGAGAAAACCTTTGCCGGTAAATAGCGGGTAAAGGGAATGGCATTAATGGTATAGGTAAGTATGGCGTAGTCTGCCATAGATATTGTGATGTCATTTAGGATGAAATAAACTGTTCTGGCAGAGAGTCTCATTCGGTCTTCTCACCTCACAACCTGTTGCCACGGCAGCACCCTGGGCACACCCCACAACCTTCTTCTTGACCTGTGAAAGTGCTTCCTGTGTTGGAGCCCTTAGGTAGTAAAAGAGCTCCGCCTCCTCTGGTATGATATTAGGCTTGGCTCCACCATTTGTAAATATGCCTTGCAGATGGAAGAAACACACAAAATTTCAATTCAGATTTTGAGAAAATGTGAGATACACTTTTTCTGAAGGTAACATCAAATTTTGCATTTGTGAAGTTTTGCATTCACAGAGAAACTGGCTTAAAGGCCCACTGTACTACTTGTAGCTACTAGCTCCCTCTATATAGAAAACATTGCCTAATCGTTGACCATTGGTCCCCCATGATCCTCTTTTACTTATGTTAATTGAGAGCTGAGTATGTCAGTGACTGTCCTGGGTGGTCTAATCCCTCCTAGCCAAACTAGTACAGATGGGCTTTAAAGTAAACCAATCACCAACAAAAAAATGTCAGTAGGCCTACATTAGGGGTTCCCTAGCTAGCTAGGCTATATCATAAAGAGATAATCGCAAGTTCAAATACTCTATCGATTGACATAGAAGCAACTTATGAGTAGACTGCTCAATAAATCTGTATTGTGGTGGAATAGAAAAGGGATCGCACAGATCCCAGGGCGGACTCGGGCTTTTTGTGTGTATAGTTTTAGCTCATAGAATGCCAATTAAGTTTTTGTTTTAAAGGTTTATTTTATAAATTCTTGCTGTACACAATAATATTTGAGGTGATTGGTACACTTTACATTACCTGAAACAATTTATCATGGTGGAGATGGTATCCATATGACACAATGAGAAGTGAACTTACTTCTGAGAGAAGGATAAATCCCACTCCTGACATCTCATTCATGCACTTCATAATAATACCAGAGATTGGGGTCAGGGAAAGAGAGAAAAACATAGAGGTGGTGAGTAAATTAATCTTGGAAAGTTTTAAAGGTATAAACCAGTTTTGGAAATGCCCCCCTCTCAAAAAATGAAATGGAAGCTCTTCTTACCAATCATGTGAAAGAATATGTTTTGACTAATACATGATGATACAAATTTTGCCGGGAAACCGCCTACTAATTGATATATTTGGACTTTTTATATTATCATATCGATCCGAACTGGGTAGATATCGCGTAGTCATATATACATCTTTCTGTGTACAGTGCTTGTAACTTTATTTACCAAGACTGGGCCAAATTTCTTATCATTTTGATGATTTCAGAACCTTGCAGTACACACCAATACTTATATGCTAGATGATCAACCTTTTCTGATCGATTCCATGTTTCTTTCACAATGCAATCGCATGACTAGAACTGGTCTATACCTTTAAAAGAGCCATGATTTAAAATAATACTTACATTTTGCTTAAGCAAATTTCAGTTCTTATGTAGCAGATCCAAAAAGAGCTCCAAAGATCAAAAAAGTTTTTTTTTTTTTTAAACAGAGACTAGGGTTTCTCAAAATGAGCATTGTGCTCCTTACAGCAAGGGGTAGCTTGCATGGGTGTAAAATCAATGGGAATACTTACATCATCTATCGAAAGTGATACAGTATAGAATTATTACCAAAAAAATAGAGGACCGAGAGGAATAGTATTACTTACCATGAACTCTCCATTCTGGTTTCAACTGTTGTCTCATGACTGAGATACTATTATAACACATCACAGCTGCATCCAAGGCGTTCACTCCTTCCCAGGGAACTGCAGAGGCATGGGAAGCAAGACCAGTGAAGTGAATTTTCATTCTGGAAAAATTGAGATAACGCGATCAAGAGAACGGGACGTATATACCGACGGCCGGACGTAAAAACGGACAACCCGAAAACATAATGCCTCCGGCTACTCGGTTGCATTGGCATAAAAAGCCAGAGGAACTTTCCATCAAATAAAGAAAACAAAAAACAATCATAGTTTTTACAATAGATTACTCCTACGTTATACATCACACAAGTGATTACCAAAAACTTTCAAATTTGTGACTTGTGCATTTTAGGATACAGTCATATGCTCTGATCAAACTTTGATTGAATTCAAAAATATAAAAATAGGATTTCTGTTCACTTAGTATGATGTGATAAAATACATCTGGATCCTTACAAAAAGGTCTAAATGCACAGGGATCACTAATAATTTACTCTAGACCCCTGGCAGTGGTGGAAAACAAAATAGTATGGAGCCTGAATGTAGGAAATCCAACGAGTCTTTCTTACTCTAGCATTGATAAGGCTACTGGTTGTGGTACTGTGTAAGCATAAGGATGTGCCATCATAGCTACATCCATCCCCTGGAAGGCCCCAGCTTTGATCAGGTCTATCTTGCCTCCTGCCCCTTCCTCTGCCGGCGTACCAAGCACTGTAACCTGGTGGTACAAGTTGTGACAGAACTTACATCAAAGATAATGTTTGGGTCCTGAAAGACATTGATGCTCAAGAAAAAGTTGGGGAAGGTTCAAGAACTGCTATATCTGTGAGGTTTGGAAATCATCAAAATGATAATAAATTAGCACAATCTTGCCTGAAGTACCATCCAATGCACACAGGAATATGAATATGGGACTATTTGTGGAATGAAAGTTTGGCCCCGGAGTGAAATTCCTAGGATCTACAATTCGTCGGCCGGCTGGCAGAAGGGCTTAACGCGCGAGCGACTCGAAAACTACTTTTCAAATTATTCACATTTAAAGATACGTTTCATATTTAAACTGCTTTCCATCCCGAAAATTGTTTTAAAACTTAAAAGACTAATAGAGATGTTATAGTAGAACACGGCCACAATTTTTACCCGAAAATAAATCAGTTTTATTAAAGTTTGGGGCGATTTAGTGCTAACGCCCTTCATGATCAGCTTAAAGCTTCATTTTTTACCTGAAATTCGGGCTAACGCCCTTCTGCCAGCCAGGCCACAAATTATGTACAGGATCCTTGTTTATAGTGTCAAGCCCAGGAATAAGCTTACCCTTCCTATGGGAGTGCCATCAAGCTCCATTGCAGCTTTGATCCCTAGACCTGCGGCTGCTCCACACTCGGCAATCAGGTTGTGCCCACAGGCATGGCCAATTTCAGGAAGAGCATCGTATTCACATATCACACAAACATGGATGCCACCATCAGTTCCATATGTAGCTTTGAATGCTGTATCTAAGTGATAATTTCTTGTCACCTTGAAATGGGATGAGAAATTGATTCATGGTTAGGCATTCACATTTTTTTCTCCATTCAAAGGTTATCAATATATTCCCCCCCCCCCCCCCCATGTTCCAAAATTTCTACTCTTCCTCCCCCTTCCATGGGCCGTATTCTGAACCCCAGTGTTATCTCTAATATTGTTGTATCTTTTGAGATAAGATCTTTTATCTTATCTTATCTTGCATGGTATTGTAACGGAGTTGTTTCAACGTAGCGGGCGTATGTGGGTCAGTGCATGCGGGTGGGAGTTAGGTATTAGGCATGAGCAAGAGAGGACGTGTTCGGGCAGGTAGCTAGGGAGGGCAGGATAAGATAGGTGAAACAGGGTGAATCGGAGTACTGCTACTAGCTGTTGAAGGGAAGTTACATTGTAAAGTTGGAGTTCTTCGTGAATAAAGGCAAGTACCTTTTGATGTAAAATGACACTGTGTTTCCGTGTATTATAGAAAAAGTAGCGTGATCTGAGTGCGATCGATGATGTTGGAGTGATAGCTTCACTGTTTATGAAAGAACCGTGCGGGTGATTGGAGTCTCGTGAGATTTATTGACCGCTCGGTAATGGTGCATGCAGGGACCCCGGACAAAACCCGTTACATTGGTGGCAGCGGTGGGATAAACATGCTGAAGCAGGAATTAAGCAACATCAAGTGATTATCGGGAATGCTAGTTCGCCTACACCTACGCCTTCACCTACTACTAGTTCACCTACACCTACACCTACTATAGTTCACCTACACCTACTATAGTTCACCTACGCCTTCACCTACTAGTTCACCTACGCCTACACCTACTATAGTTCACCTACACCTACTATAGTTCACCTACGCCTTCACCTACTAGTTCACCTACGCCTACACTTACTATAGTTTACCTGAACCTACTAGTTCACCTACACCTACACCTACTATAGTTCACCTACGCCTACACTTACTATAGTTTACCTGAACCTACTAGTTCACCTACATATATAAGTGCCTATTCTCCACATCCTTTCACCTACGTATAGCGCCTATAATGCTCTTCGTGTTATCACCTAAATAGCGCCTATACACACAGCACACTTGCCCAGCTACACGGCACACAGTTTGAAGTTGTTGGATCACCGTGTGGCAGTATGGCAACTAGCCTGCATTCGGTGGAGGAGCTAGAAAACCTGGTGGCTGAACTGCAAGAGAGTAACGAGTACCTCGAACACTCCAAAGGACAGAACAGGCTGTTGATGGAGCAAAATCGCCTCCTTCAGTTGAAACTGGATTCAGCTACTGCAGCACACGGACGGAGGGATGAAGAAGTGCAGCTTCGTGACTGGGGAAATCCCAACAAGTTCGAAGTACGATCTCCAATGAGTTATGAACTGCCTGCCACAACAGTTGAGAAGACGGGAGAAATGGATAAGGCTGAGTTTCCCAGCAGGCTGTACAGAGAGGTACAACCACAAGGCACATTAACATCAAGGCAACACTTGCACAGTGAAACGAGTACAACCTCAGAGGATCAACTACAAGGGCCGACCAAGAGGAAAAAGAGTGGGATAGGGAGCATGCGAGAGAAGGAGGCATGTCACAGGAACCAAGGATGACAAGACAGGAATTGAGTCCTGGGTTTTCTGATGAAGAAAAAACAGGAATGTCGCGCATTTCCCGACCCAGCATTGTGCCAGACAAGTTCGATGGGAAGAATCCATGGATCGACTACATCCAGCATTTTAGGGCATGCAAGTTGGCGAATGGTTGGAACGACGAGGAGGCCAAGATTTTCCTTGCCGCTAGCCTTAGGGGAGCAGCGATCAAAGTCATGGGGAGCCAGAGGCAACTCTCGAGGATAACGTACCAGGAGCTTGTTCATTTGCTCGAGAAAAGGTTCGGCCCAGGGCAGATGGCTGAAAACTACCTCCTAGAATTACGTTCAAGGCAGCAAGGACCTCAGGAGACTCTTCAGGAGTTGGGTCAGGCTGTTCGAGAATTGTCTGAATTAGCATACCCAGAACTACCAGAAGAGGCGCGTGATCGTTTGGCGCGTACACACTTTGCAGAAGCAATAGAGGAGCAGGAAATCCGTGAGGGCATTTTCAGATCACAGCCAACCACAATGGATGAGGCAATACAAGCTGCTATGACCACGGACAACTTTTTCCGCCTTGAAGACCAACGAAGTGGGAGAAGCAGGTTCCACCGCAAACTAGCCAGATCGACGGAGGAACAGCAATCACCTCTCACAGAAATATGGAAAGAGTTAAAAGAGATGAAGCTCAAACTTGAAGAACGAGACAACAAGGTAGAAACGTGGAAGAACCAATCACGTGGAGAAGTTCGGAACTGCTACAATTGCGGCGAAAAGGGGCATTTGGCTCGGAATTGTCCTCAGAAGAAAGGACAAGATCCGTCGGGAAACGAGCACGAGCCGACTCTGCAGCCCGAGGGAAGGCCACAAGAAAACAAGGGCAAAACCGGAAAGGACGAACAGTAGAGAACAACCAAAGGGGCAGAACTGATCAGGAAAGACATAATGTGTCTAGGGCATGTGTCCAGAGTGGACTCTACGTTGAAGTTGAGATTAGGGGAGTCAAGACCATGCTTTTGGTAGACACGGGAGCAACAGATACAATTCTTTCTAACACAGTATACTACCGAATTCCCAACGAGAAAAAGCCAGAATTGACAAGGTATGGAGCAAACGTTTCTAATGCTATTGGAAGCAGAATGGAGACAATGGGCAGCTCTTGTCTAGAATTAAAGGTTGGCAGGACGGTTTGTTCAATTCGTGTCATATTTGGCAATACTGGCTCAGCAGAAGGGATCCTTGGAATGGATTTTCTGATAGCAACACATGTGAAGATCGACTTACAACAACTGCAACTGGACTTGAATGGAGACAAAATCAAATGCAGTGATAAGCTGGGGCATGGATTATGCTTCAGGGTGGTGGTAGAGGAGACTACCAAGATTCCACCGGGTCATGAAGCATTGGTCCCAGGATTGATTAAGGGGAATCCTGGTGAAGCCGGTCTCGGGATCCTAGAACCTACAGAGGAAAACGAAGTAGGAAGAAAAGGGGTGATGGTTGCAAGAATCTTGGCAGAATCTACAGACAACACAGTACCTATTCGAGTGTACAACCCCGGAGACAGGGAATGCACTATCAAGCGAGGCACAATGGCAGGTCACTTTACCCCGGTGAAAAAGACTGATGTTGTAGACATGACAATGCACACATCCAACGATGAAGATACAGGTGACGTCCCTCCACATTTGGTTGATTTGTTCAAGCGGAGCAAGACAGAGGTACCCAACAGCTTTCACGATAACATTGCCGAACTTCTACGCAAGAACCAAGACGTATTTGCGAAATCTGACACAGATATTGGACGGACCAACCTTGTTCGCCATGGCATCAACACAGGGAATGCGTCAACGATAAAGGAGAGGCCACGAAGATTCCCACCAAAGGAACAGCAAGAGATTGACTCCCAGATACAGGACATGCTTCAATCTGGAAGCATAGTGCCAACAGAAAGTCCGTGGGCTTCAAACGTTGTGTTGGTACGCAAAAAGGACGGATCGAAGAGATTTTGCATAGACTATAGGCGACTCAACAACGTGACAGTGAAAGATGCATTTCCGATACCCCGCATTGATGAGACACTGGACACTCTGGGTGGATCAGAATGGTTCTCAACTCTAGATCTAGCGTCAGGATATTGGCAGGTCGAGCTAGATGAGGATGCCCAGAAGAAGTCGGCATTTGTGGTCCGTGGTGGCCTCTACTCCTGGCGGGTCATGCCGTTTGGGCTCTGTAACGCGCCGTCGACGTTTGAACGTCTTATGGAGCGTGTCCTTGCAGGGTTACACTGGAAGGTTCTACTCGTGTACCTCGATGATGTGATTGTTTTTGCTAAGACTGTAGATGAAGAGTTGACAAGACTAGAGACAGTTTTCCAGCGCCTCCGGGATGCCGGGTTGAAGCTGAAACCCAGAAAGTGCCATCTCTTCAAAAGGAGTGTCTTGTACCTTGGCCACGTAGTGTCACCTGATGGCATCTCTACCGATCCTGAAAAGATCAAAGTAGTGGAGGATTGGCCAGTTCCAACTTCTGTTAAAGAAGTCCAAAGCTTCCTCGGATTGGCGTCATACTACCGACGTTTCATTGGTGGTTTTGCAAACATTGCACGTCCTCTTCACCAGCTCACCGAAAAAGGCAGGGAATTCATCTGGACTAACGAGTGTGACTGCGCTTTCTCTGAGTTGAAGGAACATCTCCTGACGGCACCAGTCCTCGCATACCCAGACCCTGAAAAGTCATACATACTGGACACTGATGCAAGCAACGTGGGCATAGGTGCGGTACTCTCTCAAGAAGTAGGAGGAAAGGAGCGAGTCATCGCATATGCAAGCAGAGCTCTATCCAAACCCGAAAGGAACTACTGTGTGACAAGACGCGAACTTCTAGCCGTTGTTGTCTACCTCAAGCATTTCAGACAGTACTTATACGGAAGTAAAATTACTGTCAGAACCGACCACGGCGCCTTGAGATGGCTGCTGAATTTCCGTGACCCGCAGGCGCAGATGGCACGATGGCTACAGGTCATAGCAGAATATGACATAGAGATAGTACACAGGGCTGGTCGTTCTCATTCCAACGCTGACAGCCTGTCGAGAAGGCCATGTGTTGCTTGCAAGCAGTGTGGAGGAGGTGAGCCACCTCTGGAAGAGCAACAGAAAATCCCAGAAGTTCACATAGACAATGGAGTGAAAGTGAACGCCGTGACCCTCGAGCCATCAATCACCTCTGCAGACATGAGAGACAGACAACTAGATGACAGTTCCATGAGTTGGGTCATAGAGATGAAGGAGAAAGGAGAAGACCGGGCCAACTGGAGTACAATGTCTTCCTTTTCAGCTGCGAAGAAGGCATATTGGCGATGCTGGGACCAACTCGAGATCAGAAACGGCGTCCTTTGTAGAAGATGGGAGTCAAACAGAGGCGATCAGATTGAGTGGCATGTTGTGTTGCCTGAGGCCCTCAGGAAGATGATGGTCCAAGAAATACACAGCGGGCCTTCAGGCGGACATCTCGGAATGCATAGGACTACAGCAAAGGTTCGCCAGCGATTCTACTGGCCTGGCCTGGATACAGATGTTAGGTCCACAGTACGTCAATGCAACGTATGTGCTTCTAAAAAATCACCCAACAAGACCAGGAGGGCCCCCTTGCAGCAGCACCAAGTCGGCATGCCGATGGAAAGAGTCGCTTTGGACATCATGGGCCCCCTTCCCGAGTCGGAGCGAGGGAACCGATACATAATGGTTGTGGGAGATTATTTCACCCGATGGATGGAAGCCTATGCAATACCTGACCAGAAAGCAACAACTGTGGCGACTGAGTTCGTGAACCAGTTTGTATGTCGTTTTGGAGTCCCATCAGTCTTGCATTCGGACCAGGGCCGAAATTTTGAATCAGCGGTCTTCAGAGAGATGTGTAGTGTCTTGGGCATAGAGAAGACACGGACAACGCCGTACAACCCGAAATCCGATGGACTAATTGAGCGATTCAATCGTACGTTGATCACCATTGTGTCCATGGCCATCGAACCTACCAGACGGCAAAGAGATTGGGATGAGAAGTTACCCCTCGCTCTCTTCGCCTACCGTTCATCCCCTCAGGAGTCGACCGGCGAGACACCGAACATGTTGATGTTAGGGCGAGAAGTACATCTGCCAATAGACCTTTCCGCTGACTTGTGCAAGGATGATCGGGAGCTGGATCGCGGTCTGGATACGGATTATGCGGAAAACCTAAGGAACAAGATGAGGCTGGCGCACGAACGAGCGAGGGAGAACACATCAGAGAGTTCAAGGAGGCAGAAGAAGGTCTACGACAGGAAAGCACATGCACATGAATTAACGGTCGGGCAATTTGTGTGGTGCTACAACTCAGCTAGGACAAAGGGGTTGTCTCCCAAATTGCAGCGTCGTTGGAAAGGGCCGTTCCTCATCATTCATCGATTGTCTGATGTCGTCTACAGGATACAGGCAAAGAACCGAGGAAAGAAGATGGTAGTTCATGCTGACAGGTTAAAGCCTTATTTAGGTGAACCTCTTGCCTCGTGGATTGATGAACCTACAAGTCAGCAAGTAGACCACGCTGAAGAGGAGAGTGGAATATCACAAACAGAAGACCTTGTAGAAGATGGTGCTGGAGTCCAGGCAGAAACAGAAACTGAGCAGATACAAGACATAGCCGAAGGGGAGTTGTTGCAAAGTAAAGCGGACAGTACTGTACAGCCAAGCCCAGTTCCTAGACGAAATCCACCACGGACAAGGAATGCGCCAGGGCGACTTCTATATGAGATTTGACTTTAGCGTGATTGCATTGACATGATTATGTGACTATTTTGCTGGATTGACGGATGAAGCTTCGAATTTGTACTGAAATCATAGATTAGTAATCACTTCAATTCTTTCTTTGTTGCTTGCACAGATCGTGTTCGTGCTGAGGGATCAACATGGGAGGGGACTCCGAGAGGACAATCAAGTGCTTCACATGCCAGAAGTACTTTGCACACAAGAGGAGCTTGGATCGTCACATTGACGTCGAACACAAGGACGAACAACGCTTTGTATGTCAATATTGCAGCAGAGCATACAACAGGAAAGATAACTTAACGGCACATTGCAGAGACAGACATCCTGAGAAATCCCAAGACCGGGAGCGAAGCCAGTCGCGGGGAAGGTACCTTGAAAGGCAGAGCAAGTCTGATCATCGCCGTCGCAGTAGGAGCCCGTCGAGGTCGCCTTTGCCGAACCGGAGAGAGGAGAAGAAGAGAAAGGACAGGAAGAAACAAGTTGTTCAGGCAAAGCTTGAACGCGATGAGTTGCCCCAAGACCCGCTCCAGGTTGTCGTCTCTCCTCGCACCAGGGAAGAAGTAGAGGGGAGGAAAGGCAGTCGCTCGAGAAGACTGTCTGGTAAGCCACTCGCTATGATGAGACAGCAGCAACTCACCAGTTCTGAATCAGAGGAATCTGCAGTCGCTGATGTGGCGTCACCGGAAGATGGTTGTGGAGGCACATGCAGCTGTTGATGTCAGGAGTGTCCAAATAGGTCGTCCGATTCCGCCCCTTGACGTGAAGAGGTTGTTGCGCAACCAGAGGGTGGAAGTTGATGAATTTTCCTCCCAGACCTCGTATAATGGGGCAGAGAAAGTTTTCCAAGAGACGAGGGAGAGGAAGTACGGCGCCATCTTCTTGCGGAATAGTGCCGACGTGAGTCAGAAGGAAGAAGGCGGGGGGACGACGAAGGTGCGTAGTGTCCAAGCTGGAGTCGTAGGTGTTCATATGTCAGATGAGCAGTTCTCGCGAGCTATCTTAGGGAGGATTCAGAGCGTGACGCAGACTACCACTAGGCAAATATTTCAAGGGGGGATCCTTGTTAGTAAAGAGGAATCAAGGAAGGAGTTTCATGTCGACATCATTGCAGGATTTGATGATTCAACCCAATCCGTTCAGTGAGATGTTAGACGCTATGCACAAGTTCATATGATGATCGCAGATAATAACCAAAGGACTTACTACGTGTAATAAAAAAAAAAGAAAAGAAACGGACTCTGTATATTTTTCATGTTTTCATCAGTTATTAATTGTTCAAGTTTTGAGATGTTTTGTGACTTGCAGTTTTATAGTTAATGTTACGCACGGGATTAGTTGTTTTTAAGTTTATAAAACGAGGACGTTTTTAAATTAAGGAGGGGGCAGTGTAACGGAGTTGTTTCAACGTAGCGGGCGTATGTGGGTCAGTGCATGCGGGTGGGAGTTAGGTATTAGGCATGAGCAAGAGAGGACGTGTTCGGGCAGGTAGCTAGGGAGGGCAGGATAAGATAGGTGAAACAGGGTGAATCGGAGTACTGCTACTAGCTGTTGAAGGGAAGTTACATTGTAAAGTTGGAGTTCTTCGTGAATAAAGGCAAGTACCTTTTGATGTAAAACGACACTGTGTTTCCGTGTATTATAGAAAAGTAGCGTGATCTGAGTGCGATCGATGATGTTGGAGTGATAGCTTCACTGTTTATGAAAGAACCGTGCGGGTGATTGGAGTCTCGTGAGATTTATTGACCGCTCGGTAATGGTGCAGGGACCCCGGACAAAACCCGTTACAGTATTTACAACAATATTTACAACAGGTAGGGGGTTGTTGTATCTTTTGTGGTGATATAATGGGGGCAATATTTCTTGCCCAGAACCAACTTCGTGCCAATTAATAGACGAGTTAGATGAAGATTGTGTGTTGACCGGAAACATCACAGATGAGAACTTTCTAAGAAATTACATGCTAGGATATGACGATTTTAATGCTCTCATCTTAAGCAATATAGTGAAAGCGTGACTTGTCTTCATGATGACGCGCGTAATAAGCGCTCAAATAACTAATTACGCCCAAGATTAGTATCTGTAGGCGCATCTTCAGATATGGCATAAAGTATTTCTATTGGTTGACCTACTTATCATGCTTATATAAAACAGATTTTGATTGGTAGGGTCCATACAAATGGGCGTGTCAACAGTGGTAAAAAAAAAGATAGAGGCGGTCCTTCAAGAGATAACACAGGGATAAAATGATTTTCAGAATACCAACTAACAACAATATTAGCGCTGTGTTAACTCAGGGAGATACCGGTACAACAAAAGTTAACACAAAACTTACAACAATGTTCAGAATACCGCCCCAGTGCTGCTTTTCTTGCTCATCTCTACTCCCTTTTTTTTCTCTCCCTTCCCCTTTTTCTCTTCCTTCATCTCCTCCTTCTCTCACTTCTTCCTCCCCTGTTCTAAATAATTTCTTCGAATATCAGAAAGATTGATACCTCAAAACCCTCCTTTTCCAGATAATCTGTGAGAATCTTGTGAGCATGATGTTCCTCATAACCCAGTTCAGGATGGGACCAAATCTCTTGACTGATGTTATTGAGATCCGAGGCTGATGCATCTATCTTAGCCTGGGCCACTTGCTTTCTCTTGTTCCACTCGGTCATAGTAATAGTCTTACAGGCAGACTAGCTCAACAGACCCCTAAAAGGAGGAAAAGAAAAAGAACAGAGATAAGAATTTTGTTGACATTATGCAAGTTTAATTAATAAATGAATACAATTGCAACACCCAATTGAAGTACCGTACATTTTGAACATCGTACAGGTTAGTGAGGGGAGGTTTTGCAAAGACTGTGTGTGATGGCATTCTCATCGCGGACAGTTTTTCAAGAAGATTGGGCAGATTAGCTGAAATTAAGTTGCTATATTTTTATGTTTTACAATGATTTTTGATGTTTTTTTGAAATTATATGAAAAGTTAAATCTATTTTCTTTCCAATCATATTTTTAAAATATCAGTAGGCTAATTAAGTTTTAAAAAATGTATTTTACTGCTAATTAGGTGTCATCAATTCTCACTGAAGTGCCGATTTTGAGTGAAATCAGTTGAGTTTTGTACAGTGGTGTTTGAAATGTTGAGAATCAAAAGCACATATTCGCTTTAGTTTTACTACACAGTCAGGATAGTGATGCTCCTATATGTGTGCCATGCACTGCACTGCTGCATGCACACCAATGAGTGTCACCTGTATCTGTGAACACTGAAATTCACAAAAACATTCATGTAAAAACGGGATGAGCGTCATAGTTCATTCATTGATATTTATTTATAATCGCACTCACAGCATGCAAGGATATCAAGAGCTATTTTAATTTACTTACAAAAGAAACAAGTGGAAATGTTTACAATGATATCGTTGTTGACGTTTCGGCTAGTATCGTACTCCACGGGAGGCTTATGGTTAGCTCGCCCCGGAGTTCAGGGATGTTCGAGTCTTCGCTTCGGTGCGGCTTCCGCACCGCGCTGCCTGGCCTTGAGCAGAGCTATAGCGCGGGTTTACGATCATTAAAGAGGGGCGTGTCTGATGGGCGTGTCTGATGGGCGTGTCTGATGGGCGTGGCCTAAGTGGGTACGTCTTGTTATTTCTTATTGGGGGGGGGGGGGGGGGAGGCAGGTGCTGAATATGTAGTATGGTACTCAATGAATGTAGATCGAGGTATGAAAGGCCTATGCTTTTTGTTGGGGGGGGGGGGGGGGTTGTAGGAATAAATGTTATTTAATTAAAATATAGATCTATGTTGTGTACCATATTTTGAACCAAATGATACATATAGAACCTATTTCATTTTGGGGATAATAAAATTAGATGGGAGCAGAACTATTTTGTTCAGCCTAGATCTATCTCATAAACATAGAATTTTAAAACTCTTGAATTTCATATATTATCACAAGATTTAATGTTGTAATAGATCATCATGTTATCCCCTGATCTAACCATCTGAATATCTTTTAGAACGATTCAAAGACTAAATAGAGATGATTGTATTAATTCTTTACTCTTTTCTAAATAGCAAAACAGAGATAAAAAATGACAAATAGTTCCTGGATATTAAAGGTACTATGTCCCTTTTGCAGCCAACCTCAAATGCTGTAGAACTTTGCAGGAATTATGTATGTCATGTATGTCCTATATGTGAAATTTAAACGTTAGCAGTGTCCTCATATTCAAATTATGCAAGGAAACCCATTTACTTGCTAGACTTCACTGTCAGACACTATTTGATATCGAGTGACTGACTGGCTCTTTTTCTTCTTTGGTAATAACATACATGAAAAGAGTTGTAAAGGGTACATGAGCATTTGTCTACATCAATAACCCACTTCTTGTGGCGGCCAAGATTAAACTGATTGAATCTTTGCGCAGCATGAAACGTATGACCATTCGGTACAATTGTCTGAAAATCAAGACTATTGGGCTCTATAGCCCTAAAGTCGATTTGACAACTAATAGTCATTATTTTCCCACTTGTAGACATTTTCAAGCCCCACCTTTTTTAGGGAAGTTCTAAATTAGTATTATCTTTCAAATGCAGTTGGAATTTAACTTTTTCATTTTTTTTGGCCTGTAAATGGGACATAGTGCCTTTAACAAAATGTTTTAGACGGAGAGGGGAAAATCAAACATACAGATAAAAGAAAAGAAGGATAGAAGAAATTTAATTGTTTTGTAATTATTTTTTTATTTCAGTAAAAGATCTTGATTACAACCGCACCTTCACAAATGCATGACAGGTCATAGAACTCATACACACTGCACATCATAAAACCGATTTAAAGGTAGTCTTTCATCGTAAAAGGTAATCATAACCTCATCGGTAATTAGGTGATTTGTTATACAGTGATTGTACTGATTGAAATGTTAAAAATGGTAGGCCTTTAAACAAGGAGATACATGTATACCCGGTATGTTGAAGTAAAAAACTTCATGAAAAGATTAAATAAAAATAAAAAATATGAAATATCATATAAGGCTTGTAGAATAAACATATATACATAAAATGATGACCATTTCATCATATGTTTACATTTGTAAATGTAAATTTTAAATTCTAATGTTCAATTTTTGTTACATAAATAGAAAAATATACATACCGGTACTTAATTCTGATTTTGAGTTTTGACAGAGTATCCATATTGCAAATACACATAGTCGACTAAAACTTGAAGCTTAACATGGCAGTTATACATGGTCAAGTTCATTTATAGATCAGGGTCCTGTTTCATAAAACTTGTTATCAATAAAAAGTTACAATAACTGTTAGAAGCTACTGAAATTGTAGGATTTGATTGGATGAGAGCAAATCAGTCATAGAAATGTGCCACTTCTTATTGAAAACAAGTTTTATGAAACGAGGTCCTCATTGTCAGAAAGCCATAAATCAGGACCCTGGTTTCTGAAGTTCTCAAAAATAAGATTTCAGCATACCTCTGGTCAGTTAGAATTCTAAATACAATGACACAAATGCATGTAGCAGCACTCTCAGATGATGCAAAGTATCCAATTCCAACTTTCATTATCCAGGTGGCAAGAGTCCCTTCAAATTTACAACACCCTCGATCTCCAAAATGCTGTCCCAAGTAATTCATGTACAATAAAAACCTGTCTATAGCAACTGCCCGAGGTAAACAATGATATTTGAAGATGGGTTCCTTAGCTAGTTCATGTTTCAATGAGAAACCATTTTCAAGGGAAACAAAAAAATGTGGTCACTAAAGCAGGTTTGACTGTACTAGTAATGTATATCTATCATGATTTGCAGATGATCTGTGAAAATTCAAAGGTAGACACAAAATCAATAAGAACTAGATGGAACTTTGACTGCACGCAGTCAAAAATGATGCCTCCGTTATAGAGTAATTTTACAAACCAAAACAGAAGATCTTTTTCAAATTCAAGTTCAATTGTAATCCATTAACAGGTTCTCAGAATGTCGTGATTACAAGCAATTTCTCATATACATAAATGACCCTTTGATCTTTGACCTTATGACCCTTAAATCTACTCAGTTCATTGGCTCGATCTGCAAGATGTCCTGAGTTAAGTAGTAATCCATCTGTCAGTTCTAATGAGAATGCATTCACAAACTATTTTTGCATAATAATGAGCCCATGACCTTTGACCTTTGACCTCATGACCCAAGAATCTACTCAGTTCATTGGCTCTGCAAGATACATCCATGATCTAAGTTTGGCAGGAATCCATCAATCTGTTCTAATGATAATGCGATCACAAGTTATTTTTGCATACATAATGAGTCGCATGACCTTTGACCTTGACCTCATGACACCGAAATCTAATAAGTTCATCGGCTCTGCAAGTAACATCAATGACCTAAGTATGGCAGCAATCCATCCATCGGTTCTTGAGATAACGCGATCACGAGCTGTTTTTGCATACATAATGAGCCCTGTGACCTTTGACCTCGTGACCCCCAAATCTAATCAGTTCATCGGCTTTAAAAGATACATACATAACCAAAGTTTGGCAGGAATCCATCAATCGGTTCTTCAGATAACGCGATCACGAGAACGGGACGTACGTACGTACGGATGGAGGGACGTACGGACAACCCGAAAACATAATGGCCCGAATTCACAAAGGAGGTTTGTCGACAAACCTTGGTTTTCGTACGTCATATGACGCGTTTTACGCGATTTTTACAAACCTGGTTTGTAAAGAACAAAAGGAGGTTTGGCGAAACTAAGGAGGTTTGAGCTCAAACCTTGGTCTGAGCTCAAACCTTGCTTTGTGAATTCGGGCCAATATGCCTCCGGCTACTTCGTAACGTAGGCATAAAAACAAAGAAACAGCCTAAATATATTACATGTGGCAAGACCCTGGGTGGCAGAGTTACAATAATCAGGCACATGATGTTTCCTAGTGACCCATTCACTATGTATTATCACATCTTTGCTTGACATGCACAAACTACCGGTAAATTCTTTTTGAAAAGACATACATATTTTCTATCCAATACATTCCAGTTTCAAAGTGTACCAATCATCTGAAAACAATATTTGAGTATAGCCATTACCTAGAATGTATAAAATCAACTTTAAAAAACTTTACCTGGCATCATATAGGTAAATTAATACGGAACATGAACATTTTTTAAACACCACTTTATTGCTTAAACTTGCACAACAAAGGAGAACATACAATAGCCCAGGTCATTTCCATTTTACCGGAAAATGCAGGGCATTAGAAGTATGTATAATTTTATAAAATAAACTAATTTTACAACATAGTGTGGACTGAGGAGTTATGGACATTCCTAGGTATAGATGAAATAAGAGGAGCCAAATATTGAAAATTCATTTAAAGGTAATACAAAGTTTTGGTATGGGGTCATGAATTTGGTTCAAATGAACATATTGGAAGCAAATGCGATTCTAAAATGTTCAGTGATAGTTGTCGCGGTTAAAATCGAGTCTTAAGTGATGAAATTGTAAATAATAAACTCTTAATGTTGTATAGCTCCCTCTCAAGGTCAAGATATTACTTTAGCTATAAAACATTGTTTCTTGAATACAATCGACCGATTTGCTATTTCTGTTCGGAATTTATATATCACAACTACATATTCTGAAATTATCATGGTCGCAGTTACCATCGTATGGCAGTATAGGCGCTATTTGAAATTTATCAAAATTTACCGGGAGCACCGGTAAATTTTTATATTAAATTTTTCTCGAAAGCAGAAGTGTTTTAGGGGCTAAATTTATTAGTGTTTAGAATACATCCACAGGGGCATCCAAATATATCAAAATTGTAAAGAATCACTGCTAGAAAATTTTCAAAATGTACCAAAACTTTGTAATACCTTTAATATATGTTATTGCACTTTCTATTTGAAGAAGAAATATTTGGAGCTCATAGTTTGGATACAGTATAGCAACATGGAAGCCCCGTACAATATGAGCATGCAACACATGTTTTGGTGGGTGGTACCTTTTTTTGTAAAAACACCTTTGTATACAATGCATTCCAGTTTTAAGTGAGCATACACTAGCACTGTTCTGATAATCCACACATTACTTTATTTACTGAAGACCAGCCATTCTAAGGAGACGCGATAGCTCAGTCGGTAGAGCAGTGGTCTCGTAATCCGGTGACCCGGGTTAGATACCAAGTCAATGCGCTAGTGCCCTTTGGTAAGGCATTAATCCTCACTACCAGGTCCCTCAGAGAGGACCTAAAGCCGTCGGCCGTCTGGTTGCTTACTAATGTTAAGTGAGTTGATTGATTAAGATATCTATCATATAGTGTGACTTTCTTTAGTAATTAATGACCACTTGCATTCAAAGATCACTCTTATATATATATGTTTATATATATATATATATATATATATGTATATATGTGTATAAATATATATCATATAAATTTTATAAAGTTGCTTTCCATTGATTTTGGCATTTGTTGCTGAAAACAAGTTATGAAGCAGAGCCCTGGAGGACACGATCTATGGACAGTTTGCACCTAGCTACGCTTTTGCTCCTCCCATCTGAAGAGCAAAGTCCTTTTTGATG